AGCCAGCCAGAGCCAGCCAGAGCCAGCCAGAGCCAGCCAGAGCCAGCCAGAGCCAGCCAGAGCCAGCCAGAGCCAGCCAGAGCCAGCCAGCCAGCCAGCCAGCCAGCCAGCCAGCCAGCCAGCAAGGCAGTGAGGCAGCGAGCCACAGCTAGAGAGAGGAGGGATAGTGATAGAGCTCGTATATGTGCTCTCGTGGTGCCTTCTCTCGCTGCCTTGCTGCCTCGCTGCCTTGCTGCCTCGCTGCCTTGCTATCTCGCTGGCTGGCTGGCTGGCTGGCTCTGGCTGGGCTCTGGCTGGCTCTGGCTGGCTCTAGCTAGCTGGCTGGCTGGCTGGCTGGCTAGCTCTAGTAGGTACCTAGATAAGTAATTAGAAGTACCTTTTTAATTAACTAATAATAATAATAATAGTAGTAGATACTTTATTGATTTTTTTTTTAATATGTCTGCTTTTAAAAAGCGTTTTCTACCTCTAGTTTAATTACTACCCCTGCTATAAGCCGTATAGGTTTTTAGACCGTGTTAGAATATATACGTCTAGGAACCCATGTCAGAAAACACCTCCCGAGCGCGTAGGTAGGTACCTAGGTACCTAGGTGTAGGAGGCAGCCAGTCAGCCCCGCAACTTCTTTCACCATACCTTCCTTCTTTCAACTCCCTGGACATATTCGACTTTGGCAGTGCTACTAATAAATACGGTGGTTTCATAGTCGGGCATTAACTTGGAGAACATGTGAATGCACCTCGAGCGAAAAATATGGCAGAATATGGGAAGATGGAGCCGTTCTCATTCGCGGGCTCGAATGACGTTGACCACACTGTCAGCATCCGCATGCAAGTCCAGCAATGCTACACCAAACACAATATACACGCTTACAATATACAGCATGAGCCTAGAGGGAGAAGGTGCGCCGCTGAAACAATCGACCTTGCTTAACCGCCCCGATCTACGTCACGTTGGATCAAATATGAGGTAGCCGCCTATCGCGTCGCCTGTCGTGCTTCTTGCAGCTAACATGGTGCAGCGTCCACTCGGATTTGTATGTCACGGTTCAAGTATGGAGTGGCTCGAAGGCTCTTACAGTTCCGGTACAAACAGCGTATAAACCTTTCCGTGCAGAGAGAAAGTAAGGATAGTACTGGCCCTTGCGCCGCATCGAGATGTTTCTGATTCTCATGATAGGTGGAATGAATGGCTGCGGCTCCCCATTTCTTATACATCACTCCCAGTAGATTCGTCTATCGCCATCACCATCTGGGATCTCTCCCCAAACAGCGGTAAAAACTCTCAGGGACATGCTATTCCTTTCGGTGGAACGACTCTGTCCATGTTCGATGACGAGAATCAGATTCGGAAGGGGCGCCAAAAGTGCCTCGTACATCGACATAAAATTGCAGATGGAACTATGGAGATGTTGACTCCAGCCATATTCACATCTAAGAAGAAAGCCATGACCGGGGAAGTTGGCGTGCAGGCTGCTCGAGATGCCGAAGAATTGGAGCGAATGGAGACCCTTTTTAAGAAACATGAAATGGGCGACATCCCTAGGATTGACTGGCTCGATCAACTGGTATTTCGAGATTTTGAGACTCGCGGTCTCAAAGCGGCAGAATCGTCGCTGAAGATGCTGCAGCGGCGGAGACGACTCGACAACACCAAAGGTGAAACCACAGACCACCCGCCAGAACAAACAAACGACTGCTTCAGCCCCCCAGCGTTTGTTTTGAACGTGGAGCTCCCAAAATTTGATTTTCCAGTCGTTTTTGCGGACCACGAATATGAAGTCCCCCCTGTATCTGCTCTGGCAAATGGACAGACTCACCAACCAGCGCAGCACCGCCATCAAGCCCCCGAGGTCCAATTCGGGCCTGGAATCAATGCTGTTGACGACTGTATGTCGGCAATAGGTGCAAAAATTGCCCAGGTATATGACCCGGAAGTTGGCCAGAGGGATAACCCCGCAGAGACGAAACACAGACGGCTGTTCAGAAGCTCTCATCGCCATGGGATTTTGGACAAGGATCTGAAACCTAATGCAAAAGTTCGAGATGAACTCAACACCATCATGAACTATTCACCAACCCACACTTTATCCCCAGAAGAGATGGACCTCGTTTGGAAATTCAGATACCATCTTACGAGGGACAAGAGAGCTCTTACCAAATTCGCCAAGTCAGTCAACTGGAACGACCAAAGTGAATCAAAGCAGGCTATCCAAGTTCTTGGTCGGTGGACCGAAATCGACGTTGACGATGCTCTTGAACTACTCGGGTCATCATTTAGCAACCCCGCCGTGCGTTCATATGCGGTGGATCGTTTGCGCAAGGCTGACGATCACGAGCTGTTACTATATCTGCTGCAGCTTGTACAAGCTCTGAAATATGAACATATCTCCATAGAGTCTACAGAGGGTGCTCTCGATGATTCCTCACTAGCACGCTTCTTGATCCAACGGGCAGCCTCCAATTTTCTTCTAGGCAACTACTTCTACTGGTATCTCATGGTAGAATGCGACGACAATAGCCCGGAGCAGGGAACACACAGCCGCGATATATACGGGAAAGTCGCATATGACTTCATGCGAAGTTTGATCGACCAGCCAAACGGTGACGAGGAGAGGAAGACGCTACTTCGACAAGCGGAGCTAATCGCTGTGTTGTCGAAGATCGCAATCGATGTCAGGAAATCGGGTGAATCAATGTCCAAGAGGGCTGACAAGGTGAAAATTCTTTTCGCAGACCCAACCAACGAGCTCCTCATTATTGACCCCCCGCTACCGTTACCTTTGGATCCTTCCATCAAGATAACCGGTATTGTTCCCGACCAAGTCACGGTCTTTAAGTCGTCGTTGAGCCCCATCAAGTGCACCTTCAGAACTGTTGATGGCCAGACTTATCCAATTATTTTTAAAGTTGGAGATGATCTGCGCCAAGACCAGCTTGTCATACAAATAATCACCTTGATGGATCAGTTGCTTCAGAAGGAAAATTTGGACCTCAAGCTTCTTCCGTACAAGATTCTGGCCACAAGCACGGCTGCGGGGGCTTCACAGTTTGTGCCATCACAGAGTTTGTCTAGCATTGTTGGCAAGTTCAAAAACAACCCAGCTCTGGCGTATTTGAAGTACCACAACCCAGACAATACGCAACCATTAGGCGTCCGCCAGGAGGCCCTGGACACTTATATCCGTTCCTGCGCCGGATATTGTGTTATCACCTACATTCTTGGGGTCGGTGATCGTCATTTAGACAACTTGCTGTTGGCGCCTGATGGACACTTCTTCCATGCCGATTTTGGGTACATACTTGGTCGTGACCCAAAACCATTTGCCCCTCTGATGAAACTATCCAAGGAGATGGTTGATTGCATGGGCGGTGTGCAATCGGAGCATTATAAGCAGTTCCGACAATACTGCTTCATGGCATATGCTGCTCTGAGAAAGTCCTCCAATTTGATCTTGAACCTTTTTAGCTTGATGATAGATGCCAACATCCCCGACATCAGGCTTGAGCCGGACAAGGCCGTGTTGAAGGTTCGGGAACGCTTCCACCTAGAGCTCAACGAGGAGGAGGCGATGGTGTCGCTCGGTAGGATTATCGATGATGCCCTGGCATCTTACGCCCCAGTAGTCATTGACAAGTTGCACGAGTGGGCTCAGGCATTGAGAAATTGAGTTATTATAAGATGTTAATACATATGGGACTAATATGGATCAAGTTTCACCAAATATAAAGATGCCTTTCCCGGATCTGAATCCCGTGAGCCCGCATTCTACAGCATCCCGAAGCTGCTTCTCCTCAGTCTCCCAATTCCACGGGACATCTTCGGTGGGCACGTCAGAAAATTTACCCCGACGCATCATGTCAAGAATGTCATCAACCATGTGCTTCTTGCCTACTGCATCGCGCTCATTCCAGTTGGAGAGCCAAAATCCGACAAAACGAATGTCTTTGAAGATTAGTAGCCCAACAGGAAGGACGATAGGCTGCCTCGACATGCCGCCATACGAGACCAGTGTACCGCCGTCGCCCAGGGCCCTTGCCAGCGTCGTGGCGGATTTGCCTCCGACACAGTTCAGCGCAAGACCGATGTTGTCGCGGCCATTGCGCGTGATTTCGGCAAGTTGGTCCTTCCATTCGCGAGACAGAAATTGCGATTCTGTAACTACGACGTCAGCACCTAGTTGGCGCAGCTCTTGCTTGAGAGACTCTGTCGCTTTGGCGGATTCTCTATCGCGGACAACGTTGATGCTCCTCAATCCCCAGAGCTTTCCAAACTGGATTGCTGCCCTTCCAACGCCAGAATTGGCACCATTCTGGATGAACCATTGTCCGCTGCCCACGTCGAGGGGCTTCATTCCAAGGCCAGCCTTGAGCCCTGCGCTTGGCCCGTAGCTGCGAAGCATTTTGTAAGCAGAACATGGATTGACGCTCACGGTTGCCACCTGGGTTACTGTCAACCCTTCCTTGGCAACCTTGAGGAGCTGATTCGAGTCAAATATAGCATGTGTTCGCCATGTTCCTATCTGTGAGACAGCTGGGATGACCCAGTCGCCCTTTCGGAGCTCATTGATAGCACCACCAACAGACACAACTTCGAAGACTCCCTCGTTTCCCGGCGTGATTGATGGCTCGGCAGTGCCAATCAGTGAGGTGAAGGCGGGTTTAGAGCCATATGTGCCTTGTATTGTGTTTATGTCTGCTGGATTGATCGGCGCGGCGAGGGATCGGACGAGGACAGATGATTGCGGGATTGAAGGAGAAATAGAATGTGTATGGAGTCTGGGGGGTGATCGGTTAGCAGGAAGCTAGAGAAGATCAATGAGGGCTCTGTGATTACCTGAGAACATCAGACGGCTCACCGTGTTTAGAAAAGACAAGCGCCTTGGCTTGAGTATAGCCGTAAGGGCCGGATTTGCATCTTCTGCTGGTGATGGGAAGCCGAGACGCGTGGGCCGCGATGGACAGTCGCAGCGTCTGAGTCAGGAGTCCGGCTGCGTGCGGTTTTGTTCCTGCGCATATCATGACTAGATGCAGTTGATATGATTCGCCTTGAGTCGGGATTAGCAGCGGGCGAAGGAACACTATTGAGCGAAGCTTCTGACTGGCACTAGAGGCTGCGATTTATTAGGTAGGTCATGACATTGCGGGGGCGCTCTGCCGATTTGTTTGGTCGACTTGTTGAGGCCCATCGATCGGGCGGCTCAACTACTTGTCTATTATTATGTTTATTTATTTCCTCTAATCGTTAGTAAATCTCTCTGTGCTACCTAACTATCAGCCTTCTCCTCGTGTCTTTATTGTTCTCCCACCCAGCATCGCGTGCTAGCTACTCTCATGTTTTCTCACCAGTTGGATGGCGCTTTACTATGCCTGGGTATTGGTAGGGGTTCTCTGTGTGATGCATTGCCAGTGAGAAAGACTGTATCGTTTTCATGGGAGTTAAACACCAAACAATAGATACTAAATATTAGTAATAGGACGATGAAAGGTGAGAAGAACCAACGGTAACTCGGCAAGCTTGTCCCCATCAGTGATCTTCATTTTGTGCCGCCACGGTCTGGGCGAGTAACTGTGCCTGTAGGCTCCTGGGGCCGATTCCTGCAGAGAGCTTTTCTGATACATTTTTGCGCGCGTTGTGAAGTGCATACCTCCTTAGTACCTAGGTAGGTACCTACCTGGTAATTATGGGCGTTAATAAGCCTTGGAAGAGGCTAACGGGTAGGCACAATGTTTTCCGCCTTGCCTGCCCCCGAAAACAAGTAGCCAGTGACAGACTCTACCTCCAAGATAGGCCATGCCGAGTCCGGCCAACTTATTTGTTTTTTAGAGACCATTGCACAGCCCAGGTGACGAGTTGCGCAGTTCGGAACAGAGTTTGTGGTGCAGCAACATTGACAAAGATGGTGCCGTCCTTGCGTAGGTCGTTTGTGCCGGATATGCAGATTAATCACTGATTTGGGTCAACCAAGGCAGCAAACACCGATTGATACCAACCCGTTAGGTAGCCACCACACCATCTCACATGCTCTATGTGCATGCGCCAAGCTCAACATCCGCCCACCCTCTGGAGAGAATCTCACACCCGACTTTCACAACACACGCCAACGCTTGGAGGACACTATGAAACTAGTATTGACTCCATGCCCCATTCGTTATTTGTCCGGGTTGGCATCGTTGAGAGCCACTAACTACCTACCTACCTAGGTACCTAGTTTGGAGGATACCAGTGCCACAAAGTCCATTACCCTTGCAAAACGGCCAGCCACCTGGAGCTCCAATTTTGCTTCGACCCTGTTCCGCGACCGACCTCCTTTCTGCACATTACTTGAATTCACAGCCGCGGCAATCTTGTCAATCTCAGGATTCGTCCGTTAGTTCCCTTTGCTGCGACCCCCCCAAAAGAAGCTAGGAAGCCGAGCTCCTAGGCTGCTGGCTCTCTGCCCCCGTCACCAGACCACAGTGGTCTGACCTCTTCACGTTCCATATCTTCGCCACCTCCCTACGTATCTCGCGATACCCGCTCTAACAATGTCGCACCGGTCAAAGAATACTGCGGGAAAGCCACAGTTTGAAATACCCGCGCTCAATCTCAACTTTGGCAGCATTACGGATGGTACGAACATACCGCCGCCTCCGCCATCGCCAAAGGTGCCAACGCCACCGCAAACGCCCCCGACGGTCAATGCTAAAGACGTCCCGGCACATGGCCCAACCGCTGCGAATAAAGCCAATGGTATTAATACCGGTACTTACTCACCCGAGGAGCATGTCCTGTCGAGCCCGACCCGCCAGGTTCAGCTGGGCTCGCTTCGGCGCATGTTAAGCAGACGCACTTTGAATAACACAGCCGCAGAAAGCCAGCTTCCCGGCAGCCAAAGTGTGCCGGTGCTGGACGATGTCGATCGACCGCAGAGCCGTGGCGGATTCAGTTTGATGGGCGATCGGAAATCGAAGCGCAATAGCGGTTGGTTCAAAAGATTCCGCCATGTCGATCAGCCCCCTTCGTCGCCAAGACGCTCAAGCTTCATCATGGGTGGTAGCTCAAGCAATCTACCTGCTGCGAGGCAGCTAGAGCCACCACCTCCAATGATTCCAGAGCTTCGAGATCTTGAAAAGGACGAAGGCAGCCTCGGTTCCGACATATTTCGAAACATAAAATAAACCAAGTCCACGGTACGAACACTCATGAAGGCATCCAACATGCCTATATGATGCGGGCACTATAAAAATGCCCGCGCAGAGAAACGGGTTCGCAGTGAACCTTCTTGGATATTTTCAGCCTTTCTCTTTGCTGCCAATCAAGGCCCGACGGCTCAAATATCACGGCCGCCATGTCCGATTACGATACCCCGCTCATTTGAAGCCTGTTTCTTCGCTACACAAAACCAAGATACTCTCTATTGTCACTATTTGCCTTCATTTGTTTTGCATTATCGATGTAGGGCTCCGAGTGCCCTTCTCGCTGCTCTCATAACTCTCTTTTACTAGGCATTCGCCTCGATCTGATACGAAGGCTTCCAGACCACAGCCGGATAATATATATTTGGCTGAATTGATTTCATACGAGTTTGCATAATACCGGCCTTCTACACACTGAAAGAGGAAGCTTGACATGTACAACGTCACGCTAGCAGCGCATGCTCATAGCTCCATATGACAATATAATGTGTATATAAAAGTAGATTGACCAATAAGTGCTTCTATTTTTGCTCCATCCACACCGCCAGCTTAATGTATTGTTTCCCTCTCGCAAGCTTGCGCAACTGAGTGGACTTCAGCCCTCTCTCTACTCTACGGTCGAGATTTTTCGTCAATTCGTATCGGTTGCTCTTCACCTGGGTCCTCGGGCTTACCTGGGCGGCAAGCCCACCCATCAACTGCGCGTAGCGTTTCTTTAGACCATATCTTATTCATGAATGCGAGCCGCACTGGAACCAGAGCGATAATTAGCAATGGAAAGGCTGGGGCTGCCACTGTCAAGGTCACTCCAAAAACAATGCCAGTCAGGACGACCTGCGTGAGAGTATAGGAATGCAGTCCCAGCCAAGTCACATTGGTCGGGAGAGATGCTCGTTCGCTGGTTGGCGTTAAGAGATTGGCGACTCTCGGGAGTATGGGGTTGACAGACAGGCTCTGGTAGCCCATAAACATGAAGAGACCGGCCAGGACAGACGTCGGTGTTAACCCCAAGACCTTCTGAAACGGGGGAGACACGAATATCATAATGAGAGCGGCCTGCAGGAAGGGAGAGAACCGCTGCTCATATGTTCGAGCAACTTTGGTTGATGTGCTGCCTGTTTGCGGCTCCATGTCGGTATTTTCAGTTTCCACGTAGTGAATTAAGGATTCTGAATGCAATGGTGCCTGTGGAAGGAGGCCATTGGCCGGTGGGATTCCAAGAATTCCGCAGATAATTGTTGTGATGCCCAATAACACAATATCCCATGCAAAGCCGCCCGGTTTCCGCGTGCCGTAACGCTCGACGGTGCAAATGATGCTACTGATTTCGTGATCAAAGTAAAACAGCACCGTTATTATGGCACCGGGTATAACGGAAAGAAAAATCCATCCGATATCAAGTTTCCAAAATTCGACGAAGAATACTTCGCGTTGCGGATTGGTCGGCCGAAAGCTTGTCTGTGTCTCTAGACGTTCGTGATCTAGAGAGGCAAGCTCTCCGATGCGCGGGATACCTATCCATATGATGATTGATATTGCCGCGGCATATTCGGTCAGCCCTAGTCGGACGTAGCGGTGAAGTAAGGGCTGCCACGAGTTTGCCGTTGAGAGGACAATGGCCAAAAGGCAGGTCCCAAACGCGCCAATCACCGCATAAAGAAAGGCCGCCAGGGATACCTGCGAGTGTGTGCGCTTCAACTCGAGGGCTGCTTTATGGAAGTAAATGACACTGTTCAGCAGTGAGAATATGTCGGCGCTGAAGTGCGTAACATATTGCATGGTCCAGTCGTGGGCATTGAATATGGCTAATAAGAAGTGCATCCAGCCGGCATGGATAAGTGACCAAGCCATCACTGACAGAAAGTCAACCTGTTCCAGGAAATTAGGAGTTTGACTACTCTAGCGATTTATTGGCTGACGTACGTGGAAGTGCCTATTGCAGAGCTCGTAAATATTCTCCGCCAGAACAGAGAATGGACCGGTAACGCCTAGGATACACAGAGGCTGCGCACTGAATCTATTTGAACTATTGTCAGAATTGATCATCGTTCTTCAGGATCGGGGGTCTCACAGTGCAAAAGCCAGACCACATAAGCCAGTGCTGAAAACGACCTCAATGGTACCCCAGGACTTGCCAGTGAGAACATAGAGGTCACTAGCAAAGGTAATGCCGGGTAGAATGTTCGTGAAGAAGATATACACGGCACTGGCGAGAACCTGTTGGTTGAAGATCGTCCAGTCCGAGGCGTATCTGCTCCTCAGGTTGCGCAAGTCGACTTTCAGAAGTCTGAAGGGACGCAAGCGTCCGCCTCTGGCGAAATACTGTATTCGCGGTGCAACTTGTGCCGTATCTGCTTGCTGAAGTCCCTGAGGCTCGAAAACCCCGCCCATAGTGGCATCTTGTGAGATGAAGTCCGCACCACTTGCCCGTGCCGTTGGAGAGGCCGTACCAGTAGCATCCGTGTAATCGCGCTGCCGTGCCATTTCGAAGACAAAATAAAGTGCCTCACGAGTGAGTTGAAAAGATTAAAAGACAAGTTGCCAAGCGAAGTTATGCACAGAGGCGAAGAGGTGTGGCAATTCGCCAAGCGATTAACTCACTAAATTTTGGCGAAGCAGTCTACAGAAGAAGCTATGGCACGCCACAGCTGCTGAAACCAAGGTTTCGATGTTCAGGTGACGGAGCCATCACCTGAAATGTTTAACGTCTAGTTAGGTACCTATGTATGGAGCTATTGCCGTCTAAGCGTGGCGCGAAATTTTTGAATTTCTGTTGGGGAGTCGGAGAACAAAGCAAACAGCGAATGCAGAATTGCATGCAATTGAGAAGCAGAAAAATCATTCGCCAAGGTAATTAGACATCCACTAGTTCGTTATGCCAAGCCGCACAGTTGCGTGGCGAACGATTAGGCTCTGCTCTTTTGATGAGGCGGGCACCAATCTTATCGGGCACGTGGCCGCCTTTACGACAAGACTGTTGTCTCCGTGAGTGTTTGCCAATGTTCCTCAAGCCAAAGCCTGGGCTGGTACACCACAACATACCTTCCAGTGCACACCAATAATCGAACTAGACACTGAGACGGAATCAGCATAATAAAACCTCTTCAACTCAGTCACACCACCCATAGCATGGCACAATTCGTGCCAAGGCCGTCCTTCCAAATTCCTGGAACCATACCAAAAACATACTTCCTGGGTCATCACCATGCTGGCGCCAACAAGATCAAAACTCTTCTCCCAAACATTTCCATCATATTGGAATGCAGGGACTTCAGACTGCCATTGTCTACACAGAATCCAAGCCTCGAGAGAGCCATCGCAGGGCGGCAACGCATTGTAGTCTACACAAAATCCGACCTTGGTACTGACAGCACCACTGCGCGTCACGCCTTAAAGAGGATATATGGAGACAACGCTGTATTCTGGGACAAGCAGAAACCTGCCACCACTTCTGCGCTGCTCAAGAGACTGAAAGACTCTGCGCGCACCGTGGACTCGTTGGTTGGCGTGCGTGCCCTCGTCGTTGGGATGCCAAACGTCGGCAAAAGCACGCTTTTAAATTCTCTGCGCAATGCTGGCATCTCTGGCAAAGTGGCAAAAGCTGCGAAAACGGGAGACCAGGCCGGAGTGACGCGCAAGATTGGGACCGCAGTGCGTATCGTCGCATCGGACGAGAAAGGCGGCGTTGGAGGCGGTGTCTTCTTGATGGATTCCCCAGGCATATTCCAACCCTATGTCAACGACGGTGAAACCATGATCAAAGTTGCACTGACACACGGGATAAAGAAGGGACTCATCCATGATGAAATCCTGGCAGATTATCTTCTCTACAGCATGAATCGGTATGATCCCACACTTTACGAGCGATACTGTGAGCCAACAAACGACATCTACGAATTTCTCACCGCTGTAGCTGAAAAGGATGGTAAGTTGAGAACGGGGGGTGTCCCAAACATACCTGAATCAGCCGCAAGAGTGCTTTCACAATGGCGAGAAGGAAAGCTTGGACGCTATGTGCTGGACGATCTCTCCGAAAACAGCATCCTAACTCACCAAGCCAAGATTGAACAACCGCCCCAAAGCATGAGCCAGGCAAAGAAGCAGCAGAAGCTGGAAAGAAGCCAGACAAGAGAGACAAGTTAGTCGATAAAACATAGACGTCACTTGATAGCATGATACCCCCAACTTTTCAACTTCGCTCCCTCAGCTGTATAGTATACATATATATATATCGTTCTGTATCCATCTATACCAGTCAAATACTAAACAAAGAAGATGGGATTCACACCAAAGGCCGTTCTCAACATGTAGAATAGAGAGGTGGCAAAAATCTGGAATTGTCATCTCAACAGTGTCTCATTGCATATTCTGCAGAAGCAAACTCCAGTACTCCAGATGAAAGCAAAAAAAATGTACGCCACGATAGACTGGGTTAGAAGAAATAAAACAAGGACCGAAACCTAACAGACCCAGGCCTACTATGTATAGTGGTTTTGCCATTTGACCATGTCCCGAGTCAAGACATCCATCATTTCCACGCATGTCAAATTTCGAAATTCCTTTTCAGTGACAGATCCCTCTGCTGTTTCACCCAAGACGCCAGCGTGCTTTTTGGCATTGCTTTCGTCGTCTGTCGGGATATTGTGTGGGGTGGCCTCCCCAGAACTGGAGCTCATTTGATAAGCTGCCTCCGCCGCCAAATCAAGCTGTGTACGCGATATAAACTCCATAATCGCAGCAACACGTCTTTTCATGTCCAACATCGTCATTTTACTGGTAGCGGTGGCTTTAGCTTTGGAGCCTTGTCGTGTGTCGCTCGATGGGGATTTGGGTTGCGACTCTTCCACAGTCCGCTGAATATCCCGTGATACCGAGCGAGCAGGTGACTCCTCGTTCTCGTCACGGTCTTTCGTATACTGATTTTTGCCTCTGATTCGTTTTTGATTGAACTTTGCTGGTCTTTTATGCGAACTACCAATCAGGACACTTGTTGGTGGCGGTGTTCCGGGCGCATTAGCGACGGTCGGGGTTGGTTCAGAAGCTGACGAAGGTTCGCTGGCCTTAGGCGCTTCTAATTTGGTCGTAGCTATGGGCATTTCTTCTGAGACGTCCGAGTCTGATTATAAAGTCAGCATATGTAACGTGTTTATGAGTGTCACAACAGCGCCTTACCCTCGGCACGGCGTCGCTCAGCGCGATTCTTTCGTTTATTTGCAGATTCCTGCCTTTGGCGTTCTCGCTCGTCCTTTTCTGACTTCTCCTTGATGGGTCTATGAGACCGATTCTTTTTTGATACATTTCTTGTGCTTGTATCATCATCAGAATCGTCTCGGGTCTGCTCAGCAGCAGGCTGTGCTACGGGAGATGCCGATCGCGATGCAGTACGCTGACGTTTAACACTTCCTTGGTTCCTACTAGCATAATCAGCACATGTCCAGTAACTGTGTATAATCCGTCTCACTCTTCGCTGTCACTCCGACCTCGTTTCGCTCGGCGAATCCCCGATTCGATGTCATCGGGTAGTTCTTCTCTACTCGCCTCAATTGCTCGAAGCAGCAGTTCATCATCGTATGCCGCGTCGCGGCTATTCATTGTAGACCGTCGCTTTGAAGCTTGAAGAGCTAGTTCGGCGCGGGATGCTTTACTTGAGAGCTTCGGAGACTTCGCGCCATCTTTGAGGACTGAAGCTGCGCGAGAGGTTGGTCGTGATAGACGATGCAAAGGTAAGTATTTCGAATATTTTTGTCTAAAGAAGATTAGTCAAAAAGCCCAGGTGCATCATGGTAGCGACTTGTCCAATTTACTGGGCAATTGGAGCTGGGCCCTTCAAGCAGTGCTGGAGACAATTGGAACAGATGCAATGGCCATGAGAAAAAAAACCCCCAAAAAAATCAACGTCACAACATACCCATTGTTTGCCACGGTAATCTGATGAAAATCCTGTCGGCATTGCTCACAAAAGTATTCATCGGGCGAGCTCTCCGCACTGAATATTCCCACACAGGCACCATGCTGCCAAACTTTGCAAATGTCGCATTGAACAAAGAATCCAGTGACATCCTCTGCAGTAAGGTCTACTGATGCGAATATTTCTGCGTCGGGGCCGTCGACGAGCGGGCGCCCTGGATAGTCCTCCGAGCCACAGATGCATCGGACAGCCTCATCTTCCTCGTCCTGCATGTCATCGCTCGCGTTGGTCATTCTATCTAGTATATCGCTCTGTAGCATCTTGTCTGGATCGTCATCGAGTCCGCGTCGTCGTCGGCGAGGCATCGGCCCGTCCTCAGAATCTTCTAATGGCTCCGAGGACAAGGAGGCGCTCGGGGTAGACTTGTCCGATGAGGGTCGATGAATGGATCGCGTATTTCTCTCGGAACGACTGGAGACGCCGGAAGACGATTGTTGTGACTGGGGGTGGGCAGCGCGGGCTCGAGAGGAACGTCTCGGGGACGGAGGCGCCATTGAGGTGACAAGAAGCTGTCGCGCGCGCTGGCACGTGGGACAATTAGCCCAGCGGCTGTATATGATAATATATGAGTAAAATATAGCAGCAAGACAGCTGTCCACTCGCGAATCGTTGGCGCGTTGGCTGAATGCGTGCTATTTTCTGTGCGACTCGCGGTTGCGCTGTGTTGTGGTGTCGCGGGGTGGCAAGTCTTGGGCGTTTGGCTATCCTGGATGTGAAAAAAATAATTCCGCAGATGCTGTTAGACTGATGTTTATTTGCCACACCACAAAGGTCATTGCGGCCGTCGTAGTGGCGGAAGAATGGCTCACAATGAATGATCGAAAAATGGTGTAGGATGGATGAACACTTGCGGAGGCCTGGAAGATCGCGCGCCAGGCACCTAGGTACCTAGGTAGGTACAGTGGGTTGCCAAAAGTTCCATGTTCCTCCTTAGTAGGTTACACACAATTTTGGTACTGCGGGGTTACCTATGCCGAACGACTAAAGCTTTAGAGTACCTACTGTACCTAAGGTCCCGGCTGTCTTCGTGGGTGCTGTGCAAAGAGGTACACTACCTACCTACCTATTGATCCTACGTCGAACTCCCGTGTCTCCAGAAAGACCTCCATGGTGATAATGATTACGAGCCGGGTCGCGCGTATAGATTTGATTGTCTATTGACCGTTAGTTCGAGTCTTCATCCTGCAAAGTTCTTAGCCGATGCACCCAACACTGGAGACATGCCTTCACCAAGTATTAGGTAGTCGCAACTGGACTTCAGACACAGCGAGGACGATGTCTGGTCGGGCACCTTTTTACACCCGCAACCGCCGTATGGAGTCTTGATTAGTTCGAAAGGGCATAATGACATTATATAAATAAGATAAAGAGCTATCTGTTAACGCTAGAATACATTCGACGCCGTTCGACACTTGTAAACATCACAGGCTGCTTACCTAATTTTAGTGTTTGCCCTGCCAATGGCACACCTCCTTATTATCCACAAGCGACAGCGATGTATGCCTAACGACTACATTCAAGAGACCGTCGCTTGCTCCGGGGAGCTAGCCGAGGCTCTGTCATTACTTTCCGGTGGAATTATACGAACCCGACGCTACTTAGACGCCCATACTTGCTTAAAGGCTGGCACTAGCAACACATTTCGCAGCCTGTAGGCAGGCGACGGTGGCCATAACCACGACTACGCCACGTCGTGCACAAGTTCTATACCCTTTCCTACCCCCCAAATATGTAAGCATCTCCAGCACTGGGTAATTCACAGATGAACTCGACGAATGAAATGCGGAATGGCGTTAACGGGCTGGGAATGCGTCATTCTCATAGACTAAGCCAAAATCTAACGATTCACAGTTCAGCATCCAGCGGTTGCAAAGACATGGGAGCCGAGACCCTCGATCGAGACGAGCATATAGTTCAAAGGATTCAAAGGAAGAACTGAGAAGTACTGGTTCCATCAGTGCATTTGATTTACTGGGTGCGAGTGTACTAGCCGAGCTTTGCTGCGGCGCCTCACATCGGCACTGAGCTTGCAGCTCGATACATAATGCTACAAGGGTAAGGCTCCAATGACAATGCCAACCAGGTTCACTCATTCGAATACCACTACTACTCTTCGAAACAGTCATGACGAGCACCGGCCGCGAGAGTCTTGAGAGATTCCTGGAAGGATCCTGGGCACCCCAGTGGCGGCATTTTTGCGCCGATTCTGGCAACAGTTCAGTGGCTAATAGTTATGACTACAGTACGATGACAAGTTGAAAGCATGACACCCGAAAGAGTACCACCATTTTCCCCTGAGAGGCCTATCCGGCCACTCCCCAAGCGAATGCTGCGAGAGAAGTTGTCGCCTGAAGCTATCCGAACGATTCAATACCCCCGCGCGACCATGTACAGAATCCCTTTAGACGTTCACCCCCCCGGCTACCCAATACCTAATATCAGGCTTCCACTGTCTGATTTGTCGAAAACATTGGGGGAATCTGAGAAGCTAGCGAATGGAGCACCCAGTAGTGTGGAATCATTCTATCTCCACGCTCGCGAGCCATTCGCTATTGCTTCCTCCATGGCAAGACAGCCCCGGCAAGAACATACCAAGTATAAGCTGCCACTCGATCCAGGAACGACCTCAGGCCAAAACATCTCAGCTGCTTCGTCGATGGATGGCTACGATTCACTGGAAAATACCAATAACAAAAAGAAACGAAAGATTCCGTCGGCGGCAGATACCCTATTGCGAGGGGGCGTTTTTTCCAACAACAGCTCCGTCGACATGTTAGAGCAAGGAAGTGGAACGGACGATGGGAGCAAATCGGCCGCTCATGGACCAGCCGTCCCTAAGTCCCCATCTACGCATAATGATGGAATCTCTGGCTCCGGGCGCGGAAGACTAAGCCGTGTAGTGCCTTCAAGAACCCCATTGATGACCCTTTCCGATGGGAATAATACGTGGCCAAGCCGGTCAATGAAGACAGAGTTGTATCATCTCGGGACCAGTACGTATTTTTCGAAACCCAAACTGGCCTCCTGTTCAAATCCCGCAATACATACCAGCCAAGCTGACATTTTTTCGAAACAGGTCACGGAACAAGCGGCATCATTTCAAATGCCATCGCAAATGCAGAGCGACTGGCCCCCTCTGGACAGGAAAACGCGGGTAGCCTCCTACGACAGCACGCAGACTCCGAGAAAACTACGCCGATAGCTTCGCAGTTTACATTCACCTGCGGATTACAGGTGGCTAGTACAGCGTCTTGGCCCGGTGAGCCCCTCGGCAGCCTACCTTATAGGCGTTAGATGCTGATACCTTTGTCAGATACCCTAACTGCGATGAACGGCTTTGCGGAAAGCCCGCAGTCAGAGCATTTGGATAAAAGCAGATATGCCCTAACAGACGCGCCATCCGACAACAAAGCCACAAAAGAAGGACGGGGGAGATCACGGGCCAACGGTCGTCAGCTCGAGAGAGATATCGTGCTGGCCGCCCGCGATCGTCGGCAAGCCGCTGTGGATTCTTACCATCACAATCCGCCAAGACCCGAAGATGTCTGGATATGTGAGTTTTGCGAATATGAACGGATATTTGGTAGCCCCCCGAAGGCGTTGATACGAGAGTATGAGATGAAAGATCGCCGAAGTCGCCAAGAAGAGGCGGATAGGCGGCGTCTGTTGGATAAAGCCAAAGCAAAGAGCCGGAAGGGTAGGAAAGGCAGCAAGGCGGTCAAGGGGACACAGCCGGCAACTCAAGACCTGAATCACGGACCAGAGGATCATGCTGTAGCAGAAGCTGCTCCGATGGAGCCTGGCCACTGTCACTCCGCACGATCGGAAGTCGATTATGAGGACAGGGTTGATGGTCACCGGCCCCAGGACCCTCCTGACATACCGGAACTGCTTGCCAATGGTTCAGTACCGGAAGGTGTTCCTATAGACTGAAGTTGAATGTGCGTGGCGAGGAGAAAATGCCCTATCTTGGTGAGAAGAAAAGGTCGCAAATGGAGCTAGGTGGTAGATAATGGTCTTTGGGTTGGCGCTGAGTAGCTGCGCTGGGAATTGCGCAACTAATCAAATAGCTACATATTTGTCAAGAGCCCAACACAAGACTGTGTTTAACCAGGTGGGGACGGATATTTTCTGCCCAGTGTCATCGGGGTCATAATTGAACTGTCTGTTCCCTTTCTTTGTTAGAACGACGAGACGCGGCAGCGAGGCACCACGGCGCGTAGATGATCCAGGGGAACGCGACGGTCGGGAAATGTCCAGGTACATATTCCGGTGATAAGCATTAACACATTATCACTTTACTCAGAAGACGAAGGACATCAACTGAACCAGTCCTGTTCGGGGCATGGCTCTGAAAAAGTTGGTAGTATTCCCTGGTTTAGACAGAATTAGCTTCGTGGGCCAGTCAACCAGCCAACTGAAGAGTGGAGGCAGTGTGTCGTCATCAAGGCCTTTTAGCGCCCCCCTTCCCGAGTTTCAGTGATTTGTCTCCCAAAACTGGGTAAATGCGCCATGCTTGACCCGTCACCCGTCCTAGGCTTTGTAGTGCGCGCTCCTCGGCGAGCCCAGATTCGAAAAGAAGCTCTTGTTCCTTCACAACGTTGCTCATGGAACCATCGACTGATTCCCTCTTCTGATGCCCATCCGCCCCTAACCTGCACAAGGCTACAGCGGCCTAGTTGCCCATTATGTTTGGTCGCAAACATGCTGCACCAGTGCAGGTAAGTTTCGCGCCTGTTCGAGGTACCTAGCCTGGCTATGGAAATTAAACTTTTCTGATTTACCGGCTACTGTTCAACCGTCAACGATCATGCCTAGCCGGCCGGAATCGATTTTCCTTCCAACAACCTCGCCTTTTATGATCATATTCCAGTGCTAATCATGTATGTTGTTCGCTCGCCGCAGCCCTTGACCAAGGAGACAGCCAATGCGAATGCTGCCACCGCCGCCGCTTCAGCCTTTATGCGTCGCGCCTCCGATGCGTCTCTTTCCTCCGCCGCCGCCGCCGCCGCCTTGAGGTCTCGACCTACAAGTCCGACCAATGTTGCCGATGTACAATCAAAAAGACTGTCGCGGCGGAGCCCATCTGTGTCCTCCTCCACAGGCAAGCGACGCGAGCTGACAAGGACCCCCAGTGTTGGCTCAATGATGGAGCGCACGTTCCGATCGCCATCGCCCGGCCGCAGTCCAGCGCCGGTATCCTATGACGTACCTCCTATCCCAAGTATTCCCAACACCGACAAGCCCTCGTCTCGACCAAACAGCTCCTCGCGCAAAGGTTCCGCTGGCCTGCAGACCCAAAACTTTCGGACAGCGAGCGAGAAGATGAGAGATGGCCAGAAAGGGTCTTGGTTTGCTGCTGCTGCCGCCCACGATTTGCATACAGTGCGCCGGACAGCCTCGGAACTTCAACTCTCCTCGACCCGTGCGCCATCCGAACCACGGCCTGGGAGCGTCAGCCCGTCAATCAACTTCTCGTATCCCCGCGCAAGACTGCACTCGCCTAGCAGAAGCTTAAGCTCGCTTCAATCAGACGATCAGCCTCTGGTATACGACCCAAATTCTCGGCGCATGGTGCCAAGGGCCCAACTCGAGGCCCGATCGCAAGCTACATACGAAGAGTATGAACAAGTCATAGAGAGGCCTCAAACCAAAAAAAAACAATCAAAACAACCTAAAGAGCTGAAACAGCCTCGCTTGTCGAGAGCTGGTTCCCATCTCTCACGTGGGACCGTCGCAAGAACAAAGGCGCCTGTCTTAGAATCCGACGAGGTACCAGAGCTTCAGTCACCCCCCATCGCGGCACTCGAGCCTCAACCGGACCGAGAAATGGAGACCGAGATAGATGCTTCACTAGCGAAACCAAAAACGAAGAAAAAGAAGAAGAGGCAGACTCAGCCCACTGCCCTGGCGGTCCCTGAGTTAGCGGCAACAGAAACACCGCACAGCTCTATTCCGGAAAGTATAAAAGCTGAGCAGCCCTTTGCATCTGCGAAGAGCAATGCCGTCCGGTCATCTCCTATGGAAAATGCAGCAAAATCTTGTAATGTGGCGAATGGCGCCACTCCTTCGCCACACGCGAAATCCAAAGTGAAAGCTGTGGCTTCAAGAGAACCTTCAGAGAGCCCTGCTCGCTCTGCCAGATTTGCAGCATCAACAGACCAATTAGTCGTGCGACACGAGCCGCCTTCACGATCACTTTCCCCTCGCAAGTCTGCCCTGAAGCATTCCAGTCCTACCAGAGCTGTTTCACCTTCTGACGATGGATCGGACGTCTCGGCAGCCCCTGGCTCCCTGGCTTCTCCCGACGAGGCCCGCAAGAAGAGCTTCAGAGTTAGTTGGGATGATCGAAGTACAGTGGTCGTGAGTGAGCCTATAACGCAACATGCTGCCGAACAGGCTGCTAGTTCCAGTCCGCAGACCAAGAAGTCGTGGCACAGCATCATTGGCAAGGGAAGCAGAAAAGATGCCGTCTCGGTTGAAAAAGAGGAGACCATGTCCCCCAGACCGGCGCTTCCCAGCTTCGGAAGCGTACGGGAGAAGAAACCGAAGGAGCAAGAGGAAAGACCGCTAGTTCGACCTGAACATGTCGTCCAGAACGAAATACCCACTGCAGCTGCAGCTGCCGCTGCAACTGCTTCAACTGCGCTTCCTATCGCGCCTAACACGTCCAAGCCGCGAGAGCCCTTACCAGTTGGTCTTCCGTCTGTGGGGAAAGAGGAAGAAGCTTCAAGCTCAGAAGATGGTCTAATGGAGGATACATCCGATGATGACGTTGATTCTGAAGTTGAAGCTGACAGTGGTGCTAATGGCGTTTCAACGAAAAGCAACCAATTCTCTGGAAATGCTGTACCAACAATAGCAGTTTCACATGCTAGCCCTCTCTTGCCGCAAACCGAACAGCATGAACAGGTGGTATCCGTCAGTGTGGATGATGATGAGAGCTCTTCGGGCAGCGGAGAACTAGATTTTACTGATGGTCATTCCAATGGCACCGTCCTCCTCATGGATGATATCAAGGAAGAGGAAGAAGAGATAGACATGTACAGCGATGCTTACGAAGAGATCGCTGAACCAGAAGGCGATGGTTTTTTGTCTTTGGACGCTGTTCTAGAAAGCCCAACTAGCTCGCCCAATGCAAAGAATGCGAATGGCAAACCTATCGCTGAAAAGAAGGAGCTTACAGCTGCCGAAACAGTCGATCGAAGCGACACCCCGGATGACTGGGAGAACGCCAAGGCCTATTGGAAGAGTCTCTCGTCTGCAAAGCGGCGACAGCTAGAATGCGAAGCCATGGAGGAAGGCGAGGAAACGAGTCCAGGAAGCCCCCAATCAGCGAACACCAACCTACGCAAGTCAGCGAAGGCCAATGCAGAAACAACGACCCCCACAAAAAAGCGCTTGTATCAGGTTGCACCAAGCACAAGTCTATCATATAATAGTACGCCGGAGGCTACCCCGACCCATCCAGAGTCGAAGGCGAACGGTAGCAGTATGCGAAAGTCAATGAGAGAAAGCCAGTCCAATGGCGTGCAGAAATCTGAACCTCGAAAGCTTGGTGGCAGTCTTCGGAAGTCTATGCGACCAGAGCAGCCTGTCTCCGCCGACACAGAGTCTCTTCCCCGGCCTTTGGCTGGGTCAACATCTCCGACCTCTGCGCCCCGCGTCAAACGGTCACTTCGTCACAACTCTGTGAATTTGAGCAGCTTGGAAACACGGCCCTCGGTAAGCGCGACTGATCGTCCCGCGTCATATCATGCACCTGTGAACTCAACTTCTTCCACGAAGCACACGAAAAGTCTTCGAGCGAATGGCTCTGCTTCCGCCGAGTCTGCAATGCAAGGCGCTGGCATGAAGACGACGTTGCGTCGCCGCGGCTCTGATTCCAGCGAGAGTAGCTTCACACGTGCGCGGGCTGGCTCTGCTAGTACACACGAGTTCCGCAGTTCGATGCGAGGCAGCATGCGCCAGCCACCAGCCACAGCCGACGAAACTGCTCTCAGAGCGCGACGCGACTCCGCCTCATCTCTTCCAACGGGAAGCAGCTTTGGTGCGGGTCGCCTGCGCCAGTCCCTTCGTGGCGAGTCGGCAGATCCGCCTACCAGAAGACGCATGCCCGGCTTCGGAAAGTCGACGCCAACCAAATCAAAGAAGGGTAAGAGCAACAGTCGATTTGACGACTCGAGTGACGAAGAAGAAGGATATGCAGGCATAAACTTTTTCCAGAGCCGTTTTGCAGACTCCAGCTCCGAGGACGATGAACCACAAACAAAGTCCAAGGGCAAAGGCATACCGAAGTCGTTACGCACGAAGTCAAATGCTCGTGCCGCCTCCAGTGCAATCGTTGGGCCTGATTCTCCCATGCTTGATAATGCCGCTCTCACCCAGTCTCAACTGACACAAGTTGTCGGAAGCCCTGTCACCGGCCGGGGACCGTTACCACTGAACGAAGATGCCGACAAGCCATTCCGGCCCCAACACAGCAGACGCGGCAGCTTCATCTCACTACTGAGACGTAAGAAGGACTCTGCGAACAGAGTCACCCGCGACCTGACAGAGGCCGCCGCTCGGCAAAATGTCAATCTTGAACGCAGCCCGCAAGAGCTGGAGGCGCTTCGCAACACACCGCTGCACAAGCGCGGTCCAAGCTGGCCGCTTCCCGAGCCTACGGAGACGACTGCTTTCGGAGCCGACCACCAGCACTCGCCAGACCGCCCGTCTACAGCGGGAGATGCTGTTATCAACACCAGCTCCAACAAGTCCAAATTTATGCGACGACGCAGCGCGTCACATAGCATGGTTCCCGCAGACACTGCCGACATGGACGACGACCTTGTCACAGATGCGGTCCCGCAGAAGAAGAAAAAGTTTGGCGCCCTGCGGAAGATGTTTGGACTGCATGACTAGAGACGTGCCGTCTGCTGCTGAGCCGAACTACGCCCAAAAGGTGTCGAGCCATGCTTGGTTCTACTCAATATATGATACTCTTGCTTCTTCGTTTTCTTGAGCAATGTTCACTTGCGCTTTGACCCCCAGCCCACCTTGATGCTGTATGCCCTTTTCCCAATCCGTCATTCATTTTCCATGAGCTTGTTGATCCGCACGCCCTCGTCTCTTTTTGTGTGCTTCTGCTCTTTTTCGAAATGTGCCTTTGCACTAGAAAAAAGTATCATGTTTTTAATTTATTCCTTATCTGGCACGCACTTGCGTTTCTTTTGCGGTTCTTTGGATCTTATAAAGCAAAGGGTCTAAGTATTGTTATCATTGGATTCATGTTCATTTGAGCGCTGGTCTCGCGCGTAGGGAAGAATTGGTTTGAAGAGTGTTTGTATTGGGGGGCTAATAGCTTTGCTTTCTAAAGTTTTGAAACTAGTTGGATTTTGTTTTCGTCCTTTCGGTTTGCTACGACAGCTTAATGTTATTTTGTGTAATATTGCAATAAGTCGCGAGGTCATGAATGAAGTTGACGGTCTGTAGGACGCTGAAGATTGGGCCTACAATGGAGAGGTCATGTCGCGGTTTATCGCCGAAGGTGGGTTCTATTTGGGCAGCACATCAATTAATTATAGTTGTATTAGGCCAGAGTAATGCATCCCGTCCTATTTTCCAACCTGTCTATAGATATATGCTAGTTACTGTAGTGAAGCTGCTTTCCTTGCGAAGCTGTGAAGGTAGGCAATCAGCACGTCCTGCTCCGGGTTAGCCACGGCCCCGCGACTTGTCTGGCCCTTAACTGCGCGACCTTTCTTTTTCACGCTCCAAGAGAAGCGTGAGCTGACTTTTGGTGCGCCCCAGGGGTAGCACAGCAGAGCTACTTGGCTGTGTGGGTGTCAGACGGGCGTCTAGTACAGACGAGGCGGAGGATCCCCCGTGCGAGCTCGTTTCATATTTGGCAGAATTTGAGGTCGATAACTGAGGTAAACTTGCTACGCTTCCAGCCTGATCGATTATAGTCCCCTGAGCAGCTACATTGGTTGTCGAGGAAGTCGCCACAGTAAAGAGGGAGTGTGTCGGCTTGGCGGTGGAGTGCTCCCTCAGTCGATCTGGTATGGTGCTTGACTGAGTGCGGCGCATCACTGGCTGCTTGCCGCGGACCATTTTATCGCGAGCCGATATTTTTGGGGCTTCCTTGACGTCGTGTTGCGCGAAACTGTCCACAATGTTTGTCGTTGTATTTGACTGTTGGCGAGCAGTATCTTTAACACCGCGCGATTGACCAGCGTTTCGTATTTGTTGCGCTTGCGAATTCCCTGGGTTACGGACAGGCTGCGTTTTAGATTTCGGCGATGCAAAAGCTGGCTCGTGGGCTGCTGCAGGCGACTGTGATCTCTGGAACGTGGCGCTTCCTCGCACATTGGCTTCAGTGTCAACAACTTCTTGTCTCGCGATGTCGAAGCCGTTTGCTAATGTACTTCCTGATGACGGAATATCACTCTCGACACCATCTTCCTCTGCGGATTCGTGAGGAGAGACGAAGCGAGCAGTATTCCTGGTCATGTTTATCGACGAGCTGCCCATCTTTTTAAGGATAGGAGGCAGTTGTGATGGGCGAATACCGCTGAAAGCGGATGCTCCGACACATTTGCCATTCTGCTTTGTTGCCGATGCTGTATCATTTTCCGGCTCGACGAGGAAATTTCTTTGCAGGTGAGCCACGATCAGTTCAATTGTCAAGGGACTGGCCTACGCTCAGGTCAGATGGGGTCGGCAGAGGAGATGCGGCAGAGGCGACAACTCACATCTGGCCCTTCCCAGCGATTAGCAGGCCCTCTTAGCGGAACGATGGTCGGACCAAGAGATATGTCGTGGAAGATTCGGGCAAGAACACGGCCACTAAGCTTGGACCGGTCACTGCCCCAGACATGCCACCAAAAATTTTCTAGACGGCGAGCAGTGGGGTCCTTGAGCTTTTTGTTCGTTGTGGTGTATACTTGAAGGGAGGCGTGCGAGTAAGCAACTATGTAGCAGAGGTTTAGGGAATCGAACTCACCATGCCAGTATTGATGCACCTTGTCAGCGGGTAATGTGGAATAGGCCGCTACTTCATCGTATACGGTACTGGAGTTGGTCAAGATGCCCTTGGGCAGGGTTATTGGTCCTGTGAAATCCATGGGAAAGTGCAGAGGCTTGCAGAGGCCGGCAAGTATTGATGAAATGGAAGAAAAGGGTAGAAAAGAGGAGGGAGGGGGGGGAGGGAATGGTCCAAATACCCAGGTGCCTTGGAGACGAGGGTTGGACGAGGCCGACGAGGCCGCCGCCGTGGTGTTGTGCAAGCAGGTGAGTTGAATGCAGGTTTGCGGATGACCAGTGAGGTGCGAGGCCTGGTCTATACTCGACGATGTGGCTCCATTGCTGCGATATGCCAAAAGTTGATCGTGTCCGACGTAGGCTCGCCAAAAATGCGAAATTAGAGAAGAAGAGCGTTTTAGTATTCGGCCCGGCCGGCGTTGAGGCACGAACAAGTCGGCGCAGCACGAGGTCCGGATAGCCCTTAGCAGTGACAGGCTGCTTTTTTGTGTACTGGTGGCCTGAGAGGACCAGGATGCGGTAAAACCAAACAGCGACGACCAATACACGGTGCAGCGGGAGTGAAATGAAGTGTGTTGCACCGCTTCGGTGGTCGTAGTACGAGGTCGGCTGGGGAGGGGGGGGGGTCCAAGGAGATTGAATCTAGTCAAATCGGGTTCAATTGGGCGCTGAGACAAGCAGGGTCGGAGTGAGTGCCAAATGCCAACCAAACCAAAACCTGGGTCGAGCGAAGGGTCGTGCCAGGGCAGGGCAAAGCCGAGAGAAAAGTCAGGTCAGTCAGTCGGTCGCGGTCTGGTCTGGTACCTGGTAGGTAGGAGGTAGTTAAGTCGAGGAACCAGCAGTCCGAGAGCGGCTTGGGTGGGGGGAAGGGTTGGTTGCGAGTCGTCGTGGACGGAGGAAGCACTGCAAACGCTGACACCGTGGTCAAGAGAAGCACAATGACAGGTACCTACCTAGGTAGCAAGTGTACATAGGCAGGTATAATAATCTGTACAATTGTAGGACAAGAGAAAGGTGCAAGAACAACGTCATTTGTTGCTTGAAAGTTGAGCCTCGTCGTCTAACTAGGTAGGTAGGTAGTGAATGCACGGCCTGAACCACCCCACTGTAGATGGGCATGTGCCACCGCCCACTATTAACTACCTATTATCGACAAACGAAACCGGCCTATAATAATAACTAGTTCACTAGAGGCAGACCGCTTGAATGGATAAGTCGTGAAGATGATGCCGAGTCAGTTAGCCCGACACTTAGTTACTGCCGTTTCGACTAGATCCTGTTGTTCCATTCCTTCAGATACCTGGTATGGATTCAAGGTCACGCCAGAGCAACGACACTAGTGCCTCCTGCCGCAGCTTCTACCAGTACATACCATACCATACATACCACGCCATCCCCCAAGATAAACCCTTTTCGACCCAATCACCATGCAAGTAATCCATCTGACAGGGACCAAAACACATCGGCACATCGAGTCAGGCCCCCATTGTCCAAGCAGCGGCAGATCAGTCAGACTTCCCCGCGCCAGCCAGTACTGAGCCGCACCAAAATGGTCTCACATAGCCAGTGCATCACGCGGCCTTTTTTTTTTGCGCCAAGGGGGCTGCAAGCATTGAGGGGCATCGGCCTCGTGACAGAATTTCAGACGAGCTTATAGTAATGATATACTAATATTCTAGCAGAACTATAATTAATCGGCAGCTTTTATTCGAACTATCCTCAACGCTCCACAAACGTGTTGACTATCCACGGCACTCGCATTCGCTTTCGATCCCAGCGCAGATAACTGGTTTGCACACCAACTCGTATCCCCAAACCAAGGTGTTTGCACTTCTCAAATATGTTCTTGTGTGACATGCAAACAACTCGTTGGGTTGAGTGCCAATCTCGATCGTCGTAACACAACCGTGCTTCTCATCGTCATATGTCCCCCCTTGGAGAACTTGAAACTGCTTCCTTGTATCCTAAAAACTTCGCAACTCAACTATCCATCATGGGGGGTCACCGAGCCGGCAGAGGCGACACCGAGTCATTTTTTCGCTTGTAATATTCCATACTGGTGATGACCTTTGCGCCGTACGCTAACTCACGATTTTAAACACTCTATTTTCCAAGAAAAGACGTTTACGTGAGTGTGTAGCCACCATCTACTTTCAGGTCAATACCGTTGACGTATTTGCTGTTTTCCGAGAGCAGGAAAATAACAGGTCCCATCAGGTCACTAGGATCGCCCATCTTGCCCATGGGAATGAGAGAAACCCATTTTTTCTTGAGCTCTGGGTTTTCGTTGAGAATCTTTCCGGTGCTAGCGTTTGAGACCTTGTTAGATATCGGTCTTGCTCCTAACAAGTTCCCTTTACAAGTCAATCACTTACAGAGCCGTCATCATGTATCCTGGGCTCAGGCAGTTGACACGGATGCTGACATCCGCCCACTCAACTGCAAGAGAAGCTGCGAGATGGCGTACACCAGCCTTGGAGACATTATAAGGCCTAAAGATAGCTGATTAACACTCGTTGAAGTATTCGTCTCTAATGGCGGGAAAACGCACGTCTGGGGCTGGGGCACGTTAACAATGGAACCAGACATGCTGCCAATCAGGACCATGCTTCCTGGCGCCTTGCGTTCCATGAGATGACGCGCGACAGACGTGGCAAAGAGGTAGGTGCCGTCGACGTTGACAGCCCACAGCTTCCGAAGACGATCAATGGGGTAGTTGACGGCCTCGTAATTTTCGGTAAAGCCGGCAGATGTGACGAGATGGTCAATCTTTCCATGCTGCTCGATAACTTCCGCAATGCAAGCATCGACAGACACGGGGTCAGAGACGTCCGAGAAGTGTGCGGTCACCTTGGGGACCCTGGGACGTAATTGTTAGACGAAGAGCCGACTGGGCGGTCACGAAAATCGCGAGAATAGAATGGAAAAAGGGAGAAAATGGTTCGAGACAGGAAAACTCACCGCTCAGCATCGGGGTTCTCTCGCATGAAAGATTCAACCAGACACTTCGTCTGCTTCTCAGCCTCCTCCTCTGTCGACAAGTCAGCGAAACTGCGCTTCTGCCAGCTGCCGAGCAGACCTACTATTCATGTCCACCAGAGCGACATCCGCACCCGAGTACACCATTCCCTGGGCAATGACCAGACCCAGACCACGCGCACCGCCCGTGACGAGGCCGACATTTTTGTCCAGGGAAAAGGTCTGCAGCGTCGGCTTGACGTACTGCCCACCCGCGCGGCGCACAGGGTCACTCGGGAGCTCCTCCTCGGGCGGAAAGGGGATCTCGATATCCGAGTCGGTCTGGGAGTGGCTGCCCGGCTTGTTGCGACGGGACGGTCCGTCGTGGAGGGTGCGGGTGGCCGCCGCCACTGTAGGCGACGGGTACAAGAGACCGGGGCGGGCACCGGCGAACCGGCGGGCAGCGTTGCGCGCGAGCGGAGTGAATCGTGAGGCCATTGCGTGTAGTGAAAACTGCGGATGTGCAAATTCGATGGAATTTATCGCAATGTGCCCGAATTGGTCCAAATTGGAGGTGTTGTGCCCAACGTACCAGTCAATCGCCAATGACTTAATTATCCATATTTTAACCCACAAAATTCCCTGCTGGCAGCTCAAGCATCGCCTGCACAGTAATCGTAAAATATAGACAACGACTCTGCTCCGTCAATATCTCATTCCCAGCGTGTCGCGGAAGAAATCTGATAGAAAAATTTCCACTGATCATGTCTTTAAAAGAGCTTCAGATAGTCCAGCACTCAACATGAATTAATTTTATCTCTCCATCTATCGTCTCTCAGCTTTTACCCAATTGTGAGTGTGACCCCCTCGGTCTCCCAGCTCAAATAGTTGCTTAACTACTGCCGACGGGCAATTACAACCGACATTCCACTTTTCCAGGCAGCATAATTAAATCAAACACCGAAGGTGGCTTGAACTGGCCCTTCTAGACCCTGTGGCTACACGCCCCTGGCTCTTGTTGCTACGCAAGCCACAATCCTTAGACGTGACGTCTACACAAGTGATATCTTTAGTTTCGGGGGACTGACAAGCTATTCCCCGTGCGACGCTTTTTACAAGTCCGGCCAGCACATAGATGCGATTTCGCAACGACAGGTACGATGTGCTCTAGCATAGGCTGCCTTTTTTTTTTTTAAAGTGTCTATCGAAACGTTAAAACAAGTATACATGCAGATGATGTCTGCCTCCGCCGTGCGCCAGTCATGATAATATCCTCTATAAGTTTTCGTACGTCGGCCAAGATGCCAATCGTAGGAACCATAGCTCCCGCCTAATACTTGCTTTCCCTAGACATTGGCGTATTGCTTATTAAAAGCACGTCCAATGACCATGCGCCGAATCTCCGACGTTCCCGCGCCAATCTCGTACAATTTCGCACTACGGAGAACACACTGTTAGCCCAAATTCCGCTCCAGCAGACGAAGCACTTACTCTCGTAGCAGGCGCGAGGCCGGCATCTCCTCCACGTAGCCCATACCACCCAGCAGCTGGATGCAGTCCAGCGAGCACTCGGTAGCGCGCTCGGCCGCGTACAAGATGGCGCCGGCGCAGTCCTCGGTGCGAACCGTGCCCTGCTCGTCGACGGCGCGCGCCGTCGCGTACGTGTACGCGCGCGACGCCTGCAGCTTGGTGTGCATGTCGGCCAACTTTCCCTGGACGAGCTGGTTGTGCGCAATTGGCTGGCCAAACTGCCTGCGCTGGTGGCTAAACGGAAGCGCCACATCGAGCGCGGCCTGCATCAGGCCGAGCGGCCCGGCGCTGAGCACCAGGCGCTCCAGGTCGAGACCTTCCATGAGCACGCGTACGCCGCCATTGACCTTGCCGAGCACATTCTCCTCGGGCACAAAGACGTTGTCAAACATGAGCTCGCCCGTGTTGCTCCCGCGCATGCCCATCTTGTCGAGCTTGCGGGCGCAGCTGAAGCCCTGGGTCGTCGTGTCGACAATAAACGCCGTAATGCCCTTGGATCCCTTCGTGGGCTCCGTCTTGGCATAGACGACAATGACATGCGCGTCCGGCCCGTTGGTAATCCACATCTTGGAGCCGTTGAGGACGTAGCCGCCGTCCACCGCCTTGGCCGTCGTGCGCATGCTCACCACGTCGCTGCCCGAGCCCGACTCGGACATGGCCAGGCCGCCAACACTCGTGCCCGCAATCAACCCCGGCAGGTACTTTGCCTTTTGCGCCGGCGAGCCGTTGAGCTGCAGCTGGTTGACGCACAACTGCGAGTGCGCCGCGTAGCTCAGCGCAATCGACCCCGACGCCCGCGAGAGCTCCTCCATGACGATGCAGTGCGCCTGGTACCCCAGACCCAGCCCGCCCACGTCCTCGTCGGCCGTAATGCCCAGGAAGCCCGCGTCGCCGAGCTTCTGCCACATGGCGTTGGGGAACGCATTGGACTTGTCCGTGTGCGCCGCTACCTCCTCGGAGATTTCGCGCCGCGTAAATTCTTGCACGCGCTCCCGCAGCTCCTCCAGGTCTTCTGTGGCGGGCGCCTCAAACCCCTTGGGATGCTTGGACGAGTGCAGGCGGGACTGCATCGACGTCACTGTGATGGTGGGACGCAATTGCCTGACGGCAGGGCGCGCCAGGATGCGGAGGGCCTTGAAGCTGGACATTGTAGATTTCGTACGGTCGGATTTTGTATGAAGAGAAACGGGGCGTCCTGGAAAGAAACTGCACAAGAAAAAAAAGTGGCAGACACAAACATAAGCCCCGGTCGGTTGGGTTGCAGAAAAGAGCCGGTTCCCCGGATCATGGCGGCCGAGGACGTTCTGCGGCTCACGTGTCGGCTTACTGCGGCTTGACGCGGCGACACGGCTACCCCAGGTTTCGTGACCGCGATGGTTCGGCTTAAGGCCTGTCTTACTACCTACATCCCCGTTTGCGTGCGATACACACCTTACATTTTTCCTTCCTCGCTCAGCTGAACTCTCCCAGCATAAGAAGACTAAGAAATTGCAATTTACTCGAGCTCCCTGTGAGCGTAGCTTCCCCTCCTTCTACCTCCGCCATCATCACACACCCTCCAATGTCCTTCTCGCGACCCTCGCAGCAGGCGATGCGCCTCAGCCGCCATCTTGGCCGCCAATCCTCCGCCGTCGCCGCCGCTCAACGCCCAGCGCGCGGTGTCGCCAACCTCGCCTCGCCGCACCAGGCAGCCGCTATCTCGCGCATCCAGAGCAGCGTCGATACCTCTTCCGACGAGTACCGGGAGAACCAGACGCAAATGGCCGCCGTTATGACGCAGATGCAAAACCTCTCGGCTAAGATCCAACGGGGCGGCTCTGACAAGGCCCGCGCCAAACACCTCGCCCGCAAGAAGATGCTGCCCCGCGATCGCGTAACCGCCCTCATCGATCCCGGAACGACCTTTATGGAGCTGTCGCCCATGGCCGGCTACGAGCTGTACCCCGAGGCCGAGGTCCCCGCCGGCGGCATCATCACCGGCGTGGGTGTGGTCGAGGGCGTCACCTGCGTCATCGTTGCCAACGACAGTACCGTCAAGGGCGGCACATACTACCCCATCACCGTCAAGAAGCACCTTCGTGCGCAGGCCGTGGCACAAGAGAACAAGCTCCCGTAAGTGACACCTAGCTATGGGTCTGCCGGGATTCGCTCCTCCATCGCTCAATCGCGAGTGCTCGCGTGCTAACACTCTCTCGATAGCTGCATCTACCTTGTCGACAGCGGCGGTGCCAACCTGCCGCACCAGGCAGACGTCTTCCCCGACCGCGACCATTTTGGCCGCATCTTCTACAACCAGGCGCGCATGAGCGCCCAAGGCATCCCCCAAATCGCCGTCGTCATGGGCCCCTGCACCGCCGGCGGTGCCTACGTCCCCGCCATGAGCGATGAGAGCATCATCGTCCAGGAGCAGGGCCACATCTTCCTCGCCGGCCCGCCTCTCGTTAAGGCTGCTACCGGCGAGATTGTCAGCCACGAGGACCTCGGCGGTGGCAAGATGCACTCGTCCGTCTCCGGCGTCACCGACTACCTTGCCGTCGACGACGCCCACGCCATCGTCCTCGCCCGCCGCAGCATCAGCAACCTCAACTGGCCACAACGCTCTGCCGCCACGAACCCACCCGCAAAGACCTTTTCTGAGCCCCTCTACGACCCGGAGGAGCTTCTCGGCATCGCCGCGACCAACCTGCGCAAGCCCATGCCTATCCGTGAAGTCATTGCCCGCATCGTCGACGGCTCCGAATTCGCCGAGTTCAAGAGAGACTACGGCACGACATTGGTGACTGGCTTTGCCGAGATTTACGGCCAAAAGGTCGGCATCGTCGCCAACGACGGTATTCTCTTCGCCTCGTCCTCCGTCAAGGGTGCCCACTTTGTCGAGCTCTGTACCCAGCGCGGTATCCCACTCGTCTTCCTACAAAATATTTCCGGCTTCATGGTCGGCTCCGCGTCCGAGCGGGAGGGCATCGCCAAGCATGGTGCCAAGCTCGTGACTGCCGTGGCCTGCGCCGACGTGCCCAAGTTCACTGTTGTCGTCGGCGGCAGCTACGGCGCTGGTAACTACGGCATGTGCGGCCGCGCATACAGCCCGAGATTCCTGTGGATGTGGCCCAATGCTCGTGTCGGTGTAATGGGCGGCGAGCAGTTGACTGCTGTCATGGAAACGGTTGGGCAAAAGGCCGACCCTGAACTCCGCGCCAGAATCGACCGTGAGAGCGACGCCACTTTCTCGTCTGCTCGTCTATGGGTATGTATTGCATCACGAAATGAAAAACACTTATCACGATACTTTCATGCACACGCTGACTTTGTTGGAATAGGATGACGGCATCATTCCCCCACAGCATACCAGACATTACCTTGGCCTTGGCCTCAAGGCTGCCATGGGCGGTAGAAACGAGGTCAAGGCTGGAGATACCAAATTCGGTGTCTTTAGAATGTAAAACACTAATAATTAGAAAACAACAAGGGAAAGAAAGAGTTAGACGAAATTTGGCAACGAGCGTGCTGTAGTCATGCAGCCACATGAAATAGTCACTTCATATTGTACCGAAGTGCGAATTAAGCATGCCTCCTGTGATGCAAATGTCAATCAAATTATTGCAAAGTGAGGGCTACTATCTTTTGGAATTTTTCTACAGATGCAATATGGTATCTAGTCCGGATCTCATCAACGCCGGTGCTATCATCGCCCGCGTGGCTATAAACAGGTCATGGTTAAAACGAAATAAGAACAGTACATTCCAATCCTTATACAAGAGTTCATCCTTTCATCTTGAATCGCAAGTGCATCATAATGAAGGCTAGATTCTGCGGTCGCACATGCCGGTTGCAGATTCAGCTAACTTTTGCTCCCCCAACAAGCCCATCTCCCAAGTCAATGTGGAAATTGACGAGGTTGAGCGAGCCACCATTACCGATAGTAATATTAGAAGCCTCTTTTTGCGTAATTTTGGGGCCATTGCTGGAATCCGCCGTAGTGATCTTCGTAAGAAAGGTTTGTACACCACTCTGCGCGTCTTGCGCATTGTTCACGCCACGCTCTTGAAGAACAAAGAGTACCGACACCCGGCAGAAGTCAATAACAGTATCAGTAGCATCAAAGGGGTCGTCATCATTGGCGCGAACGCGAATGATGCCACCCTTGTTAGTCTTTGGGCTGGCCAGCCGTGGATCCGAAAGTGTGGCGTGAGATCCTGTTGCATCATTGGCAATTTGTGCGGCCCATTCAGCGCTGACTTGCCGTGGAGCTCTTCTCACTTTTGGGATTGCCTGCTTTTCCGATGTGACCCGAGAAGAGCGACCATTAAATGTAACAAGCGAGTTTTGCGCAATGCAGGAAAGGCCACTAGTATTGATCTTGGCCAAGATCGAAGTGCCTGACAGTGGAATGGAGAAGTTGGAATTTGCCTCAGCGATAAGCCTAGGAAGTGATTGACCAAGGGTAACATTCCTTATCATCGTGGTCTTGTCCGTCGAGACTATGTCGGTTGTTGTGCACCCTACTGATCCTGCAGTACCGCAGTCTGAGCCAGTGAACCCCCCAGTGCATATGCAAGAGCAGGTTCCGCGAGCGACAACATTGGTACCACCGTTGAGACAAGTGAGATCGGTTCGGCACTTCTCGATTCCAGTGTTTGCGGAGTCACTCTTGTTGAAAACGAAAAGCTCGAGAGGCACGGCGATAGCCGCAATGATGATGCAGAGAAGGAGGATCGTAGCCACAATGACGGCCCAGAGTGGTAATCCACAGCTCCGGCGTTTGGGACTGCCATCTTTATTCACTTTCTCAGCTTTGCCATTCGGACCGGATTTCAGCGGCCATCCACCTTGCCCGAGCCAGGAAGATCGATTGGGGCCGTTGTTGAACTGGGGTGTCGATACTGGCGGTGGGAACGCTGCAAGCATATCGGACAGTCCTGACGCTGGACGGCCACCTAATCAATAAAATTTAGTATAAAAATGGGGAGCGCGATTGTGGACAAAAGAAACCTACCTCGAGTATCTGCACGTCCCTCGCTGAGCTGTTTCTCACTAAGCAAATCGCTCAGAGTGTCCATTCGACTGGTAGGCCGTTTGCCTTTGTCTATCATGGCAGCAAGTTTGGTTGCTCTGCGGATCAGATCCGGCAAGCTAGTAAGACTGCCGCGTGATTCTGCTTCTCTTACTGCATCCATGTCGATGCGTAGTCCTCGTTTCATGGCTGAGTTGCGTGTATTGTTTGCTGACGAGCTTTGGGCCATGCGAAAGCCAGCGGGAGTACTAGAGCTTGCGACTGCATAGGCTTGAATAATGTCGTGGCCATCTGCCTCATCATCTCCCGCTTTGGCGGGCTGTCTCGCAGTACCTAGGATATTCCAGGACTTCCTCTCGTCATTGACTGCCACCCCTGCTGGTGTCCGATTCGCACTGCTAGGTCTTTGTTGGTTCAGAACCTTGGGAATCGCGGCAGAATCGAGCTCCACAGGTTGTACCAGCCGCTTCTCATCACCGAAGTCACCGTAAATTGACTGCGGGCTGAAATCCGTCATAGATTCTTCGTAGAATGTCTCCGCGTTCATGTTGCGATCGTTCTCTACAGAAGAACCCCAGTTGTCTGGCATCGCAGCGCTGGAGGCATATGAGCCGTGAGACCTTGCATACGGGTTCTCTTCGATGATAGGAGAAACGAATGAGGCATTCGAGTAAAACGACGACGCGCCTCTGCGACTAGATGGTGGAGGTCCCAGAATGGCGCCCTTCTTCTGTTGGTTCGACAGGCTCATCGAATTGGCGGAAGGAAGGTCCGATATATATCCAGTGCTAGGGGAGTACTGCGCAGAGTATTGCGATCCGGGAGAAGGCTGGCTATATATGCTGTCCTGGGGGCTCTTGATGGTTCGCACCGGCGCGATAAACAGAGGGGTAGGTTCCTGCAGGCGGGTTTGGTCAACCATGGAAGGTATTCGGCTTGGGCGAGGAGGTCGTTGAGGTGCCTGTGAAGGTCTATTGGCAGGAGGTCGGTACGAGCTAGGCGAGCCGGCGATCCAAGTCGGAGACGGGGTCTCGGGGGCCGGGTACTGCGGCATCGGGGTTGGTCTGGATATCATCTTCCCAGCACCGCCTTCGTATTGTGCTATACTCTTTTGCTTGTTATTTCTGGAAGAAGACGATGTTGATTCTGCTGTGCCCGGTGCAGAAGAATACGCTGGTGCAGGATCTTGAGGGTCTCTTTGCTGCCGCTGCTCAGCCGCCATTCGTGCTCTGGCAATGGAGCCGGGTTCTACCACGTGTGAGTCCATTCCGCGGCCATTATACCTATCACCCATCTGGCTTGCCGCTGTATCCTTATGCGGTGTAGAGTTCTTCGTATTTCTTGTTGAAGATGGGTGACACAGCCTGTAGTGCAGGATGAATTTGGACAACGTCGATGCAAACAGTGGCAGTGTTTGCGGCACAGTGTACCACAGCGAGATCTGAGGCTGTTGTTTGTCCCTGTGCAATTTCACTGATTAGTCTGAGGATCAAGCGTCGTGATTATTTTGTAAGATGGGCGGATTTGCAAGACGATAATCGAGATAACCATGTATGTATTCAACGGCAGTGGAGAGAAGGTGAGACATTGGTGCTAAAATTGGAAAACCTACCGGGCGCGGTGCGATTGGCTCTCAGATATATTCCAAGACAACGGGTGCTCAGCCAGTCCCGTTTGTGTGCCCAGCGGAAGGCGAAAAGGGAGTGTAATTAGGGCTCGAAGAGCTTTCGAATCCAGGCGAAGTTGGGCAGCGGTTGAAAATATTTGGGGATGGCAGTCGATTCCCGCGAGTGCAACAGTCGAGTTGTTCGCTCACCACCTATCAATGCCGACGCGAGTGGTGGTGTTTCATGCAACCTGCTTCGTGTTCTAGTACCTACGCAGCAGTAGAACTATGGCTGCATGCTAACAATGCTGCACAAACGAAGAGCTGAAAACGTGCTGGAAAGAGGGACTGCGTTTGTTGAAGCGAAAGTGGTAGGCGCTGAGTGCCAAGTGAGAGCGTCGCCGGCGAAACGCGCAGTTGGAAGAAAGAATGAACGGAAAACGATGGACAGATATGGCGACGGGCCAGAAGAAAGAACGAACACGACAAAAGAGCTGCCAGGAAAAGAAGGGAAAGTGGTGAATGGAAGGTAAACGAAGAAGGAAGGAGCGTAGAGGAAAGAGCGACAGTCTCAGCAGCGCGAGAAAGGAATGGTCTGAAGTAAATGAAAAGTCGAGGAGGAATTAGAGGCAGGCCGCCGGTACCAAAGTGGAAGGCAAGCTCACTGATGGCAGAGGAGAGGAGAGTGGCACCCCCGGGGTTCCCTTTGTCGTACAAGTCCTCAGTGTTGGGTTGGGCGAACGGCGCACAGCCCTCTGTTGCGGGCACGATAAGGTAGTTAATTAGCACGTTGGCAAGATGGGGGCCGAAAGAAAAAGAGCACGCAGGCCAGCAGAGAGGGGAGTGAGGGGAAAAGAGGCAATGTTGGAAAAGTGACAAATAATGAAGCTGCATCTGTATGCACACTATCTACCTAGGTATGTACGAGGGGGGGAGCCTGTCCTGCGACAGATGAGGCCGGCAAACGCAAGTAACCAAGGAATTGGCCTGCTTCAGACGCGATCAAAAACAGTAAGCGGTACTAAGAGGAGGTAGGTAGGTACAAATTAGTTAGCTACAGAACGGCATACACCTACTACCAGTCAACGACGTTAACATGCACTAACTACCTCTGTTATTAGCCAAAGGCACCAGAAGAAAAAGAAAGGGAAAAAAAGGACGAAAAGAAAACGTTCCAGGCAGGCAACACAATTGGCCCCTTGCAAGGCGATCCCACGATCGCGTTGGCCTGTCCGTTTAACTCTATTGGGCAACCGGAACAGCAGGGGGCCATGATTACAGGGGCCGCACCGCCAAGAGAAGCCGCAAAGTCCACCAACAGCAAATCTTGTGGCGGCAGCCTGCATGAACAGCCGACCAGCAGACGGGCACAAAGACCGGAGTTGGTCAGGGGTCTGTCCGTCGACTTTCTCCAGTTCCCAACAAGCCGGTTTTTGGAATACTGGTACACTCAGCTGCTTTGTCCAATGAACTAAACACGTCTTCAATGCACTCCAAAGCTTCGAGGCAATACGTGCCACTTTATCATTTCAAATTCGTACAGTATTTCAGTACCTCGGGGCACCACACCTATTCCCGAGTATTATGCCAAGGACCAGTAGTCTCAGCAACGTGACAGGGAAAATGACCTGCAGCTGTTTCGAGTTGAGGGAGGAGGGGCAACGAGCAGTCACAATACGTACACATGATTTCCTTCGCCTTGCCCTCTCGCTCTGCCTGCGTTGCTTCTAGTTACCACGTCCGACCGCCAAAAACGCCATTCCAACACCTACCTAGGTACCTAGTTGGCGGTCAGCTCAGCCATCAGGCGCTGAGCCTCTCATTCTCCTTGCTTTCTTCTTTAATGAAATTGCATCCCCCTTGGCGGGGCCACGGCGAGAAAAAGCACCTGTCGCCTGGAGCAGGTGGCATGACGGCCCTCCATCTGCAACGCCGTGGCTTGTTCCAAGTTGAGACGGACCCGGGACGTTGTCCAGTCGCAGGTCATCCGCCGCACCACAACGCAGGAACAGGCATAGTGTGAGCGCTACATGCACGCCATTGGCCATACTGTACATAAATTGTTGCACAGACGTGAATTAAAGGATTGATGCGACTGGGCCTCAACGCGCCCCCCCTGGTCCGTTTTTTTTTTACCTGAGAGAGAGAGAGGGACAGTTTGTTCAGTCAGTCGGTTCAATTGGCCCGGGCCAACATCGCAAAATCCCCCCTGCTCACAACAGCCAAATCCAAAACACTAGTGTCTTGTTCCTGCAGTGCAAATAACCCGAGGCCGAGGAACTATGGCTGGGGCCCTCGCTCAATCAGCTTGCTACAGCGCCTCTGCTCCTTTAATAAGACACAAGGAACTCAATTTTGCTATTGTCATATTACTCTTCGTCTTCTCTTTCAGCCCTAATGATGCTAATAGTGTGATTTTTCGTCTCCGCCAGCATTCACCAGCTATCAACAGCGCTTCGGTCGACTTTCGGCAGCCCCGACGAGTACATCTCGGCTCCGTAAATGATCATCTATATTCGGACTGCACAACGCGGAGGAAAATCTCTTGGCACTTTTGTTTCTTTTTTTTTTGCTTCCGCTACAAGAGGCAGCTCCAAGAGGCTCACCAAGACTTCTAGTCCCGTTCATTGTAGAACCCCTGCCAAACATATTTCCCTCCTCATCATGCCAAGTAAAACACCTCCTCGAGCGTCTTCCACCATTCACCAGACTCCGAGCTCACGGCGCCGTCCACCAGACTCTCCTGGTAACTGTCCGTCATCTTCCACCATTCTCGAACCGTTGGATTCTCTGCCATGCGACGCATGTCACCCTCAAAGTCGCTGCCCACGTACTTCATGGAAGCAAATAATAGTCCATTCTTATCATCATGCCAGATGGAGTCTGTCATACAAGGCAATTCGCGCATGTTAGCCTGGAAATTGTTCATGTCGAACGTAGCCGTGGCAGGCTGAAGGCGACTCCGCCGCAACTACGGTTGTACCGGCCCTAGACGTCGCGATCCCTTTTGCGACTTACATTCTTTGATGTTGCTGTCTTTGATCTGCTTCAGTACTTCTGGCCATGCATTGGCGTGGCAAGCCTTGTACTGCTCTACGCAGTCTTTACGTAGACGAATGACTTGGCCAAAACGCCTCGTGCAGCTTGGTTCGGACATTGTCGCGTCTGTTCACGAAGCCTGTCAGTACTGTACACCCAGCGTAACCGATTTCTTGACAAGCCCAGCTTTCGAACGTAACAGGCATGATGCCACACCTTTACGCGGCCGAGCCCAAATTCTTTGAACTCTTCTGTGCAGGCTCCGCCTGTAGGGTAGCGTCGCCGGTAGACCACGCAAATGGTGACAATGGATACAGAGAGCCACTCACGGAGATGCTGTCGTGATCCAACCTACCCGTGGTTTGAACGGAGTGGTCTTGTCGTATTTTCATGCCGTGGAATAGTTAGAGCTGCGCTTAACTATTTGGCGATCGATGCAAATAGGTTCGATTCGGCTCATCTGTGGATGCCGGTGCGGGGTACATTTAAAGAAGAGTCCCTACTAGTTACATACGACGTCGTCAAATGCACCGTTTCGCAGGGATCGACATTTTCAAAGTAACCTGTCATCATACATATAGAATTACAACTCGATAAAATGAGTACACCAGGTAAGTTGACACTAGTAGCCCCGAGCAGTTCCAGTTCATACTGTGATAATCGTAAAGACATATGCGAATGCCATGTCCTGCATGCTGCACCAGTAAACATTTTAATTACTTAAACAAAAAATGACCAGTGGCATGTTGGCAACCAAGCGGCCTCAGAGGGGTGAGACATAGATCTGTAACTTTGAGGATCACTGCATCTGAGACATGCACAGGGGATTGAGTCAAACTATGCCATCAGCTGTACCTTTTCCTCCGAGGTGGCCTGCTCATTGTACGTCGCTTTGTGAGATTCGTCGCGCCTGTCGCTACGACGCTTGCCGCGGACAAAACTGATAAAGCGCCCAGCTATGCTTTGAATGCAAAGCGCGAGACTTGCTAAGTTAGTATGCGACTGTAACGGAAGCAGACGAGTCAATACGTACAACGCGATAGCGACCCCGGCCGTGACTCCCATAAAAATGGGCATAATGATATGTCCAAGGACGCTCTTCATAAGATGACGCCATTCCTTCTTGGAGGTAATGGTAGGCTCCGTTACCTTGATATCCCCCGCATCATGCAAGTCGGAATACGACGGCGGCATAGGTTCAGCCTCAGAGCCCGGCTCTGGAACAGCTGCCTTGCCACAGTTCTTGATTCGGTGTGCCTGTACCCACAGCTTGTCTGCCAGTTCCTTTGCGCGGCACCAGATAGTGTCGCACGGTGATTCGACTGGGTGATCGAAGGCCACAGTGGACATGGCGAGGTTTCCACCTGGAGTCTTGATGAGCTCAACCTTGACAGTGGGTACACCGTCGACAAATCGAGTGCCAACTTCGATGATTTTCAGGTCGACTTCGATTAACTCCATTTTATCCTCTTCTGCGATTGCCTTGGGGTATACAGCGAGGCTGTAGCCAAGCTTCTTGCTCCTTGGCCTCCTGTGGCCGTTGACAACGGTAGCCTGTAAGTCGGCGCCCCAAGGGTCGGTTTCCGGGTATAGCTCGAACCCGTTGAGCAATAGTTTCTTTTCATCCTCGATCGTAAAGTCTAGGCGTAGCTGAGTGTGTCTACCCCTGCAACCGCGACAAGGAACTGATATGCTTTGGTCAAATGCCGACTTCGGGGTACCAAAGGGGAATGCGCTGCCGTGACTCTGGATTGGAAGCGCCTTGAATATATTTTCATCGTTCTCAGACATCTCTGGAACAATGATAAACGCCGCCGCGATAGCCGCAAGCGCAAGTGGCCTGAGCAACATGATGCTGGCTTAAATAGGTGGTTATCTTTCGCGCTGGTAAATGAGGGCGTGATTCACGATGGAAAGATGCCTTAACAGTATAAACATTGAAAGAGACAAGTTGATGTGGCAAAGTTGGAGGGAGGGCGGCAGCACAAGACTATGACGAGTCCAGTGCCGGAAGAGGCGGAGATGGCTTTCGCCCCACAACAACGACGGCCTCCACAATCTGGAAGATAGCTGCTTACATAATGACTGTTGTGCACGCTTATTGGTCTACAGATCGCTGTCTGACGCAGAACACGCGACACCTATTCAGTGCCGCGTGTCCTCATTTGATCGTAAAAGGTACACGTAATGTGACCATTGTCCATTGAATGAGTCTGTCGAACAATTATCTGAGCCCAATGTCGAATCTCAAACACGATTCTTAAAAAATGAAGCAACTATAACAGCCAAGATATAAGTAATTTTTCCGACAGATTCCAACACACGATTCGTCAGGGAAACCCTCCAAGTGGCCCACAGCGTCTCAAAACCCCGAGCACTGCCCTCTTCCCTCGCAGGGGGCGCTAAGTTTCCCTTCGATTAGAGATGCAATTAAAATCCGGGCTCTTGGACACGATGGAGTGGCCCACTTCCTCCCCAGGGATAGCCCGGGCTGCGAGAAGGCGTAGGATAGCCTGGTTCTTCGTCATCCCACGAAGTCGGCGAGACCGTGGTCCTAAAGGTCGAAGGGGAGGGGTATGTCACTGTCAGGTCCGGAAAGTTAGTTCATACTGGATGTTCATAAAACGAAATGACCTTTACCTCTCGAGGTGGTGCCGATGGAGCTAGAAGAATTCCCAGCGCCTGTCTCGGTCGTTGATGCAGGCCGGGAAGTGGCGTGGGTGTGCTCGCAGGTGGGAGTCTCAACATATGATGGCTCAGTGCCATCAGTCGACGACCAGGTGGTGGTTGTATTCAGAAGTGTTCCAATTACGGTAGAGTTTGTCGAAACCGTCGGAAGACTGGTCGTCCAATCACCTGCACTTCCCGTACTCAGAGGGCCGCTGCTCGTGGTTGTGAAGCCTCCTGACGTGGGAAACGCCGACAAGCTAGCGTTGCTTAAAGGAAAAGGGGTGAGAGTCACGGTCATGGTGCTTGTGGTGTGTAGAGTCAGAACCGAGGCTTCATTTGCAGAAGCCGTTGTCTCCGGGGGCTCTGGATACACGGTGACGGTAACCACTTCTGTAGAAATGCTCACTCTAAGGGTCTCGGAGACTGTAGAATTAGGCGTGACCTTTGTAGTGCTGAGATTCTTGGTCGAAGTTGACAAGGAGGATAGACTGGTGGTGTTCTGCGCACTCGAGACTGAGCTGGTGACGTTGCTGCTCGTGGGGCTTGTCGGTACTGGCGTGCGAGTGGCTTCCGTAATTTGAGAATTTGTTCCAGGAAGCTCGCTCAGAGTCACAGTGACATTTTGGAACACCGTGTGTGTAGTAGCCTCTGGAGAAGTTGAGGTAACACCACTGACACTGGAACTGGTCACTGACCATGGGACAGACGAAAAATTGAAGGAAGCAGAGAAAGGGGGAAGACGAGAAATGGGAGTAGGCCACTCAATAGTGGAAGTTGTAGCTTCCTTGGACGTGACCGAATTGTTTGCACCTGCGGTCGCGTTTGACATGCCGGTGTAAGTCTCCGTTCGTGTGATTGTGATAATGCTGACCCCCGATGTCGTAAGAGGATCCATAGAGGTAGTATTTTGGCTGGATATAGTTCCAACAGTCGAAGTAACATTCTTATGTGACGTTGAGAGACTTGTGCTTGTTTGCGCTGCCGTCGAGGAAGTGCGGCCATTCGACAATGTGATCGTGTGCAGCGACGTGATCGTGATGACAGAAACATCAGCATCAGAAGCTGCCGAGGAGACAGACGAGTTGGTAGATGGGAGTGATGATTCTAAATCTGTAGTAGTCGGCGTGCTAGAGATGAAGTTTGTCACTGTCACAGTGACAGTCTCGTCTTGGCGTGTACCGGTCTGTGAAGCTGCGTCTTGGCTCGAGTCAAACAGGGAGGTGGCAGATGATGGCAAAGATCCTCCATCTGGCGACAATTGAGTGACAGCAGAGGTGGATTCTATCTCGGGGCCATTGCTGATTCCAGGAGACCTGGGCTCGGTCGTGGCGGTAGCCGGATGCGGGCTTGGGGTCGAAGAAGGGTCGGAGGACGGCTCACCAGCAGTGTCGGTGGGGGAAGGATCTACGATTTGTTAGTATCAAATTAAATGAAACCGAAATGCAAAATACTTACAAAAAGCAGTGGATTCAGGAGAAGCGTCAGGGCTGCCAAAGTCGTAGGCGACTGGGGAGTCGTATTCATCATCCGGAGCAGAGACAGCGGGGGCAAACACGGCACGTTTCAAAAGTTGAGAGCGATGAGGAGTTTTCAAACCCACGACTTGCTGTCCATTGCGGTGACAGTCAGACAAGACGGCGAAGGAGCATAGGGCGAGGAACACCCATAGCCCACACGAAGCGGGCTGGTATCTCATTGTCGGAGGTGAATCAAAGAGCTGTTATTTCAAATTTAGCAGGAATATATTATAATACGGAAGAAGGGAATAATAGGTCGTACCTTTAGTGGAATAGTTATTGTTGACGGGTGAATTCGAGTCCTCAATAGGAAAGTGAGATGAAGGTGGAGGAAGAGGCGGAACCTGCAGCGTTGGCGAAGGTGGGAAATAAATCAGAGGCTGATCTAATGCAGTGATTTATAAAATAGACGAAAGTGAGCCGAAAGTGAGAGCAGAATTTTCACTCTCGAGGCAAGCAAACGGCAAGAGTGGCAGCCCAGGGTGTGAAGAGTCACCGTGCAAACGGATCAACAACGAAGACCCGCAGCTTATATATACTGTATTCAGGGAATTGAAATATGCCCGCGAATTAAAGCTATCGGTAGGAATTCCTTAATCGGGAAACTCGAAACATGGACGGGGACGTTCTGCCGACTGGACGGTGACCTTGACTCCTCGCGGCCTAGGTAGTCGGACAATTTGCTACCATACAATCACAATGTTTGCATATATGCCTGGGAACATAAATTACAAAAAGGACGGCTTTCTTGGCACTACACGGAGCTAGTTATCTCGAAGCTGCTTCCGGATCGAGCGTTGAGATGATTGCTCTCGGTGTGTCGAGTATACTAGGTAGGCCTGCGGTGTCACCCACATAGCCGAAGTGCAAGCTTTGCTGCGCGAAAAATTACCTATGTACAACGTAGCGCGTCTTTCCGTCAAGCAAACGCCATTTTGATCTGACGGACGAAGAGATAAGAGGCTAGTTACATGAACTTGCGATGGCTGCGAGACGCCTGAATTGCAATTTTCACCAAAAGAGGCTTCACATAGACTAGATATGTAAATTTGACAACAAAGTAGCATCTATATTACTGAAAATATGTTTATATGATTACCTCTTCTGCGCACTTGAAACAGAAGCTTCATTGTCGAGCTTCCTCGCAAATGCTGACGGCTCGATCAGCACCTTAAGACTGAGTGAAGTGTCGTGCAACTGATACTGGCTTGCAATACCTTCTCCACCGAGAAAAAAAATTGAGAATAAAGAATTATGTATTATCAAACCTCTTGGCAGTTTGTGGCCCTGTCTTGCGTCATGTTACTGCTGCCCACTATTTAGCTTAATCTTGCCATCTCTTGATTTATTGAGCAAGCATCATCTTCGCCGCTCCAGACATCTGTCCAGAGCTTGGTTATGCGATAACAAGGCATGGTCAAGTTCCGCATATCAAACACTTCGTTGCACAATTTACCCCCCGTCGGATCAACTGGCACCCAGCTTGTCTCTGTGAAGTTTTTCTAAGCAAACGAGATAACAGCTCGGCCACATTCCTTCCACATTGTAACATTGAATTTTGTGTTGCTATTGTTCTACAGCGTTTTTTTTCCTTGTGCGAAGCCGAAACTAAGAAGTAGGGTCTCTATCAGGATCGTACTCACACGATCAGTATGGCGACTCGGGAGAAGCACGAGGGTGAGCAGCCAAGACAGAAGTACTGTTGGGTACGCCATTGGCTAAATCTGTGGCAAACGAGTTGAGCAGAACGAAAGCGTAGTTGTCGTTGCAGCAGTCTCCCAAGTTGCGGAAGAAGCTTCTAGCTAGACACGCGATCACAGCTGGAAACGACCCCAAAAAAGCTGGCTGTGTAGAAGAACACGGAATATTGAGGCTCTCATCACAATCCACGGCTGTTTGCCTAATGCTTTCGAAAACCTTTGAACTAATGTTCAAACCGACCGATACAGTAGTTACTGCTATGACCTTTATCTGAAAATGGACGAACGTAGAAAGGTAAAGTTCGCCTTTGCATACGAAAGTGGCCTGTAGCTTACCTGGTCCTCACCTTCTGAGGAATTTGATCACTTGAAGTCACAAGGCTTGGGTATTTCTACATAATTCTTGAATGAAGCCCACTTTAAGAGGGCACCGCGATGGAAGTTAAGAGGCGCGACCAGGGCAACTGTAAAATCTACATGCTGGAATGGTCAAATGTACTGAAAGTACTGCGGGTACGCGGGTACCCGAACCGCGCGCCTTGGACATAATATCGGCTGCACGCTTCTCCCTGAAAGTAACCCAGTGCACTCTAATACAACGCACCAAAGTAAGGCAATTGATATAATTGCTATGATTCTCCGTGGCCTCTGTCTAATGCAGCATAAACGTGATGAGATTACGGCGACATCGATTGCATGGCTCGTAGGGAGCGAGCGCTTTACGTATAACCCCCATAACATGAGTCCTGCAATGCAACCTCTCAAACAATTTTAGCTCATTTCAGCTGGATAATTCGGGCTGTATTAATTTGTGGCGGCTGACTCACGGCCGAGCGGGACCCGGAGTGTGACTATCTTTGCCGAAAGCCATCATGAGGCTGTAGCCAGCCAGAGGTGGTGCCGCTAACGGGCTACCGTGTTCAAGTTGGTATTATTAGCATAAAAGGCTGATATGGGCCATCGGCATGAAACCACAACATTCTCATCAAAACCGACGACCCTCCGATCCACCATGACCGACGAGCCGAGATACATGCCCAACAACCAGCCGCTTCGGGCCTTGTCAAAGACCCCGAAGCTGCTGTTTCAAGCCGCCTTGGAGGAGTTTGTCGAAAAGAATGAAGTACCAACAACTTTTGAAGAGGGGCATCTCTCTGGAATCTTTGCTGGATTTACTGGTATCCCTTACATGTTCCTGCAGCTGTCGGAGCTGCACCCCGACGTGCAAGTGAAGGGCGAAAGCCTTCGCCAGTTGGCTGAGCGCTACATTAAGGTCGGCTCAGATGCCCCAATGCTAAAACAAGACATTGAATGTGGCCTCATCAGTGAGAAGCTCGGCAGAGAAGCGCTGACAGCCTGCTTGTCAGGAGACGAGAAAGACGTGGAGCGTTTTATCGCCAGCACTGCTGACATAGCTAGTCCGCCTTCAATGACAGACGAGCCAATAGCAAACGAGATCCTGTATGGCAGAGCTGGTGTCTTGTTTCTACTGAGACTGGTTCGTCATTGGGTACCCCAGAGTCGGGCAAGGCTGGAGGCACAGATGAGGACCATTGCCGGCCGGATCATGGAGTCCAACAATCATGGACTAGATAGCTGGGTCTGGATCAACAAGAAGTTTGTTGGTGCTGTTCATGGAGACATCGGTATCATTACGCAATTGGTCATGTGCCTACCAGAATTGGCTGCTGCACTCGAGCCACACCTGCTACGGCTTCTTTCCATGCAGTTCGAGGACGGAAACTGGCCAAAGTACATGGACGAGGGCGAGACGGAATCCGACATTGTCCAGTTTTGCCACGGGGCTCCAGGCTTTGTGATTAGTCTGCAAGCTCTGCGACCATACTATCCGCATCTCAGTGCTGCTTTCGACCACTCTATTGCCAAAGGAGTCGAAATTACGTGGGCCAAAGGTTTGCTGCGTAAAGAGCCGGCCTTGTGTCATGGAATTATGGGAAACGCACTGTAAGTATTGTTGCACAGGTGGCAACGAACAACGAGATGATGGCAATATATTGACACATGCTGGCAGGGCTTTGCCTCGAGGAGAGAAACGTGACCATTTCTTGGCACTTGTTGAACCCCAGGCGATTGATGAGATGAAGAAGAAAGACCCAACCGCGTTTGGCACGGCCAACTATGGCATGAGATATTGCATACCTATGATTTACTCGATGAGTGCGGTCTGGGTGTGGGGTGTTTGTGAGCAAGACTGCCCTCCATTCTTTGCTTTCAGCGACGTATAGACAGCCCGCGAGGAGTTTTGAAGCGCGCCAATATCACATCATCATGATAAAAGTACCTGACAGATCTCCCATACTCGGGGAGGGACGGGAGGTGCAGCCTAAAGTGTCTGGACTCGGGAAGGCGCGCTCAACCACTCCACAAATACAGCATCGCCAGCGAACCATACTAGCGTAAAAAGACATCAGTTCGGAGAATTCAAAGCCGAGAGTTGCTTTGGCAAAGCTTTTGCAACTAGTGTTTCCAGCGGCGTTAAACCACGCGCTACTTGTCAGTGGTCGTCGATTGACACGTCTTCCGTTTACGTCAGGACTACATAGCCGAGCTTTATTGACGTGGGGAAGAGAGTTGACCGATTAATCACTCGGATCCAAACCGACATATAATCGCGACTCAACATCTCAACATGAATTGTTCGATTATGATGTCAAGGAAAAACCACAGGCCGCGAGGTGGAGCCCGCGGAGTGTCCATGGATGTCATGTACGATTCACGGGCTTCATCGCAGACGCCGAGATTTTGCTACGCATAAAAAAGGCGAAGTTGCAGGCAGATAGGGGGATGATGAATTACGAACCAGGTGAAGAATTGTTCTTGACAACGTTGTTAGAGATCTTTCTCGTCCAACAGTACACTTTGCTCAACCTGGGTTGAGATTTATACCGAATATATCAATACCAGCTACCTGAAGCGCCTATAGATGTTAATTACAAACAATTGAGACGTACGAGGACTGTGTAGCCGGGACAGGCAAGCCCTTCTCAGACTTACACGCGAAGAGTGGAGGGGGCGTGTGCGCTTGAATGTGTAAATGATGCCTTGGAGTGCCTTTTCGAGTTCTAGAAAAGTAGGAGAAAATAAGAAGATCAGGGGCGGGACATATTAGCAGTGGGTTGCTATCACCTAATTGGTGCGGGTGAAATTCGCCGGGTTTCTTGGCTCTTGGCGGCGTCGGCGACGGCCGTACGGAGTTTCGGCTTTTTTAACTAGGGCTTTTCGGTTCTTGTTTGCCGACGACGTCAGCCATCAGTTCATCCGTTTTTTATGCTGGATTGAGTCTTCCCGAATCGGAGAGCGCCAAGAGATAATACCTGGTCCGTAATCCAAAGCAAACTTCTATTGTTATTGTGATAGTAGTCTCGACGATGTATATTGACTTGACGAGGCCAGCAATCCGTCGGTGTATTCAAGACCATCCATCTGCGCGAGTCAAATTAAATGACACTATGCTTAGACTCGTGCAGCCTCAAGCAGATTCCTGCCAATCGGTGGCACTTTTATCTTTATAAGACTGTCTAATGTTGTTTGTGGCTTTATTATATTGCAATGTAGACGGCCCGGGTATGCCAAAGGCCTACTGGATCCTGCGCATTTGCGAGAGAAACTGCCATATCAAGATTCAGATAGGCTTCTAAAGTTAAATATTCAGCTACTTTGTCGATACTACAGCGTGAGAAAAATGTAGTTCTCGGAATTTCAGGCATTTTTGCCGCTGTAGCGAGTTGCAAGGGGGACGGACGAGCCCCAGGAGCATTTATGAATAATAGCCCGTGTCGTACAGGATGCCTACCAGCGTCGAGACGAAGGCGAGAAGAAGAACATCTTACAAACGGAAAGTCCGTAGAGAAAGGGAAATAGTTTACGGAATTCCCTCATGGCAATTTCCGTTTGCAACATGGTGCTCTGGAGCAGGCAGGCCGACAATGCGACACCACCGATGAGAAACTAAAAGTGACAAGGCTTCTTCCTTCCCTGCTTTCTACTCCATCCCATCGAACGATCTGATCTAGCTTCTGGAATGAGACAAATTACATGTCTTGACCGGACTTTCCTTAGTCTAGTCGAGTATGGGACCAGGCCACGCCTATATTTCCGTTTCTCGGCGGTTCACGAACAAAGTATGGGGGTTTACGGGATGGAACAACGACCCTTGTCTCTCTGGCATGATGACATGACATATCTTTTTGGGGGGGGGGTTGTACCGTTGTGTGGCGCAAATATCGGAAATCATCGCAAAACTGAATCATGGCATGCAGTCACGCCACATGGTTCTGGCCTGGGCCGCGATCTGGACCACCACCTGCGAAGAGCAACATGGCCCGGTGCTCGCTGTCTTGCTTTTCCCCGCCACCCGCAACCTTGACGGGACTCGGATAGAAACGGCGGCTACGCCTGAGCGGGAAGATGATCATGTGCGACCACGAGGCAGGAGCAGCTCGGAATCTAAGTAGGCCCTTGGCAGCCGCGGCAACGTTGGAGGATTCGGCGAATGCACGGGCGCTAGGGAATATATCAATTGGGCAGCTTCATTGGTAATGGCATGCCCAATGCGTAAAAGTCCCTGGGCGAAAAAAAAAAACGGGTAGATGCTCTTACCGATGCAACAGCCGTTGAGCCACATCATGCTTCCGGAAAGCCAAGGGAAACTCAATATGAAGCCCGCATACAAAAACCAAGATGAACGGCGCCGTTAATGCGGGTACGATCGCAAAACCGGTGAATCAATCGCAACGCCGAAATAACGAACGAGGCTGATAAAGAACTCGACTTGGAGTCCGCTGAATTGGAAAAAAAAAAAAAGCGGCACTAAAGTCTCCTCCGCGGAGCCGCGGGCGGGACTGAAAACGGTAGTCGGGTCTCGGGGCTAAGAAGGCGCCGCGAATCAGGAATCACGGTGCATGTCGGGCCCGGTGATTGCTGGGCGGGCGACGACCTGCATTTCCAGAGTTAGCACGGGGCGATCGCCGACAGGGCTGGGGGGTCTGAACCTGACCTGGCAGAGGTGTTGAATTCTTATTAACTTTTTTAAGTTCGGGCAAGCACGATACCGCAGCTGCGGCACCCCTCTCTGCAGATGCATCCCAGGGCTCGCGAATAAGCACTGTAAATGCCGTAGCGCTGATGTGCGTGGCGTTGCATTGGTCTCGTTGTGCTGGTCTTAGTCTGATCTAGAGGGTGTCTGCGCGGAAACAAAAGTCACGACTGGAGATGGAAGAGTTGAGTCACAGCTGTCCAAGGTTGTCTGCGTAGGTGGCTTGAGGTATTAGCCGAGATTACAAACTGAGATAGCCACGAATTACTTATGGCTGAGTGACCAAATACGTGACCAGGACTACTGCTTGTAAGCACCCACTATTCACAGTCTTTTACAAACTTCCGATGAATCATCTGTGCTTCCACCGCTTACAAAGTAGGTACGCAGAGACGCTCCACCTAGCAGTCTAACTAGTAGAACCATCGTAACCTCGCTGACTTGTCCATGACGTGAAGCAGAGGGAAGGGCAACGAGACTGAAAAGTCAGAGGAAGTAAAGGTGTGCTTGCTGACCAGTAAATATTATGAAGTAGACAAAGTAAAGATGGAAAAAAAAAGAGTTTATCTAATCAAATGAGCTGCTTCAGCTCATGTTTAGCTGGCGCCAGTGTCTGGAAGTGGTTTGGCTTATGAGAGCATAACGCCGCAGAGCCTGGCCAGCCATGGCGGCCTAGATTGCAAACGAACGATACGTATTACTCCGTAATAAATCCTGAAGGTTGTCGCCACGTAAATGGTTTCAACACTGCTTTGAGACATTTTAGAACGAAGGAGGGGATAATTTGAATCACTCTCGCCTGCAGAGGTGCCGATGTCGCTCTTAAAGAGCAGGCGATGTTGGGGTTGTAGTGCATACGAAGTAATAATACAACTACAGGGTAACTAAACGAAGCGAGGAATTGAGCTGCATAGGGAGAGTTGAATAGAGTAGACGTCGATTGTGGCTGGAGAGGGAGGGGGCTGCAGAGGTCTCGAGTAACATGCCAACAGCGGTTGAAAGCCACAAACTGGATATCTAGCTTAAATACATGGTGCAAAAACAAGACCGAATCAAGAACAAAGACATGAATGAGACAGACGCCGCATGTGAAGCAACAGCGACACATTGGGCAGCGGCCCTTTTATTGCGACGTCGAGGAAGGGCCAAAGTCCGCTCAGGGCATGGTGCGGACTTTTCTCACTACCCTGCGGTCAAATACTTAGTTTACAAGCTATTACCCAGCTTACAGGGCAATAAATGTCGGCCGCGGGGGGTGCATTCTTCACAGCAGGGGTCCACAAGACAGCCCGTCTAGAAGCGATTCCATTGCGTCCACAGTTCAGTTACGGTCGAGGGCAAAGGAGCCCTGTAGCTTACCTCACGGCTTAGTTGTACTGTTTGTAAATGATTTGGGTATAACTAATTACAACCATAGCATGAGTACCCAAGCCTCTTTGAGGGAGTGTGGCTGTAGCTGGTACGCTTGCAGCCTCGTGGCGACCAGGTAACCGCCCCCAGCAAAACACAGGCTAAAAAAGACCAAAAATACAAACCTTGACTTTATTCACCACCCGCAACCACCCCCTACATTCTTTTTTGGCTGGGCGCTGGCCCGTGGACGAAGCCCCCGGTATGGCTGGTCGCACTCTCGGACATAGGTCCAGACCGACGCGGCTAACGCCACGCCCCTCTTGACAGCTTTTGGTTCACACCCAGTCTCCAGAGACAGACCTCCTCCCCCTCCATATCCATGGTCCTGGATTTCCCAGAGCAAAGCGGGAAAAGGCCGAATTATAAAGCCAACCCAATCTGATCAAGCGATCGCGCCTTGCACGCCCCCCTGGTGAAGTCATGATTTTTTTCTTCTTTACCGCCTGGCTGCTGCCTGTCAGGCTTCCAGTTCCCCAAACGCCGCTTCCATCGGCCTTAATTATTAAGCGTACACCCAACACACCCATCCTATCCATCCTCCTTAAACACGGCGCTCCCTCCGCCGTCTCGGACTTAGACATACCTCTTTTGTGCTTGTTTTCTGCCTCCCAATCTTGACTATCGACCCTTTTTTATTCTCCTGTCGCTTGACTTATATATACATGCTGGCCCCTCCGTCGCACGCCTCCGACACTAGCACATCATCGCCACTTACTCAATTATCAAGTATACTCCCTTCACAATGGGCTCCCAGAACATTTCTCCCCCTCCGCCCGAGGACATCAAGGGAAAGAAGCCCGCCTCAAAGTCCACCAAGCCTACTCATCGCGCTTCCAAGCGTGCCAACACCGCCACTGCTGCTCACCACCATGATATCATTACCGGCGCAGCTGCCATGGACGGCCGCCACAAGAGAGTATGGAAGGCTTGTGAGCGCTGTCGAATGAAAAAGACAAAGGTACACTCCTCACGCTCGACTGTATACTCTCCCTCGTTGTATTAACGCTGACATGCCCAAAAGTGTGACGGCGAGTTTCCTTGTAAGCGCTGTAAGGATGACGGGCTAGTCTGTACCGCTGGCATCCGCAAGAAGATGGAGTACAAACAGTTGCCTCGAGGGTATGTCAACTCGAACCTGACACTTTGCTGCAACCGCCACTTACACGATACCATGCAGCTACGCCGAAGTCCTCGAGAACACGCAGTTCACTCTCATTGCCACCATCCACAAGCTCTACTCCATGGTCCGCAGCTCACAACCTTGGGATCTCGGCGAGCCAGACCTCAACGACCGCGGCCAGCCTGTCGTGCACAATATTTCGCAAAAGCTTGGCTGCATCCGTCCCAACTCGGACATTGACCTCCCCGTTCACTCAGTATTCCCCGAAGATGAGTCCAGCATGGCTGAGCTCGCCCGCCAGCTCGAGGAGCAGCAACCGCACGACCCGGATGCGTCCGGCTCCAATCCTCTCACCACGGCCGTAGAGGGTGAATCTTCGGGCTACAACCCCACCGACCGAGCATCGTCCTCCGATCTCGACCACTCCGACATGGAACAAGATTACCGCAAGCTGGCCTTTGGAAGTCACAATGCCATGTCCCTCTCGCCGCAGAGCTACGCCAGTGCCAGCGACTTTGAGTTTAGCGCGACGCCAATCGATCTCGACGCTAGCGGCATGTTCTCGACACAATCATCGTCAATGCCCGACTTTTCATCACCGTGGGCGGCGGTACCGAAGGCGCAGCAGCAGCAGCAACAACCGCAACAGCCACAGCAATCGCCCGTTGCCATGTCCATGTCATTTATGCAGCCCCCGAGCTCACTACAAAACATTGTCATGATGAATCAGGATGCCCTCGACGCCGATTTTACGATCAAGCCCGACGACATTTTAACATACGCCAGTCCCGATGTTATGATGAGCATGGCGGACCCCATGATCTATGCCGGCTTCGACAATGAAAATATGAGAATCTAGGATGGATCGGCGGAGTTTGTCGCAAAGCGATTGTACATGGGTCAATTTGTATATTGGGAACTGGAGTTTTGATTTACATGTTTTATTGTGGGAAAACGGTGTTGGGGCAGGATATATCCGGCATTAGAGGGAATTGGGCTCGGGGAACTGGCAATTATCTTCTTTCTGGGCTTGTATAGGTTGGGCTTTTGATTTTGTGGCTTTGCACGGCGATTATAGATTCATCTTCACTGTCATTCCAACACGTTTATTATTATTTTGACAAGTACCCATTCGCTCACTCCATTGACCGACCGTGCAAGTAGTACGCATTTGTGCGGACGTCATCCTGTGGCTGCAATGTCGTCGTCACAGCCCCTGGACAAGGTATGTACACGTAGACCCTTGACGATTGCGATCCAACAGCAGCAGCCACCGCGACGATGCGCAAAGTAATCCTACCAATTGAGTCGAGGTGGGCAAAAACGTACATGCTGGCACTGTGCCGTCCTGGCAAAAAGTTGCCGGGCTGAAGGGGCTTGGCGACTACCAGTGCGACGATGGGGGGTGTGTGGCTTGATTTTTTTTTGGGAGGGGTAGTCCACTTTGGTCCGTGAAAAAGCTCACCAAAGCATTTGAAATCAATCTACATCCAGCAAGATGGGAAGAGAATTAAAGGTTTGGAACCCTGAAAAGGAAAACTGTATCAAAGTTAGTTTAAAGCATAATCCCTGCGTACAAGGTGGAGGAATGTGACGATTTCGGCGATGGGGCAGAGCACGTATTTTTATGTCAGTCTTATCCAAGCATTTGGCATCGCACGACTGATGACAAAGCGGACTTTATAAGTGAACTAAATAAGCTTGAGCATCAAGCAGTCGTTGCACCTATCGACACAATTCTCAATTACAATCTTTGGTCCCTCGATTAATAACGAAACACAGCTTATGAATTATTCAATTACATTTCGTGACCTGGAGTCAATGCCAAGGGCCACACCTTCCCCTCCCCTCTTTCTTAATCTTCGCTAACCAACTAGTTGCAACAACTTGCTACTCCCCAAAGGAGTTATACTATGACTTGACTAGCAAGCAGTGGGGATGATCCCGACAGTCTTTAATCAAACTTTGCCATTAAAGTAGTTGCATAACTCCCTGGAGATAGTTACTTCTGTATCTGCAGTGGTAGGTGCGTATTAACGAGGGTAGGTAGGGTGGCACGCCTGCCGATCAATCCTGTCTGCGGGAAGAAGAATCACGCGCCACAATTCCTCTCAACGTCAAATTTGAACGACTTGCTTGCATGACGTGACGCCCGCCCGCCCTCAATACATCGCGCTATTATACGACCCAGACCGCACTCCGTACTCTCATTGTTCCCGTCGTGTAAATGAGGATACCATGCGCCTCGACGCGTTTCCACTCCCGCAAGGTTGTTACCTGGGCACGGTGCCATCAGCACTACAGACGTTTTCCCATCTTGGCAAAAGTATTTCGGGAAACAACCGAGTGACGTAAAGCCCCTCGTCGCCCTACGGACGTGCGAGGGAGGTGGATGAGCAAATACCGGTGCAAAAAGCAGCCAAGAAACCAGCAAGGCCGTGATACTCTATCCATACGCCGCGGCGACCACTCCATTTTGTGGTTGCCGGTCTCCGGGGTCATGACCAGCTCCGGCAGGCGTCGCGTGGGGGCGGCTGACTCGTCGCGGGCGGGCTATGATGAAGCAGCGGGCCGGTGATGATTCATGGCTGTCTATATATGCTAGTTATAGCCTAGTCCATGGATCGACTCAAGGACGATCACTTGGAAGGAAGAAATTTATGCGCTTGGATACGCGCATCGTCAGGGACGAGCCCGTAAAGTTTCCCGTTTGCCCTTGTGGGTCCTCAAGGGGGATCGAGTAATCTGTACGGAGTACCAAGGTTGCTTGCTGTCTCTGTGCCATAATCATGTGAAGTTGAATGGCAAGAATACAAACAGTCTGACCCTGTCTTCCATCTTTTGTCTGCCTTACGGTATAAAACTTCTATTATTACCGATCTAGAACTAGCCGTGTGGATCGAGGCCACTCTCGACAACTGCCGTAACAGTCCAACATTTTTCCAGAAACTCGCCCAACGCGGATGCAAGCAGCATCCCGGCCCACCTCGTCTTTGGACTCAGACTCGGCGTCTCTTCTCCTAGAAGTTCTCGATCGCCTCTTTTATCCACCTACCGTCCATGGTTAGATAGGGTGCATCTCCCCCCTCACAACTGAAACTAAAGTGAGACCGTTGGAGGAAAATCGGTTCCGTGTGTTGATTCCGGCGGCTGGGTTGTGACATGATTGGACTGGAGTTTATGTCGATCCTGTCAACGAAGCTTATTACACATCTAATTGCTTATTACACATCTAATTATGGTTTGATTTTTTTTTAAATTTCGGCTCTTCACCATCTTCTTCACCGCTATCTAGATGATGGCGTCTGGACGTTTCTGTCGGCACAGGTCAAAATCTTTCTCGGAAGCTATTTCCGCAAGAGCTACCAGAACGAGCCACTGTAGTTTTTGTTTCTGTGTATTCACTGAGCTATACCATCACTTCCAGATATACGTTTCAGGCAATAGCTGGCAACTGTAGTTGGTCAGAATCGCCCGGTCAGAACCGCCCAGTCAGAACCGCCCAGTGAGTGAGGCTGAGAGCTATTGATAGGGGCTGATCTAAACTTGACCGCAGCGATCGTGGATTGGCAGTACATGAGGCGATAATAGATACACCAAATGCTGCGATACAACCGTGTTATCAACGTACTTATTGTTGCAATCAACAGTCAATTGCCGAGTAGCCAGTCAGACTTCGACATGCCCCCCAAGGCTGCATTCGGTGCGACCTGCCCGGGGTGTACGTACATGCTCAACATGCTCCTCCCGAGCATCGATACCAACGCGGCTCCATAGCCGCATACCTACATACTATGCTATTGGGCATGGGTAGAAGGAAACTCATCAAGAAGATGAGCTGAGAGTGGCGGCCCCTCTAACAAGTCTCATAGTCTCATAACGGCCGGCCCTCAGGCGCCGTCTTGGCAGCATACCCGTTGCAAGTTCGAGACCCCCAAAATCCAGTCCACCAAAGGCGGGGGGGGGCAGAATCAAACAAAAACTGTAACTATGCACTGAACTCAGCAACTATATTAGTTCAACGTTTTAGCGTTCAGCGGCGATGCGCGCAACATTTTATACCCGCCACGCAAGTCGCAAAAATAGTTGGGTTGGCAAATACGGACTGAGTATCTTTCCGGGGCGCGAGCGGCACTTGTCGCCCAGGCACTCGCCTTGGATCTGTCCCGCTCTCGAGTCGTCCTCGGGACCGAACTGGCTGTGGAGTTCCCGACGTATTCGGTGCAAACTGGAAAAGCCCGTTGAAAACGCACCCCCCTCCCTCCAAGCCTCGTTAACAGGACCTAGCAACGCCATGTGCGTATTACGCGTATTATCCTCCAGCGGAGGCCTGAGCTCCCCTCACCTTCACAAGCTGCTTTTTACTAGTTATTCGTACTTTATTATACGCTCTTCCGCGCCAAACGAGGCAGTGCCAGTGCCTTGGCTTGTCCTCCTTCGTCGTTGCCATTGCCTCGATAGGGCTTGGCAAGCTCAGCTCGCAGCCTCGTGTACTCCGTGTTACCGATGACTTGAACGCCCAAGCCTGCCCAGCGCCCGCTAGCTCGCCCAAGATTTCCCCGAAGGGGAACCATTCTGCGAGTTTGCTCATCTAACTAGCTCTCTCCGCAAACTCGGATTCGGACTATGCACGGCGCGTCTTTGTGATGAGTTGGCCAGTTTTTGGCAACTCGGGGCGCAGCCAAGGCTTACGACCCACAGACAGCTCATGACAAGGGAGCAAGCTATTGAATGAATTTGGTGACTCGCAAGTGCAGTCGCTAGTTATTCTAATATTAGCAGCTAAAAAGGATCATCCTCGCGGCTTGAACCAGCAATGCGCTAGCGCTCGCTGTCAAGTTGCAACTATGTAATAACTAGTCCATACCTAATGATACACCCATATTCTCACGGCAGAAAACAAGTAGTGACCGGAATTTAGCCTCCGTCGCAGAATTGTTAATCGATAACCAAAGTCCGAGTTCAATTTATTTCTAAACAGTGATGAAACGCCATAAACTCCGACCAAGGCCAATTCGTAGGGCTGGAATGTACGCCCGGTGCCCCCCTGGGTCATCCATCATTGTACTCGATCCATCGTCAACACCTTGTTCACCCATGTTAACGGGAAATTGCACCAAAGAGGCCGCCGGAAATCCCGTCAACTTTTGGTGTCGAGGAGCTGTGAGAGTATGCTCTCACTGGCCCGCCACCATCTCGCTCGTTGCTCGAGATCGTCACCGACGCCGCCCAGTGCGGCTTCTTTCCTCCGCTTTGCCTCACGCGCCGCGGCCCTGCTATTCTGCCGCTTCGTTTCCAGAGGGCCCAGTTCTGCCTCCAGGCGCTCTGCCTCCTTTCTCTTACGAGGGAGCTTTGACTGAAGGGCCTCCAGCTCGCGCGTAACTTCTTGCTGCTCTGCTTGGCGACGGGACACGAGCTGTTTCGTCTTGGTGAGTGGCAGGTTCATGTTGGGATTCGAGTCTGCTGTAGCCCTAGACGATTTCAGCTCGGCCACTTGCGCTTGAAGGCCATGCACCTTCATGGGAAGCTCCTCCAACCGAGCAGTTTCCAGCTGAACATTTTTGTATATCTGGCAAAGTTCGCGGGCTTTGCGCTCCAAGTCCTCCACCATGCTCGCAACCTCCTGCTTGAGATTCTTCAGCTCAGCTTTAGCCTCCAAGTTCTGCTTCTCCAGCGCGAGATTCTCCCGCATGCTGACGATGAGAGGCGGATCTCCAACAATGGCGCGTATAAACTTCTCCTTGGTGACTTGTTCGACGTAGGAAAATCGCAGCTTAGAAAAGAGCTCGCTGTAATGCGCCAAATCGGCTTCTAGGCCTGCCGGCGTCGGCCCTTCTAGCGAGGATGCATCTGAGTTTCTTTGTCTTGGCTCGTGTGCTGCGTAGTTTGTGATGGGTTCGCTGAGTTTGATGATGGATATTTCATGGTGCGCTTGGTGTCGCGTCAAGGCTTTGAGCACATCTTGCGCTTTCGCTTCTGACTTGCGTGGTGGGGTCGTCATTGCTTTAAGTAGAGCTGCGTATTATTGGATTGAGTGAGTCAAAAGCCGTGGGTGCGCTCATAAATTTGATGAGATCATGTTGTACGAAATAGCAAAGTCGCGATGTCGAGTTATTCCTGTTTACTCGTAGCCTAATTGGGTTAGTAACGACTCCACTTGAGTGACTGCACCTCCAACGAGGCGGCACTTGTACTCTATACATCTCTTCAAGATCTTCAAGATTCATCCACTGGCTCTTCGACAATTTGCTTTGGAAAGCGCACCCCCTGCAGGGCAGGATAGTGCTAGCTGGATTAGCTCTTCACGATGGCAAACGAAGAATATCTTACAGACGAATATGTCGCTGGGCTTCTCAGCCAGGAGGCTTCCGACTGCTCGATCAAATACTCAGCCATGGGTGTCGACGCTTTCCTGGGAAAGGACTCCAACTCTAAGAAGTAATGCAGCAAATCGTGACTTCTCGTCCGGATTTTTTTTAACAGACAATAGGCCTTCAAACATACCCAAACCCAACACCAGATTCTTGCGCAATATCATCAAAGGCACCGACACCCACAACAAGGCGCTTCTGGCAAAGGAAGCCGCGGAGTCGAAAGCTCGCCTCAAGGGGCTAGAGCGCGCCGAAGAGACCAAGCGAAAGAAGTCAAATCCTTCTACAAAAGACATACGAGAGCGACATATGGGCGCCATACAAGCAATCCTGGGCGGTGGCAAGCGAAGGGAACGAGATCGCGAAAATGACGATGAAAAAAAGTCCAATAGCCAAGGTCGAGACAAGGCAAAGCGCATAACAAGAGACCACAGATCCGAAGATGTTTCTGGAGGTAGCGACCAAGAACTGCAGCATAGGAGTTGTGCTTCTCCAAACCACCCTAGTGACAGCTCCAAGCATCATCGCAGCCGCGGAGCTGACGGGCGTCGTTCAAGACACAGGGACCACTCCCCCGATGATGGATATCAATCTCGCAGACATAAAAGCTCTAGAGATGATAGATCTAGATCTCCTCGAAGCGGATATCGATTACAAGAGACAAAGAGTCGAGATACAGAACGGCGACGGCACCGGCATCGCTCGCCGGCTAGAAAGAAATTAGGAGTGTCAGCGGGGAATGAGAGTTCGTTACACGATTCACAGGATGAGGAGATAGGGCCGGCTCCGCCACCGAAGATTCGCGGTCGTGGTGCGGTTGGCGCGTTGTCGGGAATAGAACGACGGTTTTCAGTGTCGTATGATCCAAAGACGGACATGCAAGGCGCTGATGAGGCTGACGGATAGATCTCTTTGGTATAGTATGATTGGGGGCGAAGTTAGGATACGTTTATGGGTCGAGAGGACAAGATTGCTGGGTCCGATGATATGATGACACGGGCGGCTGGGTTATTTAGAAGATTGTTGAATCCTTTTGTATTGGATATGAGCGACGTTTTCAACGACGATTTTGGTTACGCGTTATTCCGATTTTGGAATCGGGTAAATATCAGCAATTGTACTTTTACCTGTCGCTTTGCAAGCAAACGTGGGTACTGGTATGGAAGCATGTCTTTTTGTACCTTGTTGCTATCTGTAGGGTAACCCGATATTAGGCCGACGAGAAGATGTTATTGGAGAATTTGAGGCCCCTAGGGATGCATATCACGCGGTCGATGGCTAAATTGTGTGATGGAAGTGCCAGTGTCATGTACCTCTGCTTCATGACCGAGCCACCACGCCAAAAGAGGGGGCGCATCCAAAGCACTCGTCAAACGCGGGGTATAGTGGACGCTCCACGCGCGATATAACGACGCGCAGGGCTTGTGTGTATTATTTTGGTTGGCAGTAAATGGATTCTCTTTCGGCATCGCTCCTAGCAATCTAATTATATGGTGAGAATTTATCCTCGAAGACTTTCAATAGCAGTGGCCATTGTGACTGCTTGGAGCAGGTGATGGGGTCGACGTCATGCTAAGCCCACTAGCCTCATCCAGGGGTCCCCTCAGGGTGTGCCGCCCGCTGTGCTTTGCTTTGCTTCAGTGGGTCACGATGCACGATGGGCTGTCTTTCTGTGGGCGCCAGCGAGTTTTAGGCGTAGAGACTCGGGCCCCGACCTCCTGAAAGGTGCTAAGCCCAGCCCCCATTTGACAGGCCGCCCTCACGCCACTGGCTGGCCTGACAGTCCCATGATATCTTTGTCGCTCCTCTGCTGCAATTGCGTATTTCACCTCTCCCTAATCTTTGTTCCTTCTCTTCTCTAGCATCCGCGCCGGCTCATCGCCTTTTCCTCCTCATTGCATCGCATTGTGTACTGAACGAGCGCACGTTTGAGCTTCCGCAGACTTTTCGCCGTCTTGCGCCTTTAGTTGGCCGCCATTCACTGTGCCGCCTGCATCTCCCTCCTCCGCGTCAATCGGCGTATGCCGATGTAAAGGAGCCCACCTCGCACGGCTGGCTGCCCTTGCTGGTCGCAAGAGGTGACTCAGGTGTCACCTCGTCAGCTTGTCACATTCCTCGACCTCCTTGAACCCGCCTGAAACCCCACGCAAGCGACAAGATGCGAACCACGCGAATCGTCATCCTCGCCATCTTCTTTACCGCCTCCCTCTTTGTCCTCTTCCGAGCCATCTTTACCGCCGCTACCCGAACACCAAACGTCATTCGCCCGAAGCCGGGAAATTCTCGAAAGTCCATCCTAGGACTCGTATACTACAACCCGCCATTCTCCCTCTTCCAGCCCAATGCCGCAATCAGCTTGACAGATGACAACAGCACGTCGTTTGCTGCACGACCTGCTGCCTTTGGTCCCCAGCTGGCACAACATGGCCTGAGCGGACAGCTTTGGGTCGGCAGTGGATTTGCTGAGGATAGTCTGGAATCCCATGGAGAGCTCGGCTGCACCGACATTCCTGGCTGGGAAGGTGGCGCCAGTCCCCAGGCAATGCTCAAGTCCTCCATCAAATCAGTCGTATCGCATCACTCACCTGCCAAAGGTGAACCCGGTAGAAGCAAAAAGGGCGCCAAAAGTACCTCGAAAGAAGTAGACTTAGACCGCGAGACGCCCAAAACGCCGCGCACCATCGATGACGGCACCGACAACTATCTTCATGAGGCGGTTCGCAACTCCCTTGCCAGGCGAGACACTTCAGCATCAACACACGCAGATATCCAGTCTATGCAAGAGTCCGCAGAAATCGAGGGGAAAGTGGTTCTGTTAATGCGCGGAGGCTGCGGATTCTTGGAAAAAGTTATGTGGGCACAACGTCGAGGCGCCGTTGCCGTTATTGTAGGCGACAATCAACGAGGAGGGCCGCTGGTGAACATGTTTGCCAGAGGTGAGGATGCAGAGAATGTCACTATTCCATCCGTGTTCACTGCGCGAACCACGGCACAGCTCCTCTCGTCTCTCACGCAGCCTGGCAGCTTCATTGAGGACAGCATCGACGAGGGCGGAAATCCAGTACTGAAGGTTCAGAAGGGTGTGAAGTCCCCTACCAAGAACAATTCAGAAAAACCGAAACCGATCCAAAGCAAAAGTAAACCAGCCACAACGTCGAGCAGACATTCTCGTCGCGCTACCCAAGAATCCACCTCAGCGACCAAGGATGACCGCGGCTGGCTCTCCCGTCTCCTCGGAACAAGCTCACGCCGTGCAAGCACCGAGTCTCCTGGACATGGGAAGCTGGAGTGGGTAATGGTTGATGAATGGGACACCGAAACCGACAAGAAGATTTCGGACAACATGAAGGGCACTAAAAAGCAACCGCACAAGCCAACCAAGGCGGTGGGAGATGAGTTTCGCATTGGCGTCCAAGACTGGCGCGACCCAGATCTCGTGGATAAGTCTCACTCAAATGAAAAGGCTCATAGCACTCCCTCGGATTTCAGAAAAGCAGATATCAAATCCGCGAGCAAGCTTTCCGGCAAGGACGCATCATCACATGCCGATCTTGATGCTTCAGAAAAGTCTGGCAAGAGCCGTGGCCTCCTGAAAAAGATATTTGGAGAGGAGGATTCTGCCGACGGCGACGAGGCGTTGACTACAGAAGAGGATGATGTCAAGAGTGACCCCGTGAAACTTGACGGACAAACCTCCGAACCTCATCACGGCCTCTGGGTCACCATCACACCAAATAGCGGCACCAGTCCCTTCTTCGACACTTTGCTTGTCCTCGTCGTCAGTCCTCTCGTGACTCTCAGTGTCGTCTATGCGCTGTTGATCCTGCGAGCACGCATCCGTCGCCGACGCTGGCGGGCCCCGAAATCCGTCGTCGAGCGCCTACCAGTACGCACCTATCACACTGTGGCCGCAACACCAAGCATCTCGCCGCAGGCCACCTCTCCTATAAATTCGTCACCCACCACTCCTCTGCTCCAGCATAGCCCATCGAGGCCCAGACCTCGCTCCCGCACGACGACTGGTGTCCCCGAAAGTGACAACCTTACCGTTCCCAGTGCATCCATCCCCGTCGCCCCAAGCGGATCGCGACACCGGGCTGGAAATGAGCACGAAAAAGGAGCTAGCGGCTTCTCTGCCGAGTGGCGCAAGTACATGGGACGACAGGTGGAGTGTGTTGTTTGCCTGGAAGAATACGTTGACGGCGTCAGTCGCGTCATGAGCCTGCCCTGCGGCCACGAGTTCCACGCCGAGTGCATGTGAGTCAGATTCGGCAACCCTATACCCAAGCCCACTACTAATGAGATTGCAGTACCCCCTGGCTGACAACCCGACGACGAACCTGCCCGATCTGCAAAGGAGACGTTGTGCGCTCACTTGCCCATTCATCTCGATCCATGCCGCGATATGAGCCTTACCGTGAGGATAGCGACGACGATGCAGCTGCGTCTTCGAGCGTAGCATCCGACGTCGAGCATGGCATCTCTCAACCAGCACCACGGAACGGTCAAAGTTCCTCACGTGGCGACGGATGGTTTGGTGCACTCTCTCAAAGCTTGGGTAACGGCTGGCAGCGCGTGCCGTCAAGACCACCGTCTCCGGCCCCTCGCCGCGCCAATTCGGACTTGTAGCTCAGCGGGCATCAGTACCATCTCACATCTCGTCTCATCCTAAATGGTCAATCGTTTTCACAGGGTCCATTCTTTCTGTGTTCTTGTTGTTTTGCGATGGAGCTTCGGCGTACTCGTGGCATCGTGATACTTGGGGCGTTTTCTTCATTATATAGTCCCATTTTGCTAAAGTGTCTAGAGTTGGGGGTGCCTCAACCTGTAACTCGTCCCTCCGCTCTTGGTCATTTTCTAGTTATTGATTCCCTCATACCTGGAGGATTATACCCCGCGCACCAGTGGTGATGCGATTAGGTTTGGCATTCCTGCCAAGTGGTTAATAGGCAACATGATTCATGGTCGGATTTACTTTAATACATCATACTCATTTCGTATTGCACTGTGGTTATTCATCTCATTGAACTTTCCGGTCGTTGCTAAGAAGTGGTAGCCCCCTGCACTAGAACTGGGCCTTCTGCTGGACCATCTGCTTGCTATCGTTTATTCGTCTATTCCCAAGCGATCACTCGTCGGTCCAAGAAAGCGATCTGAAAGCTTTAGGAACATGCTTTCTGGCACTGGATATCCGCCCCTCGGATGCATCGCTGCGTGCAAGGGTGCCGGCGTCGCGGCAGGCCAGTGCACCGCAGAGGACACTGTCGTAGGGTCCAGTCGTGACATGCCCTCCAGCTGCCGCCCATGCAGCCTGGCTTGGCGCGAGCCACCAATTCCGGGAACAGCTCCGGCAAGAGCTCAGAAAGCTCGAACGGTTCACCGCTGTAGTCGTCGTCCAACGACTCTTCTCCTAGATTGGCAAAGTCGGGCTGTGAGCTGGCAGTTGCATCGGACGCTACGTCCACGCTGACTCCGCCGGTAGCTGGTGCAGCGACGACGTTGGTAGCGGCGAGCGCGAGAAGAGCCTGTATACAACTTGCGTCAGCAAAACGGTGCATCTTTTGGTGTGAATATGCGTACAATGATGTTGCTAGTAGAAACCTTCATTGTGATGTGAGGGGTTCTATATTCAGGTTTGTTGAGCACAACTTCGTGTAAGTGGCCAATGGGTAGACGGTTTTTATATAAAACGCAAAACCAGTCCCGCAGACCTCGGATGATTCAAATAACTGAGTTGAAGTATCACTGATATTCTCACGTACGTCAATTGTCATCTGATAAGCCGGAGGTTACCACAATTGGGAACCGCCATCTTGGCAGGCACTGGCACAACCTTAGTTAAAACAAAACAGGACTAGTACATGCGGGGCTTGGTATATTTTTATCAATTTCTACGTCATTTAAAGCTTACTTGAGCCCCGGAATTGATGATTAGCTCCGCCACGCCGAGCCCAAGACAACAGGAAGCGGACATGGAGGAAACACAGGAGTGGCTTATGGTGGATTGATCCGCAGTTGCACTACCTTTTGCTCCATAATGGTAACAATAAGGCTGCAGCTGAGCAAACTGCTCTCCGTCAAGTTTATGGCGCATGTCGGGTGTTTGTGGCGGGCATGAAGTACAAATTGACTGCGGGCAAGGGTATGAAACAGCTCAACTGCAATCAGCAGCTATTGGTTCCTATTCTCTCTTCTTCACTCTAGATGGTTGCTTACAATACCCATCACGTTGTTTGCAAGTATCTTCATCTGTCAGTACTGTAAAGACTTTCCGTGCTGATACAGCTTTCAGCCTACCAAGATTGCGTTCCACCTGGTAGTTATGGAGTAATGCACATCGTATCTGGCCACTAACTATGCAGCATCTGTTTGCTCCCGTGAGGCGTTTTAGCTCCACGGGCCAATAAGTTCGGCCCGCCACCACCCGTAGGCCGATCGATCTGAAATCGAGACGGGGCGATGAAGTATATCTCAGAGTCAACGAGGAGACTGAGATAAGTTAAGTGAAGCTGTATAAACAGCATGAGCAGCCCGTGGCGAAAAAGAACCATACATATTCCATTGGATGCATCTTGAGACACTTCTGTGGACGTATATTTCTTCAAGCTGCACCGCCACCGACAAACAGCCCATCAACACCTTCCACGAGCCTGTACATAGTCTACAACTGACCATATCCATAGAGAGCGACTGCCACAATGTACCACAAGCGTACACCACCGGATCCTTCATATCCGACCGAGCTATCATCCACAGCAAAGTCGACACCTACTCCGAAGAGGCCGAAATTGTGCTCTTCGGCCTCCCGTCGAGCTAACCCACCACAAGCCCACGCGGGCACTCTCGCTCTGTTTATAAATTGTACACGATAACCGAGAGCTGTCGAGAACTACACCCCCCCTTTCCCTACGTCATCTCCGCCGGCGAGATTGCGTCTGTCCACTTTTGCTTCGTCGTGCGGCAGTAACCTCCTCGACAACGGGTTGCCGCCAACCCGTGCGCCAGCCGAGGCCGTCTGAGAGCGGCCCGCGCATTTTTGCCGCCGACTCGGGACCAAGAGGAGCAGCGCGAGTTCCATTTCCCGCGGACGCACCTCGATATGCGTCTGCAATGGCACCAAACCAGCGACCGGGGCCTCGAAATCTCCCCATCATTTGCCGGACGGCAGATGGCAGCCCCCTGTTCCCGGCTCTCCCGCTGGATTCCGCCGACTCTGTAGATTTTATGCAGGGAAAGACGAGTGTGCTGTGCAAGAATTTCCGGCAAGTGGTCTGGCAGGCTCACAGCGTCGAGCGAGCACCCCGCCGGAATGCTCGACCCGAGCGGCCGGTCCTCGCCGTTCTTTCTCGTGCGCCTGGATCTTGCCTTCGTCCCCGACGACGCCAGATCCAGGACGTCGACCAAAATCGCCGTGTCCGGCACCGTCTGTGGTACCGCGTACCGCTGTGCAGAGCCGTCCAGCTGCTGCTGGAGCTCGCGTGCCAAAATAGCAGCGCAGACGGTGGCGGCCTGACTACGGTGAAATATGGATTTAATCAGAAGATATAGTTATCCAATGACATCTTTGATGTTAACCTGGCGCTGGGTCATGGGACCGAGCCAGTGGTGGCTGCCACCAAGCGCAGCCGGAGATGCCGCTCTCGTTGCCGGCACGCCAGCGAAAGCCAACTCTCCCAACATTTTATTCCTGTCCCATTTTGTAAACGTTCAATTTGATAGTCAAAACTTGGGTGTACTAACTTTGGGCTGTAGGTGCCATTACAATTTGGCGTCCACAGTACGAACTTTACGAGACAGAATCCAGCGGCCATTTATAGACTGTGAAACAAACAGTTGCCTCGGTGCCTGTTTATCCAAGTATTTGCATCTTCTTTTATCTCTCAATGGGGAAAGGATCTAGTATTTTCTCAATATTGACTAATAATATGCATCTGAATCACAAAACCTAATCAGGCTCGCGAGGCTGGCGCGAAGTCGAGACAGGTAGCACCACCGCTCCCCAATAAAGCATGAACCATACTAAAAGTATTTCTCACATCATGGTGCCCCAAGGTTCAGTATCTGGGAAGATGTTTTCTCCTCGCTGTTATCGCCGTAGATTTCAAAAATTATATGAAGGTCACCATGCAGACTTTCACGGCATGGCTGTCAAGTCCGCTCGAGCTTGCAGCTAAGCAACAGGCACATGGTTTTTAAAGCCAAGACGTCTAATGAATTACTATCATCGCATATGGGACTGCCAATTAGTCATGTATGCGATGTTTTTGGAGCTTCCTAGGCTCTTGGTTCAGCGGCGTAGTTCATCAGCAACAAATACAGAGCATGCGAAGCCTCTCTCTCCATGTGAGCTCATATCCTTGTCTGTGAAGTCAGTCATGGCCAATTAAAACATGTTTCAAGAGCAATTGTCCAAGTTAGAGATTATTGTAATATTGTTCCTCCGGACTACATGCCCATCATATTACTGACTCATTATTGTCAGCGCATTCATGTTCTTGCAGGAATCTGCCACCGTCTCACACAGGTACCTTATCAATAACTACCTGTATGGCCAAGAAGAATGACTGGTTACTTTGATCTGATCCTAATCATGACCTTCGAAGCGGCCCGACCCGTCATCCTGACCGGTGTGATGCCCAAGACATGTCCGGGGTGGCAATGTGGGTGCAGTGCTGCCTGGACGACAGGGTATAAGGGTTGCGCGTCTCCTACCTCGATGTTACTGGCTCTTGTCAAGGGTGGCATTGTGGCACATTCTGTCACACAATGCCGTCTTTCTGATGGCGGATGTCATTGGCCGTTTCCTGGTTCCGTTGGTGCATACAATGCGCAACGGGTTCACTCACGCACAGCGTGCGGCGTCAGCCAGCCCCAGGTTGCGATGTCACATGAGGTGCAACACGGAAGCCTCCTGGCCACTCCCTTGGAGGAATTCAGCCAAGCTGGCGGTTCAGCTGCATGGGATGGCATTTCAACCCCCACACCGAGAAGCTTGGCCGTGAAGCCGAGCCTGAAGGAAGCGCATGGTCAAATTCGTCACCCAACCAAGCGGCGGACCCCTTTTCTAAACGAGTCGAGGGCCAGCAGCTTCCAGTAATACTGATAAAACCTCTGATTATTACAGGATAAATAATTTTTAGAATAAATACACAAGTTAGGGCTGTTGATGCAGGGGTATCGATTTACTACTGCCGACCAATAAAAGTCTCAAACATCCAGAAGCACAGTCGAATCCCCTGGTAAGTTGTAAATAGCACTGAGCGGGATTTTTATTATTATTCTAGCACCTAATACAATTATACCAAATCATCAGCTGTTTGTTGGAATGCTGTCCAGGTGATCATTGCGATGGTGCTGGAAGACGGGGCTTATCGGTGTGCAACGCATGGAATGTGATGTTTCGTGGACAATCGACAGCAGCGGTGGCACCCAAGACATGATGTAGAAAAGTGTATCGACACCAAGATCAACAAGAAGTGGTGGCTGAAACAATGGGCAAACAAACTATGCGCATCCAGGTTACTGTCCGACGATATATATCCATAATTTAGCACATGACTCCGCCTTGATGATGCGGATTGAACCATGTCCAAGGCATGAAGGATTAGCGTAGATTGTACGTATGTGTGGGAAAGTAATAAAGGAAGCATTTGGCTGACCGTAAGTTGCATTGGGGGCAGTGAGACACAGGCAATAAATATGTCGGGGTTACGCGGCGGAACCTGGAAACTGGTAACGAATGAGCAGCCATGTCACTTATTCTGGGCACGCTTGGATCTGCACCGGATAACGTCCTGGGGCAAAGCACAAAGCAGAGGCGCACGGCATCAAGGTAAGGTGTAGTAGACAGCATATCCCTGATTCCACGAGGTTCAGAGCGCAGTTCCTGCCATGCAACAGTGCAGCGCTGCAATGCAGCTGTCATTGTTGGGCCGATACAAGAGATTGGCGATTTGTTACTGCAACCCAATGCAACAGCGAGTCATTGACCATGCAAGTGCGGCGCGTGGCGAGCTCCGTGGGATGTGTTCTTGTTGGCTTGGACATGGCGATAGGGGTGCGGTTGCATACGTCCGGCGGCACCGCGCAGCAACATGCAACATGGAGAAACGAAGCCTCTGCATCGACCGACGTTGAGGAAGACTGCAGTGTTGACGATTGCATTGGGAGGCGCCACCCGACGACAAGGAGCAAGGAGGCTCCCTCCCTTTGCGCTCCCCTCCCCTTTCTGCTCAAGTCTAGTCGCCGAATAGCCAAGACCCCAGCCCCCCCCCCTTGCACACAGGCCTTTTCCCTATTTTATCCACTCAAATGATTACCCTGTCCTCCCCCCCGTCTCACGGCAGCGACGGGCGGGCGGCGGGAACCCCGGCTCTTGCGATGGCTTCACATCCTAGGGTTTGTGATGCATGGCGCTGGCCCCCCGTCCAGCAAGAAAGATAGGAGGGGGTTGCGTGAGCCCCGTTTGTGCGACCAGGGTTCGTAGTCTGTCTTTGATGTCCTTGCACAGTCGAGCCCAAATGGTCCTCGCGCGAGCATGACATCGTGTTGGGGGTATCTGCATGCGGTGTTGCCCGGCCTTTCCTCTGGTGCTTTCTGCCAGCTCCTTTTGTGTGCGTGTACGGTGCGTGTGTACCTGTGGCCGTCTAAAGGCCACCTATTTGTTGCTGTTTACTACATGCTCCCTACTGAGTACATGCGCCGGCCATATATGTGCGCCTGCCCTTGGCCGCCCTCCCGGCTTGACCGCATCTCCTTGTATGCACTAACCCAACAAGGCGACGACTCCCTTTCTACCGTCGGTGTGCGTCCTTCTTCACCGTGATTCCCAATTCCTCGAGTCTCACACATCACAAGAAAAATCCAAGGAAAAAAGAAGCATCGGCCCGCTAGCAGGAAGGGAAGGAAACCTACAGTACAAGGGGCCGGCCGCCGCTCTACCAGTATGAGGCTAGCCTCGTGGCCACCACTGCTACGAATCAACCATTGCTGCTACTACAAGCTCGCCATCTCCCCCCTCATGGGCCTTTGTCCAAGGCTGGGCAAGGGCAGAAAAACACCGACTTCACTCTGCGCCGCGAAAGGATGCTGAGGCTGACTCTCCCTGCTGGAGATGCCGCCTGGGACGTCCCGGCCTCAGCAGCAGCATCGGCTGGTGCACTCGTCGGTTGCAAAATGTCATCGAGGACGTCATCGGCGTGCGTTTCATCGCTCGCGAGGAGCTTCAGACGCCTACCCACGGAGCTGCGTCTCAAGATATGGCGGTGCGCTACCGAGCCGCGCGTCGTCATCCTAGATGACCTCCTTCGCAAGCCAGAGGCGTATCCTCTGCCTTCAGTCGCCCAGGTCAATCGCGAAGCACGACTTGAGTCTCGCAATGGCTATGAGGCTGTCGGCCCTTGGCAATCTTCTCACGTCCACTTTGGCAGGGACATTTTTGTCTGCGATGCCAGCATCACCGAAGCTACCTCAAATGAGCCCCTGGAAGCGCTTGCCACGCGAGTCGAGCGGCTCGCATTCTGGGATTGCTTCCCGGACGACAACCGGGTAGAACTACCCTACTTTTACTCGACGTACCTCGCGGCCAGCCAGGCAGCGGCCAATGCTGCGCTGCTGTCGTCTGGATCTGTGCCATCGACATCGGGCATGGCCGTCTCGTCCGCCGGGTCAAGACGGCCGGCCGTCGATTTCGACAAGCTCTGGTTTCCCAATTTACGAGATCTGTGGATTGTCAAAGTGGGCGGTGTGAATAGGGCATGGCTGATTGACGCAGACTTGGAGCAAGACGCGGCGCCTCCAAAAACCACCACAGCGGGCGCTTCCTCATCGTCTTGCTCCGTGCCGCTTTCACAACATCCACACTCGCGCCAGACCGCTCGCAAATTCCGATATTGGGTCCAGGACAATGTGGTGGAAATGGCGCCCCTCAGCCTCGACGACCCCGAAACACATCTCGTGCTGCGCGAGGGCCGTTGCGGCAAGCCAGACTGCCAGGAGCTCAATCGCGGACGTCCGATCCTGCTGTCCAAGGTGACCTTTATGGAGGGGGCGTATCGCCCAGCCCAGGGGTGGCTGCGCATTGCCCCTTGGGACGGGCGCGACCACGCGACCACTGGAAGCGCCGCCAGCGGGAGCAGCAGCATGACCAGCAAAGATGCAGGTGACGGTGGCGATACAAAGGCCAGAAATTGCTCGCGCGACTCGATGCGGTGGGTAGTCGTGGAGCGTATCCTAACCTTTTCGCTTCGCTGGGAGTCTTCTGATGATGCCGACGAGGGCTCCCGTCGACACATTGGAGCTCCAAGCCATCCGTAAGGCTTTGGGCAGACAAAGGCTGGCACTCGGTCTACCTCGTATTCGCTGGGTTCGCATGAAATGGGTGTGCAGATCCACTAAAACCAAAAATACCAACAAGGCGCAAATGCTTGGTACGAACGCCACGGCGGGAATACACCGCAAGATGCAGCAATACGCCTCTCTCTATGAATATTCACGCTGGAATGCATGGATATTAGGGCTGATATCAGCCAGAATCACAGAACTATCCCAAATAAGTAAATTAGTATTATAAAAATTCAAAGAAAAATTCAAAGTATTCACACATACATACTCTCTTTCCTGGTCCATTTCCGTATCATTGAGATTCTATCAACACTTGCTTGCGCTCCCACCCCAGCCCTCCGACTCGGAAAAGTGGCATATTTATCAAATCCAACGGATGATGCTTTGAGAGCTGTTTTGACTTTGGGTGGAAACATGTCATTCGTGCTCGCGGTGCGATTTCGCGATAGGCTTTTCGCTACTGCACGCGAGCCTAGGCCAGATGGGATGGCTCGGAAACTCTAGCTCGCGCTTCGGACGCGATATCTGTATCAATGAAAATACCTATCATATTTCCCCTTCTTTTCATTTCCGTTCTGCGTGTTCTAGCACTTTCTTCTTCCGCCGATACACCTAAAGCGAGCCAGCGATCCGTGTTGGCTCGATCCGCCAGACCTTCGAAGCAAAACACCCAAAGATTCACAATTGACTCGCTCGGAACTCTATACACCGGCCACTCGATTAGTCTGACCGCCCGCTCAAACGGATGAAACCACTACATGTAGCCCGACGACGGACGCGGGCTATACCGCAAAAAAGTGTACAGCCTTCCGATGTTGTCGCCAAATGCTTTTGCACGAAGCAACTCCAGGGGTCGTCTTGTTTCGACAGCCTTCCTGCCTATATCCGAATACTCATACGCGAGCATTACGCCACTCCTGAACCGGCTGCAGACGAACCTATTCGGGAATACTCGGCCGTTTTCGCGCGCTTTCCAGAACTCCCAGTCCGTATTCAGCAGAAAATCATCCAATTTTGTATGCCCTCCGGTCAATATCGATACTTGGAAGGCTCAGAGGGCGCGAAAGAGGACGCCGTTTCGACGCTCTTGCGAAGCCTGCCTGCCGCCGCTCAAGCGAATCGCTCATTCCACAGGTACTTCACGGAGCAGTGGGATAAGGTTACCATCGACAAGCAAGACGGTATCCATTCAAAGAGCAGCTCTAGGCGCACCTTTATCAACTTTGCCCTCGACAAGCTCATCATCAGCATCAACCACCCCCTGAGCAATGTAGGGCAAGCAACATACATGGTGCAGCATAGCAGCCAACGACAAGCGAACCTACCACTGCGTCTTGACGAGGCTTGGGCCCACAACAAGGCGGAAACTGAAATACTTCCCTTGCCTGCTGCATTCTTCACCGCAATGCCGCAGCTCGATACGTACTGGCTTGTTGTTAACGATCTTGCGATAAACACTGCCCTCAGCGACAACAGCACTGACTCAGGGTGCAGGTGCGTCTTTTCACCCATGATCAAATGCTTGGCAGACTCGGTCGCGAAGTTCCATGCCTTCCGCTATCATGTCCCAACGGGCGAGGTAACGTGTGCAGAGATGCGTCGTGACCAGGAAGTGGACGAGCTCTTGACGGCGTGCGGCGAGACGAACCCCAACTTTGCGGCTCGCATCACATTTATATACGGCCATGACAGCAACCTTTTAAACACCAGCGATGGCCTTGATTGGTGGCACCTTCCCGCTTGGGGCCTCGTAAACTTCAAATATGAAAAGCTCAAGAAGAGATTGGACTGGGGACTGGTAACGGATGTTCTGCGGCGTCAGGTTTCAACCCAGGAATATTCAGCGAGTACATTGGGCACATGAAGCATTTTCTGAGAATACAAGGTCACAGCGTTTAAATAACCAGAATTTTCGTCAAATTTTATGAGCTACTGTTGTACATGAATGGCTTCGCCTTCGGTTGCTTGAAAGGCCTTGCCTAGTTAATATTTGACGCAGCCCATTAGCTTCACAGAGTTCTACAGACCAGTGTGCTGGGCCAACTTAGTACACACCGGGGAGAATCTTCCACCGCACCACCGACTTGTACTTTTCCCAATCCGCTCCGTACTTCTCGGCACAAGCAGCATCATCTCGGCCCTCTCGATGGATCAAGAGAACACCAAAGTACAGAGCGTGGAAGGCAGTGAAAATGAGACCCCATCCTTGCGCAACACCCTGCACGACCTCTGTGCCATCAGCCATCCTATAGCCCAGCACATCCGCGGCCGCCCTGGCTCCCGAGGGCAAGATGACGTACCCAGCCAGACCTGCCGCCAAGCTAAACGGCAGAGACTGCATCCAGTCTCCGAAGTAGTTAATGTGCCGCGAGACGCCCCACCAGCCAGACGTCAACAGACGGGTGCCACGCTTCGTCTGCAGATAGGACAGGCCAGCCACGCTCGGATGCTCGGGCGTCTTCCGGAAGACGGCCTTTTGGTTGTTGGACGCGCGGAAGATGTAGAGACCAATGGCAAACGTGCCGGTGAGCGCGGCCAGGCCAGGCCAGCCGAGGTGGGTTGGATACACGGCCAGGTAGCGGCACTGTGTCGAGTAGATGAACGGCACCCAGACAATGTCGCCAAAGGTAAGCATGAAGCCCAATCCGTCAGTGGTAATGTCCATCATGCTGAGGATACCAGCTTCGGCATACTGGCCCTCGAGTACGTAGTAGCCCTGGATGGCCGTCACAAAAATCATGCTGTCGGTAATATAGCCGTAGTTGCGGTATTGCTTGGCCATGTAGGCAAGGTCAAGGAGCAGCCATCCGGTCAGGCCGGGACGCATCTCAAGCCAAGTCTTGATGTCGATCTCGCCAAAGATGGGCAGCGTGATACGGGGGTTCAACTCGCGGCCAATGTAAAAGTCGTAGATGAGGCTTCCGGTGTGGCCACCCTTGGCCAGCTCCCGCAGCTGGCTGTTGCCCGGCTTGACCGTGAAGCTGGCGGCGTAGACGTAAATCGAAATAGCCCACGCCAAGATGGTATTAGCAGTGAGAAATTGCAGATAGTTGTTGTCAATCCATCGCCAGACAACAAAGTCGGCACCATATACATAAGTACCAAGCGCCAACGCGGCGACCTGAATCAGGGTCGCGGAGAACGCTACAAGAACGACGAGTTAGCACGCGAGCAGTATCAATCCAACGCACCAATCCATACCATTGAAGCTGTAATCCAATGGACGGCCAGACTCGCGCAGCTTCGTGCCCATCACCTTGTGCGCAGGCAGCACCCGGAAGAGCACCAAGCTCAGGAGATAGTAGGCCAAGGTCCAGCCCGCCGCTTCCAGGGTGATGAATCCGGCGAGCCCGTCCGCCGGCCAGGGAATCTCCGCCTTGAGCGCGTCCCAGGTGAGAGTGCGGGGACTGAACAAGCCGGGCGCAGGGCAGCCGGACACGTCATTGCAGGCAAAGAAGAAGGCATACACAAGCACCGGCAGGCCAAAGACAATGGCGGCCGCGCCGAGTCTTGGCGGGCGTGTCAGTAATCCTGCTGCATTTTCTTTTTCGGGGTTCAAACTTACGGTCCTCCAAACTCGTACTCGATTTTTTTCGCGTTGGGCGCCATGGTAGTGTCTCCCCCTTTTCAGGTGGTGGACAAGGAAAAGTACTGAGGGATGAAACTTGACCTAGCCCATGCGATGACTGAGAGGACTGCGATATAAATGCAAAGAATCTAGGGGGCTTAGTCTTCAAGTTTCGTACGAGGCCGCCACCCGAGTTTGGTTATACGCGTATGGAAATACTCGTGCGTTCTTTTACCTTGAAAATGGTGATTCGGATGTAGAAAGCAGCTCGCAGGTCATCCGGGTTGTGTTCCGGTCGCGTCGGCAGTGGAGTCGCGATTTACGAATACGACATCGTCGCTTCTTCACGGCAGTATCCGAGAAGAAACGAATTTTAGTGTCTCTTTCAATTTCCAATGCATTATTCCTTGTTTCTTCACTCTCACTTCGAGTTTCCTAAGGGAGGGCATCACACATCACCTTGTCCATCAGTGACGGCCGTCGCACAAATTGGTATTCAATCGCCCATACAGCACGCGAAAGCTTTAATTACACTATCAACTGCCCCATCGCGACTAACAACCATTTACACTTTATCTCTTAAATCAAGATACCCGCCAGAGCAGCCGCACCAAGAAGTCCAATCACTGGAGTTGCAGCCGCCGCAGGTCCCTTGGATGACGATGTCGACGCGGCGCCGGCCGTTGAACTGGCGCTGGTCGGGCCGGCAGCACCAGCCGCGCCAAGCTCGGAGGCGAGTGCCTTGGTCGCTTCAGGGAAGTCGGGAGCTGTCGTGCTAGCAATCTGCCAATTCGCGCACACTCTTGTCAAAGCCGAGCTCCAGTCTACACAGGCAAAGTGAGATTAGAACAGACGGACAATGCTGGTGCCATGGTGGGGTGGAGGAGAAACGTACTGGCCCGGCAGTTCAGGTCGAGGCCGGAAAGGCTCATCGTCACGGCGACGCTTGCCAGATGGTCGCACAAGCAGTCGAAGGTTCCGGATCCAATGTTCTTCACATCACAGCCTTCCTTGTCCAGAGCATTCTTGAAAGCCGACAAGGAGCACTGGGGGAAGTCCTTGACAGACTCGGAGAGCGACCCAAGGGCAAGCGCGCCGATGGCGTTGGCTACAACCACAACAGAAAGAGTAGAGAAGCGCATTTGAAACGGCTGATTGATGATGGAATAGTGCGTAGGTTCAAGATAGAATTTGTCCAAGGAGTAGAAGACGGAAAAACGCCGCCTTTTGAGCAGTGGCTGACCTGCTGGTCATAACTGTTTCGGCGTCTAAGCCACGAGTCGAGCAAGGGCCTGTCAATCTCAATTGGTCTCCCAATGCTGATCACAGGGCAGTGTTTTAATTTCCCGAGTCACTGCTATTTTTGCCAGGGCACCCTTTGTTAGCAGCAGTGGCTAAGCCTCCTAATGCTTTGTTCGTGCCATTGGGCTTCAGCTCCTCGCATTCCCGCCCAATACGGAACAAGGGACAACGTTCGGTTGCGACGACTTCAGCCCAACTCAATGAGCTGGTTGAGCTCAAGAGGCTTGGTTGGCACACCTTGGTTGGTTCACAACGATGCTCAAATAGCGACGTGCTAACATCCTTGTCCCCTCGGGTTTTCCCCGTATTGGGGTTGAGATTTGGCGTAAAGTCAGAAAAGTCCGAGGGAAATGTATCTCGGACTATTAACGACACTGCCTAGTTATCCGAGTTTGAAGCATGTATAACTAGAAACACGCCCCTGCTGTGGAAACCAACACTGCATATGTACTTATTCACTAACAGAAGACTGAAACTAAGCATATGGAAATCATCAAAAAATTGGTGGCCTCATGAAAGATCATAGTTATTTTTTTAATTTTCCGAAGGGAAACTGCTCTTAAACCGAGAATGGCGCGCCACAACCGCTTAAGGCCTGTGGCTCAGCAAACACCCCGCGCCACAGCCAATCGTCACTAGCTCCAGCATCCAGCAATCTTTATCTTGCCTGCATGCGTCCTGTGCCATTTGACGTCAGTATCAACTGCGCCAAAGCTTCTCGCGCTCCCTGAACCGACCAGAAAACGACCTCCAATCCCTACCAAGTCGTCGTGTGAGCTTCCCATGACTCCCGAGATGGCATAGGGATCTTGCAGCCAGAACGCGCCAGACTTGAGCGATCGGCGTCATGACGATAGCGCCCGCGCGACAACATGCCGTCCCACGTTTCCCACGATAAGGCAGCCGAAGAACCGAAGAAGGGGAGGGTCATCAAATCTGCGTTTGATAGTGAGAGCTTCGAGGCAGATGGCACAATTCACGTGGACGGCCTCGTCGGCTCGGCGACAATCTCCCCGTCCGGCCGAGATATTGCTCTAGCATCGTGAGTGGTAGACATGAGCTGACTTGCGCTTGCGCTGACATTTTCAGTCCCGACGGCCTCGCTATTATTGACTTGGATTCTCCGTATAACCCGCCGCGCCGGCTGCGCAGCCCTGGAATGCCATGGCTTGTCGTGGACGTGCAGTGGTCACCGTTCGCGGCGCGCGATTACTGGGTCGTCTCTACAGCCAACCATAGAGCGCTGGTTTGGAATCTCAATATGAGAGAAGACTCGAGTTCCGGACCGATCGAACATTCGCTTCAAGGACACAGCAGAGCCATAACCGATGTCAACTTCTCCGCCCACCACCCCGATCTTCTCGCAACCTGTTCCGTCGACGGCTCAGTTCACACGTGGGATTTGCGACGGCCCCGCCAGCCTGTTCTTACATTCTATGACTGGTTTGCTGGCGCGACGCAGGTCAAGTATAATAGACAAGACTCCCACATCGTGGCGTCAGCGCACGACCGATTTCTCCATATTTGGGACGAACGAAAAGCATCAAAGCCTATACGTTCCATTAGTGCACACACGTCCAAAATCTATGGTATCGACTGGAACAGAACGAGATCTACCGGAATTGTTACCTGCTCTTTGGATAAAAGTATCAAGTTCTGGGATTATGAAACTGGAGGGGACGAACCGGAACACATCATCCGAACTGATTACCCTGTTTGGCGAGCGCGACATACTCCATTTGGCTGGGGTCTTCTCGCCATGCCGCAGAATGAGCCTGGTGACCTCTTTCTTTATGACCGCCTTTGGTCAGATGACTCTCCAACCGAAGCCGCGCCCGCACCGGTAGCCATCTTTCCTGGACACGGGGATCGCAAAGCAAAAGAATTCCTATGGAGAAGCCGTGGTGGCATTTCAGAAGCGGGAATTGACCAGCGAGAGTTCCAATTAGTCTCGTGGGGCACAGACAATGAGCTACGATTACAGTGTATCGACACCGCCGCATTCACCTCCGTTGGCCACACGAGAGGGGGCCCTGCAAGGAAAGGGTTGAAATTCACTCGAAAGGGTGCCAGCTACCGGACGTTTCGAACCGTGGATGACGGACTAAGCAAGGAGCGCAAAACTGGAACTATGAGTGACCAAAGGATGACTGGAAATTCCCAGCAACGAAGCGGCGGGACTGCGGGCTCTCGAGCAAGCACGCCACAGAATCGCTACTCGCGCCCTGTTTGGCGCGGTTTCTCGATGAAAGCTAAGATGCCTTCAAACAAGAAGACTACCGACAGCCAATCGGCAATCGGATGGATGAAGGGTATTACCATGAACAAGCGGAAAGCTTCAGCAGATACTTTCCGTCGTCTTCCGTCCAAGGACGGTGTCATGTCTCACAACTTTCCAGAGGACCAATGGGGTGAGCCGGATACGATTCAAGAAGAGCTGCTTCGTGTCAGCACACAAATTCCCAAAGTCAAATGGGACAACATCGACATGGACAGCTTGACATTCAACGCATCATTAACAGGCCCTTGGGGCGTCGATGCCGACTCGATCTTCATTAAAGTCCAAATTGACGTTCCTACAGCATACCCCAAACACAAGGCACCTAAATTCACAATTGAAAAGTCCTCCTTCATGCCAGAAGAGACACACAAGAGGTTGCAGCGCGAAATACACAAATTGGCAAATCAGTTCCTACTGCGGAAGCAAAACTGCCTCGAAGTTGCGTTTACGTATCTCCTTGGTGAAGTGGACCTTGAAACAAGCACTACCTTCTTCAAAAACGTGCGTGATTTGGACGACGACTTGGATGGCTTAGCAGATGACAGCTCAAGTGAGGACGAAGACCCGGCAGCCGCAGGGTCGGTATCCATGTCTCAAGAGCTCCCCAACACTGGCGAGGTCGACACGACCATTGCTTCCCATATCCGTGCCGTCATGCCTCCACCCCCTCGAACATGCGGTGCCCGGTTCTCGAACGACGGGAAACTGATATGCTTCTTTCCTACCAAGGAAGAGAAATTTCGAGCCCTATTTTCGTCCACTGGAGAAATCTGCAAGGACCGGCCGAAGAACGAACCGTTCTTCGCTGGCTTCGGACGTCTATCGTATGAGCAGAATCCGCGCCAGCGAGACAATATTGAAGAGGCGTCTGCTACGGATGATCAATCAGACTCTGATTCAGACCGGTCATCCTCTGACTCCTCTTCCAGCGACTCAGAATCTACTTCTATTCATAACATGAATATGTGGTATCGTCCGACTCGTCAACCAAAAAAGGCGTGGAGTGAAGACCGCTCAGTAAGATCCAGTGGCGCTGGCACTGGAACTGGAACAGGGACTGGCATCGGGACAGCTACTGGCACGGGAGCGAGTCGGCGCCGCGTGATCAAGGCACGAAATCTCATCTCCATCCATGACCTTCGCGCAGATCTGCCGTCAAAAAGGGAATTTGCCGAAGAGTATGCTATCTTTGGAGACGGGGCAGATGTCTGCAACCACAATGCACAAGTTGCTGAGAAACATGGCTTTGCTGATCTTTCAAATATCTGGCTGTATCTGGCTCTTCTTTTGCGCAAGGGAATACCGCTCGAGGTGTTGGGATTCAACACGCAACGTGACTCGATCTTGGTCATTGCTCGAGACGTTGTTTCACGAGTCGGCTACATCGATAAGAACGCCCCTGCAGACCCTTGGTCGCATGACAATGCGCTTCTAGGCAGAGTCAGATGGGGCCAGCATCCTCTGGCCAAGGATTTAATTGCTGACCTCTTTGATCATTTCGAAAAGAAGGCCGACATTCAAATGTTGGCTATGCTTGCGTGCATATTCAGTGAAGCCACGACAAATCATGGCGTTGCATATGCCGAATCAAATCTGCCCAAGCAGGAAACCCCATTGCCATTGAAAGCACCTTCATATTCTCTAGACTACTTCCCTGCCGATGCCACGTCGTGGAATATCTACAGCAGAAGCTTTACCAACTCTGCGATAACAACACCAGGAACACTACATACGCCAGTCAACTATGCCAGGTCACAAACATCGGACGATGGCGCATGGAACGCTGAAACAGGACCAAACTCCTTCTCATGTGGGGACACACCGCCAGGAAAGGACCAGGAAGCCGGGACCATGCTGTCTAAGTCACCGAATTCGCGGCCAATTCAAAGAAGCAATACGGGGTTTGCATCGGCATTGGCCGCGAATCTCCCTCGTTCCTTCACAACCGGGGCGTCCTCGTCACCACCCTCGCAAGGGAAGAAGAAATCGAGCCCCGCAGAAATGATGTTGAGCAGCATTGCACCCCGCACGGGAGGCAGCAGCGGCGGAGGAACAAACGCCGCGGTTGGCTCTGGTGGCGGCAGGACGTCCATGTCGGATGACGATGGGCGAAAAGAAGACTGGACAGCACTGGTTCCCACCAATGTTGCGGTAATTCTAGAGGACCAAAGCATCTTTGACGACGATGGGTGGATGTCATATCCGCTTCTTGATCAGAGGCTGTCAGACCTGCACATCAACTACAGATACGGCTATGCGGAGTTGCTGCAGATGTGGGAGCAACCATTGGCTCGGTTGGAGGTGATGAAGTTCAACGTTCTGAAAGAAGATGTGTCTCTCGACGGACTTGCCGACGGTCAATTCAGTGCCAACGGTAGCATCGTTCTGCCCGGCAAGTCGTCACCGCTGGCCATGGGCAAGCAAGATAATCTCCAAGCTCTCCTCGCATCCGGTCGCGGACTCGACGTCATCGGCCTGTGCCGGGTCCACGAAACCCAGCTGGAGCCACTGCAGTACACGTCCTCGGACCCCCGCGTCGGTGGTGCCGTGGGTACCTGTGACCGCTGCCAGCAACGCCAGGACAAGCTCCTCTGCGTCTACTGCACGGAGCCCGTCGACGCCCTGTTCCCGACCTGTCTGGCATGTGGCTGCGCCAGCCACGAAGACTGCCTTGGCGAGTGGCACGCCGCCGGCGAAATGTACTGCCCGGCCGGCGATGAGTGCAACTGCGTCGAAGAGGCGGCCAACGGCCAGGTGGAGTCGTGGGCTGCGCTGCAGGCGGCCATGCTCAAGAGCAGGCAGATGATGAGTCTCCTCCCGGACCCGGCCATAGCCAGCGCGGAGGAAGAGGAGGCGGAGACGTTGGTGTTGCCGGAGAAGCAGCCACGCGGATGGGCGCGGCTGGGCTTTGACACGGTCGGTGGCAGCAGCAGCAAGGCGAAGCTGCCGGTGTCGCCGCCCGTTTCGCTGGGCTTTGGGCCGTTTAAGAGGACGGCCGGGTCGTGGTCGCGGAGCACGGCCGGCCAGAAGCGTGGCGGCCGGCGAGGAGGCTAGTTTTCTCTCGTCGGATAGCCCACGCTCCTGGGGGCACGATGCTCTCCGAGGAGCGCAACATGTTGATTCTGCCTATCAACTTGGAGCGACTTGCTCGCGAGACGGTCGTCGGCGAACAATGGTCCTGCGATCGTGTATATTATAGTTATCACAATATAATAATTCAGTGTAAATATTTTGTATTCCCTATCGCAATGGAGCCGGGGTTCGGGTTTTCGGTGGTTCCACGTGCCAAAACTATCGCCGCGCTCCCCGCCGGCTCCGTCCGCCGCGCCGCAGAGCTGCGCCGCCTGCACCCCCGTCTCCGCTTCGCCAACCTGCGAGACAACGTCGAGGACCCCGGTAGCTTGTGCGCTCATGTCCGTCGCCGGGCTCGAGCGCAGAGGCCTGACGCAGCGCATCGCCGAGCGCCTCGGCCCGGCGGCATCAACCACGCCGTCGGGCAGGGCGCCGCGGCTGGTAGCGCATCCTCCCCGACGTCCTTGTCACCACAATCGCCCTCACCCGCAGCTTCTCCTCGTCCGCCCACATCGTCTCCAACCCCAACGGGCATGGAGCCTCCGCGGGTGGTGAGGACGGAGGAGGAGGCGGAGGCGCTGGGCTACAAGCTGGCTGAGGTTCTTGTCAAGGCTGGTGCGCGGGCTATTCTGCGAGACAGCATGGCAAACCGAGCCCCGAAGAATAGTCTAGTGGTGTTGCTGCTTGCTTGTCCTGACACAAGCGATCAGGCGTCTCCTATGTACGTATAATAGTCTCCAAAAGCACTCCGCTCTCACATACGAGTATGAGTACTCACGAGCATTCACGACTTCACATGTTGCCGTTTATGAGTGTGCTCGATTTTTTGTTACAACAGATAATGTCCTATGCTCACCACAGATGGGCGCCGCCTTGATTTTCTCCCAGTCATACCCTATTTGAAATCTAAACTCGTCGTCTTAATCCCACATCTCTAGTCAAAGCACCCTCCTCTTACGACGCACCCCCGCGACCACCAACTCCCCACTGGGCCTGCGCCTCCGCAATCGCAGGGTCAATCGCAGGCAACTCGCGACCGCGCCCGGTTGGCGCCGCCATGAACTTAATTTCCACCAAGTACCGGAGATACCGTCCGATATCCTCGCGCGTGATGCCCTCGCCGGCACTGTCATCCACACCCGTCCAGCGGTCCGCGTCGGCCCGGAGCACCGCCACGGCGTTGCGATCGTCCAGTTCCGGTGCGCGCGTCGTGCTCGGGAGGTCAGCCGTGGCCATGTGGAACAGCGGCATGAGCGCGCTCTGCTCCTGGTCCTTTTCGACGGCACCCGCCGAGACAAACGCTTCCAGCTGCGCCTTCCAGTCGTCGTAGTCGACTTCGGGGACTTCGTAGCCGTAGTAGCCCAGCGTGGAGAGGAACTCATTCATGCGCAGGCGGGGGTGGGCGGTGACGTGCACGACGTGGACGCCGCCGGCGGTGACGTCCGAGAGCGGGTTCAGTGCCGCCGCGATGACGACGCGCGCGACGTGGTCCACGGGTACGGCGTTGACCGAGTTGACGATGCGCGGTCGTGCGCCGAGCTGCACGCAGCCTTTGCAGAAGCGGATCAAGAAATCGTCCGTGTTGGAGACGCCGCCGTGGCGGCTGCCCAGGATGTAGCCGGGTCGGACGACGGCGCCGCGAAGCCCGCGGCGGCCCGCCTCGCGCACGAGCTGCTCCGATACCCATTTGGTCTGGCCGTAGCCGGTGCCGAGGCCGGTGCGGCTGCCCATCATGTCGTCGGCCTCGAGGACGGCGCCGCGGCCGGTGGCCGTCTGCTCGTCCGATAGGTGCACGTAGTGATCCGTGTCAAGCGTCGAGGTGGACGAGACAAACGCAAAGAGCTTAGGCTTGCCCTCGTTGCAGAGCTTCATGGCGTCAATGGTGGAGAGCACGTTGGGGCGCATCATTTGTTCGTAGCGCGCAATCCAGTGGACATAGGCGGCATTATGGATGAACGCGTCGGCCGTGCTGGCGACGTGCTCCCAACTGGCGTCGTCGAGGCCAAGACGAGGCTTGTTAAGGTCACCAATCACGCACGAGACCCGGTCCTCCCAGGCGGCTTGCCAGAGACTGTAGCCCTTGAGGGACCGTGTGAGACGCTCTTTGGCGAACTTGAGGTCCTTGGCGCCACGGATGTGCGCGATGAGCTTGGTGTTCTTCCTGTCGAGAATGTCCTTGGCGAGGTATGCGCCGAGGAAGCCCGTCGCGCCGGTGAGGAAGAAAGTGGCACCGTTGGAGGGGCTCAGAGTGCCGGGGTCCGCGCTCTGGTACTTGGCGTCCAAGGTCTTGGTCAGATCATCGAGGGAGTCCGAGTAGACGGCGTCATCGGAATGGTCGACTGCGACAGCCTGGCCGCTACTCAGACGGTCGACTTGGGTGCTCAGACGACGAAGAGTGGGGTTTGCGTAAAGAACGCCGATGGTGATGTCAACGTCTAGGTTCTTGCGAAGGTCAAGCAGAAGCTGCTGGGCGAGAAGACTGTGACCACCGCAGTCGAAGAAACTCGACTCCGGTCTGGGAATTGAGGGTCAGTGTTTGAACTGTAAAGAGAGGAATTATGGGCAGAAAGATACCTGACTGTCTGGGCGTTCAGACCCGGGATCAGAGTTGACCACTGCGTCGCAATAGTCTTTTCAGTCTCAGACAGGCTCTCCCAGCTCTTTAAATCCTCCTCTGAGGCATCCTCCATCATAAGGGAGGCATCCGGGAAGGGCAGATTAGGCGAGTCAACTTTGCCGTTGGGGTTGAGAGGCAGCTTCTGCAACACAATGTAGATCGACGGAACCGAGTGCGCCGGTAAGCGAGACTTGAGGTGATCTCGCACCTCGGCTTGGATGCGGCGGAACCTCTTCTTGAGGTAGACGACACAGGGTCCCATCTCCACGCCCTCCTCTTCGATGTCCTGGAGGCCCTGGGTCTCAAGCCAGCGCTTCCACTCGGAAGTTTCGGGAACGATGTAGCTGACGAGCGTCGGCTCCTCATTACGATCTCTTCGAACCAGGGTTTTGCAGTCGCGAATGAGAGGGCTGCCGCTGAGGTTCGCATCAATCTCGTTGAGTTCAATGCGGAATCCACGGATCTGTTGAATTAGCTTTGTATACGAGATATGAGAGTGGTGAACCAATTTACCTTGACTTGTGAGTCGATGCGGCCCGAGACACGCACAGCACCGTCCGATCTATACTCTCCGAGGTCGCCCGTGACGTACAGTCTGTCTCGTGGTCCCTTGTAGTACTTGCGCCAAGGCTCGCCCTTGTCGTTGACCTTGTCTGCCTCTATCCACGTTTCGTTGCTCACGAACCAATTGTCAACGAACTTCTCCTTATTCTTCTCGGCATCGTTGAGGTACCCCTCGGCTAACCCAGCAGCACGGATATAGATCTCGCCAACTACGCCAACCGGACAGATCTTTGTGCGATCTTCTCGGTCCACAACCAGCACCTGGACATCTTTCATCCCCCAGCCCGCGGGAATGGAGTCGCCGAGCGGATCCAGGGCCGCCGGGTCCTCCTGAGCAGAAGGGACCACAAAGTAGGACACAGCGCGAGACGTTTCTGTGGTTCCGTACATGTTGATGATGGTGCAGGCGGGGCCAAGCTTACGTAGGGCCCTACAGTCGCGAGTGGTGAGGACATCACCGACGAAGAAGACCTGACGCAGGTTGGGGAACTGGGCTGTGGCACCACCGACTAAAATCTGTCCCATGGCAGGTGTGAGGTGAGCCGTCGTCGGTGACCACTCTCTCATCCATTCACTCAGTTTCTCGTGCTGGATATCCTCCTTGGCAGGGATCAGGAGCTGGGCGCCCAAGAAGAGGGGTGTCATGATATCTGCGGCCCATGATTAGGAAAGCGTTTTGAATTGCATGGCGAACAAACTCGTACCTCGCTGGATTGGGTCATGGGCAATTCCGGAAAGACATGCGTACACGCTCTCTGAGGAGAGGCCAAACTTCTCGGCCATCCATGGGAAATACCTCGCCAGACTGTAATGACGACCAAGAACACCCCTGTTGAACATTGGTTAGACTCAGAAGAAGAAAGCAAAGCAAATGGGATAGCTCGCACTTTGGCAAACCTTGGGTTCCGCTCGTAAATGACAGTGTACAGTTCGAATCAGGTCCGACGAGCACATCAGGAGGTGTCGAGGCCCTATCCTTGACGTTGGCAAAGACGTCGCCGCTATCCCGGTCGCCAGCAGTCAGCACACCATCGTCGGTGAAGCGAAGGTCCGGAATCTTTATCTTGATTCCAAGGTCCTCATCAATGTACTTTTCGACGAGAGGAGCAAGAGGCCTGTATCAAGATGTCAGTTTTGTGTGTTCTCATACAATGCCGAGTTAGAGATTCGCACGTACCCGCTCTCCTCGGTAGCCTTACGGATGGATATGAGCGCCTTGGGTTGAGAGACTTGAAGATAAACTGGCACGACATGTTAGTGAATTCCTGTTGCGGCTCTCATCCGGGGCACGTTTACTTTGTTGTCTCTGTGGGGGATATTGAGGATCAAGAACGGTCACAATGCCACCAGCAGCCAGTGTCCCCATGTAGGCACAGACCAGCTCAACTGAGCGGTGAGCAAAGATCATGACTGCATCTCCATTCTGGATGCCAGCATCGCGCAAATAATTGGCGATGTTGTTGCTTGCCTCATCAATCTGGCGGTAGGTGTATGTTGTTGTCGGCGCCCTGAAGCATTGTTAGTAACTATGATACACAAAATCGCATCGCAGTGCGCTGGTGCATAACTCACTTGGCAGTCTTGGTCTCCGTCACACAAGGTCTGTCCGGATGGGCCACGGCATTCTTGTGGAATATCTCATGGATAGCTCCGAGGTAGCCACCCCAGTCGAGATCTTTGGTGGGGTCAGGTAGCGACATTATGGCGGATGTACAGGTGCACGATGCCAAAATTTGACAGCTGGCTACGGCTGATGAAGGATGAGAAGGAATTGGGGGTTGGGGGTGTTGATGAATTGAGGCCCTCGGGATTACAAGGAATCAGAGGTGGTCCCTGGATATACTGATGGAGGGGTCTGGCTGCGTCGGGCTGTGGCGTGTGAATTGACGTGCGTCACGCAGAAAGTTTCTGCCGAACATCCTCCGACTGTCGGAGCAGGCGGGGCACTTGACAACTTATACAACTTATACCGAACATCGAGAGCATTAAACGAGTTCACTTATTATGACAAAGCCAATAATGATAAATCTCGCAGCTAAGTTTCCAGTCAATAGCTAAGCAACGAAGTGTCGGTTCCCCATTGCCTAGAATCTGAACCGCCTTTACTCAACAAAGCAATGATAGCTCAGGCTTAGTGTAACAGCGATCAAGACAGATGAACAAGCCAAACGACGCGGGTGGCCGAAAATGTTTAATAGGGGAAAACCCTAAGAATTTTTAGAATTGAACTGCATTTCATTCTTTTCGTACGAAACGGGGAAGTGGCAGTTCAAAGCACGTACATACTAAGTAGATAGGTACGTACCTACTGTAGTATCTAGCTACAGTAGCGGAGCTTCAACCGACAACATCACTCTAGCGGATGATTCGACTATTACAGCAAAATAGCCGCAATATAGGGTAAGGAGAAATTAACTATCATTGCAGCTCTCCTAGCCAATCCGTTGTTCAATTTCTCAGTTGGTTTCGTTTTGCTGACCTCAATGTAGAGGAATACCTAGTTCCCAAGCCGCCCAAACGAAGCTCGCTTGGGTGACTTGTCGCACATGGAACCCCACGCCGCTCCCCTCCTCACCAGCACAGCACCCCCAAAAGCATAAACCCCAAGCCCAAGTCTCGGCTATTTTTCTTCCTCGCATCCTGCACTTATACTATGTAAACCTTCCTCTTCCTCTAGAACCTGGTTTGTTTCAACTTTCTCCAACCCGCTTACAACACCATTCGCGCAACTTGACCCTCTCTGGCCAGGCGCACCTCACAACCAGTGTCGCATGCCCCGCCTCGCCACCTGCAGCTGACCCCTCTGTTGCGCGCCGCCGCCGCCGCCGTCGCCCAGCGGCTCGACCGTTTTTCTTGAGAGCCCAAAGGCCGGCCCCCTTCCTCCCCAGTTCACACGACATCTTTTGCCAAGGAAACCTGAAATAAAAATCCGCATTGTTCAAGAGAGCACACCCCGTCTTGCTCGCCCCATCCATCGATACCGCAACTATGGCCTTGCCGAAGCGAATAATAAAAGAGACGGAACGCCTCATGGCTGAACCGTACGTCAACCATCGTTCCAGCACCTTGCGGTCTCAGCACCGACCGCTCCTCCCTACTAACTAGTCGACTTTTGTTCTATCACTCTACAGTGTTCCCGGAATCAGTGCCATCCCTCATGAGGACAACTTGCGTTATTTTGACGTCGAAATCCATGGGCCTGCGCAGTCGCCCTACGAAGGTCCGTCCCGCCGCAGCAGAGCTCCAGTGCGAATATAAAAAACAGATCCCTCAACTAACACGCAAAAACCTCCGCAGGTGGTATCTTCAAGCTGGAACTGTTCCTACCCGAAGACTATCCCATGACGCCTCCCAAGATTCGCTTCCTCACAAAAATCTTCCACCCCAACGTCGACAAGCTCGGTCGCATCTGTCTCGATGTTCTGAAGAGTAGGAACTTTACCTTGTTTATCCCAACATTTTCAATCGAGGCTGACTTTTCTCTTTTCCAAGATAACTGGTCCCCAGCCCTACAAATCAGAACAATTTTACTGTCCATCCAAGCCCTCCTCGGTGCCCCCAATCCCGATGATCCTCTAGCCGCTGACGTCGCAAAAAGCTGGAAGGACGACGAACAAGCCGCCATTGCCACGGCAAAAGAATGGACTGCCAAGTACGCCAAGTCTTGATCAGTACACCGCGAAAGCGTGGCGAGGGGAAAGTGTGTCGCAAACGATCAATCGGAGCGTTCGAACGTTACTAGTAGTGTCAAGAGCATTGCATATGGAGCTTACTTGTTGGGTCCCATTTAGAATCCGCAACTATTTTAAAAAGGAATAAAAAATATCAAAATAAATCAGCACCCGTCAGGACCTCGGTGCAAGTACGCGTGAAGCGACGTCAAGGCAAATCCCGCTTGGAACATGCAGACGCATCACAGAGCCATGGCAACAGGAGTTGGGTATAAGTAGAGACGTAGCCCTACCACGTTGATATATTGTATCTACAATGCTAGAGTACACAAAGGAAACCTGTAGGGTTGCAAAGTCGGGTAGCCGAGGCTGATTATACGAGGGCAAGGTCGCCAAACTTCTCCTATCGGGGGGTCAGCACTCTGGTCAATAATTCGCAGACACCAGACAAAACGCACCTTGTAACCAGGGACCATCCATCGGCCCTTGGAAATGAGCTGGGTAGCCTTCTCGTCGATGGAACTTTCAGCCGCCGCAACCTCGTCCTGTAAAATATCTCATCAGCAGCCATTCCGACAGCAGCGACCACGCCGGATCCTAAACATACCACGGTGAGCTCCTCAAACGGACGGGCCTCCTCAATATTCTTAAGCGTGGCGGCGAGGTCCTTGAGCTCGAGATCGACGGCCTGCTTGGTAGCCTCGGCGTTCTTGACGGCCTCGACCTCGAAAGCGTTGATAGCCTTGAGCTGGCGGTTGACGTCGTACGAGGCGGGCTTGAACGCTGTGAAGCGCTTCTCAATCTCGTCAACGACGGCCTGGTTCTTGAGGCCGGAGCGATAGGCCGCAAAGTCGACCGTGGTCGCCTGCTCAGACAGGAGCTGCACCTTACGGCGGGCGTCCTCGTTGCGCTTCTTGAACGCCTGCAGCGAGGCGACAGTGTTGCCGCGGAGGCCCAGCGAGCTGGTCACCTTGGACCAGTCAAGCTTCAGAGCAGCGCTTCGCTATAAATTATCCAATGTTAGCTTCCCATCATCCTGCCCGTCTTTTTATTTGGTTGCTCGGATCGGGGGTTTCGGCGGATCCGCACGGTCGGGGGAAAGAGGCTCCCTTTTTGCCGTTGAGCTGCGCGCCTTGCTGCGGCGGCTGCATCGTTTGAATGGGTTCGAAGTAGAATTCGCGTGCGGATCGCCCCAATTGGGAAAAATTCGACTTACCGTAGCCATTTTGTCGTTGTTTGTGAGGTTTCTCGGAGTGGAGAGGTATATGCTGGTCCAGGGTGTTGATGACTTTGCTGCAATTCCGAGCGCCCAGGAACGAAGCGTCAACGTGACTGAGTCACGTGATCTCGTCGCGGCTTGTCCCGAGCTTTGCAACAAGACTTATGATATCTAGGTAATTACGGCGCTCCAGATTACTACAATCAAATGGATGAGTCGGTTTTCCGAGGATTTGAATTCAATCAGTCGGAAGCAATTCTGGCCAATTGGTATGAGCGCAGGTACAGCCAACTATTCAGCCAGCGTTCAAGCAAGTTGTACATGGAATAAGAATTTGTTCAGTTGATTAAAGATATCAAACCCACCTCAAGGTGTCAAAGTACATCAATACAGTGGCCAGTATATGCGTTCTACCGCGGTACCAACAAATGAACAGTTTTTCCCATCCTGTACTCTCTTTTGTATGCATTGCAGTGAAAGAAGATAAAACGTTTTGTAAAACACACATAGGTTAGATACTGAGAGCCATGATGGAATTGACAATATCATTGTCGTTTTCCTTGAGTGCTTTGACAGCCTTGTTGCGGCTGACGTTGGCCTGTGTCATGACCAGCTCGATATCCTTGTCCTCGATGCCCTCGGCGTCGACCTCCTCTTCGTCGTCGTCATCATCTTCTTCCTCTTCCTCCTTCTTGGCGTCACCGTCCTGGGCGTGGCTGTGGCCGGCATGGTCGTGGCCAGCGTGCTCGCCACCCTCACCAGCAGCCTGGGCGGCAATCTGCTGGGCAGCGGCCGCCTGGGCGGTGGCGTTGATGTCCTCAATCTTGGCCTCACCAAAGACACTGCGGGCAACACTCTGTCAGCTCTTCAACCCCTTTCAACAATGTATCTGATCCTTATTTTCGCTATCAAAACTCACATGTAAGTGTTGCTGTTAGGAGACTTGTAGACTTCGGGGTTGTTGATGACGAAAAGGATCTGTTTCCATTGGTCAGTTCAACCGTTCCCATGGATTCCGCATCGCGCTTCCTGTCGCGCGACACGCGGAGCCATATCGACAGACGTACGTTCTTAGGGCGGCGGAGAGTGACGCGGGTGATGCCAGGCACGCGAGTGAGGTGCAGCTTCTCGAGGGCCTTGCGGGCCTTCTTCTCGTTGCGGGAATGGACGACGGCGGTAGAGCCGGCGGGCAGGTTGGCCTCGCCCTCCTCAACGTCGGACTCGTCACTGCTGTCGTTCTGGTCGACGGTAGGACGCTGGGTCTCGTCGTCGGGAAGCTCTTCGACTCTGGGGTTGGCCATGGTGACTGATTTATGTGCTGTTTCGGCTGGTTAGCAACCCATCATATCCCCGCACCGCCATCAAACTGCTTTCAAATCGAAGCCCGTTTCCGTTGCCGCGTCTAGACGGCAAATTGGTCGTATTTGCGTCATGGGGAAGGTGGCTACTCACAAATTCCGGTCAAATTCTAACGGGTCGTGCTCGAGCTACGATTGACTGCTACCACCGTTTTGTGAGGCCAAAACCGCACAGCGAATTTCTAGGGTTTGGTGGTGGACTGGCGCTAATCCGCATTAGGCAATCTACCACTTCCAAGGCTGCTTCCTCAAGAATGACGAGGGCGTGTGGTACATATTGAATGCGATAACCCGATTTTAAAGATATCATGACATTATTCAAATTACACCTTATAGGCCACATCTTCACAATGACCATCTCTGCAATATGCACTCATTTTTTGTTCTTTTTTTTTTAATTCATTTGAATCTCTGAACTTCCGTATTGACGCCGCTCATCATATCGATGAAATGTGACATACAGCCCTTCCAGAACGGGGGTTGGTGGGGTTTATAAAAAGAAAACAGCAAGCAGCTTTTCAAACGCTGTCGTGCTGCAAGATGCGTTTTTGCCTGTCCCGGGATTTTTCATACCGCAACCATCTATACCGTGAAATCCTCCCCTGGCTTTTCAATGCGTTCTCCAACCCAAAAGTCCCTTGCTCAAGGCTCCAACATTACAATTGAACTCCGTGACATAAGGCCGATTTATGCGGACGCCTTGATCTTGGCCAGAGCCTTGCGCTCCTCGAATCGGCGCTGAGTCTTGAGGCGCATGACCTTGAAACGGTCAAAGTCGGACAGGGCCTTGCGCTTGGCGACCTGGGCACGCTTCTTGGCCCAGCTGGTCTCCTTCCACTTGGAGTCAATCTCGGCCTTCTCCCACTGCTTCTTCAGGGAGGCGTGGCGGGAGGCGCGGAGGAGACCGGGGATGACGAGGGGCGACAAGAGGACCTTGTTGAGGGGGATGGCTTGTCTCGGGACAACAAGGTTTTCGTCTGACGAAGTGCCCTCGACAAGAACCTAAATTCGGAATAACAAGTTGCATGTCAGTAAATGGACTTTTCCATCACGTAATCAATGTCACTCGGCCGCTTGCTGTCGTCGCGGCTGGCACCGGGGGTCGAACGTACGCGCTTGTGGTCGATGATCTCGACAATGGCAGCGATTCCGCCGCTGTATGGGTGATCGTTGCTGATGACAACAACACGACCGACCTCTACGAGGCGCCAGTTGGATCCCTCAATCGTAGCGTCGCCCATTGTGACTATTGTTGATCTGGAGGCGAGAAACGGTTAGCCCGAAATGCTCTAATGGTTTCGCGCGGCGTCTTTGTATTCGAGATGAAGAGTGATCGGATGCGCTTTCGAGGACAGGGGGGTATTTGTTCGTACCAAATGTCGTTTATGGTCTGGAGTGGATGTAGTTTGGAGATGCACACACCTTGAATGCACCAAATGACTTTTTGACGGTCTCGGCTAAGGCAAGCGTGTGGGTTATGAAAAATCACAGCATGCCCTAACGAAAATTCACGGATTATCAGTTTTACCTTGGTCCGAGCATCCGAGCACCCTAGCACGAATTTATCGATGCCCCGCTCTTTTTTCCTACCTCTTTATTAGCTCTCCAACTTTTTTTCCTGCCTCGAGAAGTTCTTGTCTGCTAACTATTATCAGCTTGTTTTCTTTCCTTCAAGCTTGTGGGAATGTCGAGGTATGACACGGTGCAGAGTGTCTCGGAAGTCTCTGTGTCTCCCAGCTACCACTAATGGTAAGAACTTTTTCTCTGTCGTCTGTTTACCCTCTCTCAATCACCCTGATGAGACAAATTTGCGATTGATTCTGGTCGGTGGCTCTCTCGCCTGAGATGCTATATCGGCCGGATAACTGATATTCAATTTCTTACATATTCTGACACCCACCATTATCCATACTTCATGTTGCACTTCGGCAGTTGACAACTGGCTAACTGGTGCAAACAGAACAGGTCCTGAACCCCGACGGCGACATGGCATGATCGAATCGTAGTGCCGCCACGATCACTGGGACCACCTGTCCATAGCGAAACACAGAACTAATGTACTGCCAATTGATGACCAGAACAATGACCGAATGTGAATGAATGGATACCAATGAAACTGCGCCTTCAGGATAAACAACAATCGATAACGCCAATATGGCTGGCGTGCCTGGCTTGAATATGCCATTGTGTTGAATCATGCCGTGGTCGCAGCGAAGCATGTCATGCCGAATCCCGACCATGAATCCACAAATGATACGGCACGCGACAAGCGCGCCTCGATTGTCGGTCTCGCACCGATTTCAGGACGGCAAAGACTTAGTGAAGGCTAATTTCCAAGCAGGGCCGTGTCACGACAAGCCTTTTTCTATAAAATGCGATCAAGATACTCCCTGTAGTGAAGCTTGTTTCTTCTGCGTATCTAGTCGGGGGCAAATACAAAGATATCTCAGCTTTGCACGACCAGGCTAGTCCACATTGGGAGGCTTGGGTACCTACCTATGTAGTCAAGTTGAGGTCTCGGGAATTCACAAAGGTCCCGGTCGGTCCTCTCTTCGAGAGTGGACGGCAGAACTGGCTGCGAGCACTTAACTACCTATTTGGTTGAGGTGGTGACTGCTACGCCCCGAACAAGGCAGCTCGGCCGGCAACGACCCCCCTTCACTTATAATACTATCAAGTATGATGTAGAATGTGATGCTAGTTATAAGATCATACTTTAAAAGAAAAGGATGGAGTCTGATCATCCAACTCCGCAGTGTTTCGTCCAAATCTGTTGTAGTCAGCAGACGCAGACACAAAATCCGCCTCACGCCAGTTCAGCAACTAGCAGAGCCTCCACTACAGACTACTTGGCGCAGAAGACTTCTTGCTATTCTTTTGAATCAGCTCGGCCTTTTTCTCGAAGCTGTCAGTGTATTTGGCAAAGTCGTCCGCGCTTAGGGCCCTCCGAGCAGACGTAAGTTATTCGTTGAGTTCGGTATTACCCTGGAGAGTCAGTTCGGAAATTGGCTGCGCGCGATTGGTTTCGTAACATCAATGTAATGTGCTCGAGTATGTCGCTTGTTCTAAAGCAGACATATTTACAGTGTCTAGGCATATCTTGCAATGGTTTCTTTTATTTGTAGACGTAGTAGTTACTTCGACTAGTAAATTGTGGCGGAGGCTTCGGAAGAAGCGGCTTCCAAGCCATTGCGGACGCTAGTCAAACGGGTTGTGCATGTCCGAGCTCAACGTCATTTAGGCTACCTTCTGGAAGCTCTCGAAAACACCATCAACCAACCTGTCAACAACCATTGTAGCTTTGCAAAGCTCAGTTTATCACAATGTTCCGCTTCGTAAGTTCAATTAACACGAGGCAGCTCGTCCCGTCTGCGCGCAATTTCCCAACTCGCGATCGAAAGCTGACCAGGAGCTCCCCCACGCTAAACAGAACAAAACGCTCGACATCGTCACCGTCTTCCACAAGGCCGGCTCCCCGGCCTCTGTCAAGGTCGCGAACCTCGTCAAACAAATCTCGGCCAATGCCCAGGTCGGTGCCACCATGGACCAAGCCAGCGACACCAAGCCCGGCCGCGAGCCCTTTGAGCTCAACATCACCGAGGACGCCCCAACAACCGACCAGGTCCAGACCATCCTTGGCTACGTCGGCACCGGCGGCATTTCCAAGATCATTAAGGGTGCCCGTGACGAGAAGGATGCCCTGAAGCGGTTCAAGGAGAGCAAAGAATCCTTCCTCAGACCTCTAGTGAGTGCGCTGGACACGGGTGCGGCCCGTCAGCTGTCAGCCACCTGCTAATCGTACTCTCCTACAGACTGTCGACTGGAACAACGGAAAGGCCGTCGCTGGCGATAACGAATCGGAAATTCTCAAAATTCTCAATGCCCAGAAGAGCGACTAGAGAAATCGGCACCTGTTTTCCTTTGTTTCTGTGTACAATAGACAACGTTTTGGATTATTATAGCTCAGCTCTATACAACGATAATTGCCGAACGAGCCGATCCCCTACAGGCGATAGCAATCACACCTCTAGCGAAATCGAAGGAGCGTTTGTAGCGGTGGCAAATCCAGCCAACCATCAAACAGCTCACCCTAGTTCTGCTCACATTTCATTCACCTTTGACTCACCACATAATTCTACTCTCAAGTTGCTGAACACATCGCGTTGACCTGTCAGGTGAGTGAGTACTCATTCAAGTTAACCATGTCCGCCGTTTGCATGCAGGTCGCGTCCAGGTTCACAACAAAATCCTGCATCCACACAAGCTCAAGTTCGCACTGCAAGCAGCCGTTCATTCACTCGCTGCCCTAGAATTCTTTATCTACACTTAAAATCCCGGGCCAGGCTGGTTCGATTTGAGAGTCTCCAAGCTACCATGGACGAAACTATTATAACTCCTCAGCGACTCATTCCGCGAGCGCGCCGTCGAATTCTACCACAAGACCAACCCGACGAGCTTAGGGAGCCATTTTCTAGACTGTACCCCAACGGTCTACCGAAAGAATACAACATAGGCCCCCTGTCCAGAAACGAGGTACCGATGAAATACATAGAGGACAACCTCCCACTAGGTTTCTACACCAACCCGCCGTCTGATGCGAAAGGCATCTTCTCTACGAGCGGTGGGCGTACCTTTCGCCCAATGCATCACATCCTCCCACGCAGGAGACTACATCTGTGGTCCAAGAATGAGATTCAAGAAAATTGTAACTCGATCCGCAAGTTGCACTGGGAAGCTATGCGAGGTATGACTGAGCCGCGTTGCTGGGACGATCTCTGGAAATATTTCGATGCGTTTGATCTTTATCACTACGGTGCTATCAATCTTTGGAATATCATCAACCACCTCTACGCCGAAAATAAAATAATCGCGGCCGATGTGATGAAGAGTGCCGCCCTGGAGCTCGGCCGTTGGACTGATCAGTGGCTTCAAATACCAGCCAACGCCAAGAAACTCAAGAACTGCGACGTGGCCAAGGGGTCGGTCATGCGCATTCTCGAGGAGCAAGACTGGGAGTCTCTGGGCCGCCTTAGTGATGCAGACATTCCCATGCTGGCAAACGCGTTGACACGTCGACGCGATCACATCCTGTCGCCAGCTTACATCGAATCAGCCGAGGCTCGAAGTCTTCTCGCTTCAGCTAAAGACGAAGGCGGTGTGGAAAATTGGATGAGTAAGTCAATTCCTATGCATTACATGATGAGCGCTCTGACTGATGATATTAGCGGGTCAAAGAGTTCACCCCAGAACCGGATTACAACAATGCAAACAGGGTGAACATATCAAACACAAGCAATTTAAGCATCCGTGTGTTGTCGTTGATGGGAAGCATTACTACGAGTCGCAGCACCAACCAAGGGGAGCCGTGGAGGCTCTCAAGGCATCAGTTGAAGCTGCTTCTAGCCACATTATTGTGGCAAATGGTTCAAAAATATCTCCGCCAAGATATCCTCTCCCAGATAGGATTGTTGCTACTACAAAAGGCTCTGATACTATCAAACCTGCTATCGCCATCTCACAGTCGCGTCCGCACTCGAGCGATGGCTCGACGGCCATGACTATTTGCTCTAGCGGAACTTCTCAACCTGGTTCCCCTCGAAGATTGTCGGATTCTATCATACGGCCTAATAATTTCTCAAGCCCCCAGATTCCTCATGAACCTCCTGCCCCACCAGGAAACGCCGCGATCGTTGACATTCCTCCTGCTCGGCACCAGAGTCAAACTCCCCCACTTGTTTCTGGCCAGGCCTAGAAGGCCACGCCGAGATTTGGAAGCGAGGAGAGCCCGGAGAGGATAGGAGGGTATGAACCGCCAGCAATTAATCACGGAACGGCTAGCAACGCCTCGTGCAGTCCTCAACTCCAAACAGGGGAATCTGGTACACACTCGACGTACGTTTCTCACAGCGAAAAGGCGGCTCCGGATACAAACGTGGTCAATCTCTCTGGGCCAAAAAGCAGGATGGGATCTCCTTATAGAGGGAAGCGCGAAGACAACCACGACTCTCAACACAGCTCATCTCCCTCGTTGAGAACACAGTTTGGCGGATTTAGCTCAGGAAGCAAGCCCTTTGCCAGAAAATGGAACCATGGCTTCCGATGTCAGGAAAACCTCGTTCCCATGGCTGATAGAATGCAGAGAGACTTGTCCAATCCGGACATTTCGCGGGCTGACACGCAAGCCAATGCCGGCGGCGGCCAAGCCTGCCCGAATATGCTTGCCAGCCTGGACCGTTTTGATTACATGCCGTGTGGCTGTTTCAACTGCACCATACGAAATCGGAGCGTCTGGGTCAGGGTGCCAGACGGGAATGGCCTTTCTGTCCTGGAAGTGCAGACCAGAGTTCGGTATGGCATTGAGAGTCGGTTTGGACGCGTGGACGATGTTAACCATGCTACGAAAACGAACACGGTTTCCCCAGCAATGCAATTTATAGTCAGGTACAGTTTATATCTTCCCGGTTCATTTACATTGGATTCCTAATGCTCCACAGGTTTGTGTCTGAAGACTCGGTTGGACAAGCCCTGGCTCATGGCGGCGGTCGCATCGAGGAAAAAGGCATCAAGGCCAACATTTGTGCCATGTTCCGGTCCAAATGGACGTTATTGCCACCTGCATCGCAAGGTCACCAAACTGGGCCGCAAGACTCCATTTACACAGTGTACAAGGCACCACCCCAGCGCCGCGGCGAAATGCCCTTTGGCCAGAACGGCTTCATGGCGAGAGGCTCCCCGCCTGCACAGCTATCACCACCCGGCCCCTTTATGAACAACAGTCGATACTTTAAAAATATGGAGCCCCGTCACTTTGGCCAAGGTGGGCACTTTCAAGGGAAAAGGTCGTCGAGATTGTTCCTCAACGCCGAGGGCAGATCTGGGCAGCAGCAGCCGTTCCACGCCTTCACCCCCCTAGCCCCGTTCCATGGCCCTCCTACTGAAGCAGCCGACCCCCGGGCTGCAGCTTTTCTGCCAAGGTCGCTACTTCAGGCGCCAAAACTAGAGCATGCGCCGTCGGAGATGCCTTTCCAATCTCAGCCTGGTGCAGAAGAAGCACTGCGTGACGTCGATGGAGCAGCCCGACTAACCACGATGCCACAAGACAATGCGATTGGCGAAGATGATAAGAAACCCAGAGTATCTCTTCCCGAAAGACCTGCAGCTACATCAAAAACTGCCCCAGAACAATGCCAGTCGCAGGGTGCAACGGACCAGCCTATGCCTGATGCTCCTCTTGCGCCCCCAAGAGTAGATAAGTCTCCTGTGAAACAGTCCAAGAAGAAACGCCAGGCAGCGCAGCTCCGAGCTAGCAACCAAGAAGGCAACCGACCTGCCACCACTGTCTCTGGTCCTCCCGTCGTCTCTGCTTCTACTACCGCTACCACTGCCGCTGCCACTGTCATCTCCGCTGACACTGCCCAGCAGCACGCTAAGGAGAAAGAGGTCCGTCGGCCTTCCATGTTCACGGCAGAGGAGATTAGAGACAGGAAGCAGGCATGGGATAGGATTGCTGTGCCCCTGAGCTCGCCACGAAAGCACTCTCTCACCGCAGGGGATGCTACAGTGTCGGTCAGGCCTGGCCACGACCGGGCCAAGTCACTTCCTGTCAGCGCGCTGATGCTAGCGTTCGCGCCGCCGACCGAGGTAGATGCCGGCGCGGATGAGAAGCGCACCATAGGCAACGGAAAAGAAGCTCCTGCGCCCAAGTCGGCGGAGCACGACGGCAAGACTGGCTCTAGCGAGGAGCCCGCCTCGAGCGCGCCGTCTGGGTCGTCACCCAAGAAGAGCAGTAAGTCGGCGCGCAAGAAGAAGAGCAAGCAGGACAAGCTGCCCGCTAAGAAGGAGCACAAACTGTGAGCGTGAAGGTGGATGCGAATTGTGATTTTGCTAGGTGAAAAACAAACTCGTGGTTAGCTTTGCTCCTGCGTTGGTATGGAGTAAGTTGCATGTCCATAGTCGAAACAGAAAAAATAGGATACGTGTGCAGAATAAAAGCCGATAGTTATTTTCTAATGGGGAAAATGTTATGAATTGTGATGATGGTATTACAGCTTTGGCTCTTCTTTTAGCTTCGGTATATACAACGACGATACTTCATTCGTCACCTGCCTTATCCTGTCTCCTTCTCACCCGCTTTGCATTGTTCTCTCGTATCCTCTATTCGGACGAGAAATGTGTATTTCGAATTTAGGACATTGTTGTATTTCCCCGTTTACTGCTTGACGAGGCCGGTGATTGTGTCTTCAATTTGCTTATCCGAAAGGCCCTCGAGCGACTGTGCCTTTTCAACGCCAAACTCTACATGAAAACGAGCGTCAGCAACAAGACCCAAGAATCGTTGGTATCATTGTATCGTAGGGGCAAAAAAAAATACGTACCGTAGCGAGCAAAGACCTTGGGAACGGTGCCGGCCGCCTCGCGCATCATGATGGGGACGTTGGGGTTGTTCTTCTTCATCGTAGGATACGCGCGGACGAGGAAGTTGCTAGCGATTCCCGCGTTAGCTGATTCGTCCGAAGCCAGCGCATTGTGCGGACTGCTGGGCAGTTTTAACAGTGGCAGCCATTGGCATCGCCAGAGGGACCGGTCAACGGGTCCTCCACGGCTCGCGGGTCGGAGCGACGCCTCAGCTGCGCCCTCTCTCCCCAATTGCCTCCGTCCTGGCAGTCGCATAAAGATGCTGACATTTCCAGTTTCCATCAAGCAGCGGACAAGACGTACCGTACGGGCGCGCTGACCTCCGAGGTCTGGCAGAAGAGGAAGCGAAGCTCCTTGAGGGACTTGGTGAAGGCGTATTTTCCCGACATGGTTTGCCGCTGCCGGTCGTCAATCGCGGGAAGAAAAAAAGTCAACAGCGCAGAATAGCAAAGCAGGAATGCAGTCGAGGGTTGTGAGTCCGCAGTAATCGGTCGGTCGGAGGGAGTGGCTTTCGGGGAGGGCGGGGGGTATCGCAATTGGGGAAGCTTTCGTGAATTCGAGGTTCAGTTGCTTTTGGCGTGGATGGGATTGGCTGGCCCTGCTGCACAAAAAGTAGTGCATGGTGGAGACCGACCAAAGAGGGATTATGCAGTCCTGGTAGCTGCATAAAATACCAAAAATGCTAGCGCCGGTGTCGCTGGGGCGGTTTATCGGGCGCTCCACCCCCGAATTGTCCCTCTGCCACTCAACGGAAATCCAGCCCGTGCAACCCGTCGAAGCTTTTCTGTTTCGTCTGAACAAAAGTGAGAAGCAGAACCCATCGTCTGTTCGATATAGAATATACACGTACGTACAATTCCACGATCCCACATCCCTTTCCCCTTCACTCCTCCTTCCATCAAGGGCCAAGTCGGAAAGCTTTGCGCATTGCGGAAAGCTAGGAAACCAAGGACCCCCATTCAACGATCCCTCGAACCAGCGAAACCGTCGCGACGACAGCGACGACCATCATCCAATTCCACCATCGTCTTCCTCCTCGTTGTTCCACGCAGCTTCCTCTCCTCACCGCGCCCCAATAACAATCACACGCGACCAAACCAACCCGCTCCCCCCCCCAACGAAAACCAACAAACTAACCCCTTCCCCCCCGTTGTCCAGCATGGCCTCGACGAGCACCATCCTCCGCGCCGCCCGGCCCATGTTCCGCCCGGCTACTTTTGCCTCGCCCGCTCGGCAGGCTTTCGCCCGCGCGACACAGCAGCAGCAGCAGCAGCAGCAGGTGATGCGCTTCCGCTTCCAGAACCGTCGGTGGCAGAGCTCCGAAGCCGGCGCCGGCGCCGGCTCCCAGTCCCAGCAGCAGAGCTGGTTCAAGCGCATGTGGGAGAGCGAGATTGGCATCAAGACGGTGCACTTTTGGGCTCCTGTGATGAAGGTGCGTTGAGGACATGGTAGAGGAGGAGCAACAATGAGGAAGAAAAACGGGTGCTAACATAAAAATGATCAACAGTGGGCGCTCGTCATTGCTGGCATCTCCGACTTTGCCCGTCCCGTCGAAAAGCTATCCTTTACGCAAAACTTTGCCCTGACTTGCACGGGTCTCATCTGGACGCGCTGGTGCTTGATTATCAAGCCCAAGAACTACCTGTACGCGCCCCCCCCCCCCCCCCCCCCCAAACTCACTCTTTTCCAAGACTTGGATACCGCTGACACGAACTTGCGCGCAGCCTCGCCGCTGTCAACTTCTTCCTCGGCCTCGTCGGCATCGTCCAGGTCAGCCGCATCCTGCTCGCCCGCAACGCCGGCGCCGAGGTTGCCGAGGCGGTCGAGGACGTCAAGGAGGAGGCCAAGGAGATCAAGGCCCAGATCAAGGACCAGGTCAAGGCGTAAGAAGAAGAAGAGACTAAGAGAGGGAATCCGCAGAAGAAAGCGCTTGATTGGAACAAAGGGGGCTGTATGACTGCCCGGAAAAAGGAAAAAAAACATCAAGACCTGCAAGGGAAAGGAGGTTTTCTTCTCGCTAGGAATCGCTTAGATATCCAAATGGCTCGCGAGGAGAGCTACGGATTACTTCCTCCAAGGGGAAAGCGGGCGGATACTGCGTCTCGTTTCTTGTACACAATTACACCTACGTCGGAAACAAGTCCAGACAAACCATGTTATGCTCACATTTCTCTTCGCATGGCCATGAAAGAGACGGTAGTCGTCATGTCTTGTTTCATTTCTCATCAATTAGAAAAGAATATCTCGTCATACACATCAGTACATGTCCAAGATGCAAAGCTATGTAAAGATCCCTCCATATCGCCCCTTCCCTTCCCCCAGGCAACGCAAATGCTCAACTCAATCAACCCGAAACTCCTGAACCAACAGCATCTCTCCAAAAGACAGGTAAAGAAATAGGGTTCCAACATGATACGACCGTGATAGAGAGGCTTCTTCTCTCTCTCCCCCTCTCTTTCTCTCCAAACAAAACTTCGCCAGGTTTATGCTTCCAAATAGCGCCCTTGTGTGTGTTTGTGTTTGTACCTGCGGGTGGGTATCCGGTGCAGAAAAGATTTCATGGACAAAATGGAGGAAATGCAAAATAAAGAAAGAAAACACGCTGTTCAGAGCGCTAGAACAACAATCATCGCTTTCCTACGTCGTAATAAAGAACCTCAACCAGAGGAAAAATAAGGAAAGAAGAGAAAGAAAAAAGAGGAAAAAGCTCTACGTCTCAGAATGACCGTCGTTAAGGAGCATCTCAAGAACGATCTGCCGCCCCGGCAGCTCAGGGTGCGCCATGGCAATCTTGACCGTCCCCTTGGAAGTATCACCCGCCGTGGCCATCTGGCCATTGTTCCCGTGCAGCTGCTGGGCCTGGGCGGCATTCTCGCCCGTCGGCCCGCGGATACCGCTGTCAATGACATGAACGTCGCGGCCGGCAATAATCTGTCGCAGACGCCCATTGTCGGCGTTGCGCACCTCAACATAGTCATCGTTAAACAGCAGAAGGTACTGGCCGTACATGGTCGCGCCCCGCGCCCGCTTCTGCTTGCCCGTGTACTCCATGATAAGCGTGCGTGATACCTCGCCGTGCTTGTCCACGTACACGGCACAGTCCTCATACGTCAGGATGAACTCATTCTCGTTGAGCCGAAACATGCCCAGAGGCTTCTGGTCACGGACCCGGCTAGCAATATTGGCAATCGCTGGCGCCTTGAGGTCCGGAATCGACATGGGTTGCTTGCGGTCCAGCGTCAGCATCTCGACGCCCTTGGCCGTCGCTACCGCAATGTACGTCTGGAAAATGCTGAGCGAGTAGCACTCGACTGGGAAGAAAAACTCGTCAAAGTCGCGGAATGTGTCGGTACTACCCGCTGCCGACTTGCGCCCGCCAAAGATGCGAGACCGCTTCTCCGTCGCTTTGTGGAATAGCGGCTCGACGACTTTGAATGACGTGTGCAGGCCTTCTCTGCGTTTGTAAAAGACGAGCGTGCGGTCCTTCATACGTGCCGTGGCAAAGTACGTCACATCCTTGGCGAGGCGCTGTGGTGCCCGTCGTGCATTGTCTGAGGCGGGCGGCGCAAATTCGGACACGGGCGCCACAACGTCGAGAGGGTACGAGAGAAGCGACTTATCGGCAATGACGAGACAGACATTGAAGTCCTCTAGCACGGCGATCTGCGTCACTCTTGTTGCACGCACTGATCGTGACCAGCCGCGCGGGTTTGAGGGGTCGGAGATGAAAATACCGTAATCTGTGCCAATGGCAATCAACGTCTTGCCAAAGGCAGAAAAGCCCACAGCACAGTTGACCTGCGCGCGGCACATGTGAGGAACGCCGTGCGCTGAGCCCAAGACGCTCTCCAAGTCCTGGATCGCGCGGTCCAATGGCGTACCCTTGACCGCCACGCCCACGCTCCTCGCATGAGGCGAGCTGGCTTCGTAGTGGAAGGACGCATCTGCCAGCACACGGAGTCTAAATGGCTCAGCATTCTGCGAGAACAAAGCCTTGGCATGCAATGTCTTGGCCTCGATAATCTGGCTGCACCATTCAGTGCGGTGGGATAAGGATGACGCATACAACGTGAAGACTTCGTGACCTAGATGCTTCACCTTGAAGGGGTAGAGTATCTTACCCTCAGGGACGTCGGTGGATTGCGTCTGCGTTAGTATCGTCCCGGACGAGCCCGTGGAGGTATGCTCTAGCCCAGGTCTTCCGCTGCCGTTGCTGGTGACCTTGCTGAGCTGCTGACCAGCGGCGCCAGCAGGGGCCGTGCGACCTAGGGGCGCCGTAATACCCTTTTGCTTGATGATGGGCTCGTCGTTGTTGCTCTCTAGGAAGAGAAGCGGCATGGGAATGGGCTCGCGGGACACGTCGTACTTGTCATCTTCCTTGTCGTCTTTGCTGTGCACCACCTTAGCGAGGATGAAGTAATGGTCAAAGAGCAGCGCGTGCGTCTCCACCCATCGCATGCCTTTGGAGCTCAGTCTCTGCAAACCGCCCTCGTGGATCAGGGCTCTACCGAGATGATTGAGGTGCAAGACGGATTGGAAACCAGGACGCAGAACAAGCTTGCGATCGAGCTCCATCATCTTGACACGCTTTTTTGTCTCTGCGACCCTTGCATCGCACTCTTGCGTAACCGCCTCGATCTCCTGGATGGCCTTCTGCAGGTTGGTCTTTTCCTCGCTGTCTCCAATCATGTGTTGTTCGACAGTCTTCAGCAGCAAAGTGTATCGTTGCAGGCGTTGGAGGGGCAACAATGAAAAATGGCTCCACGGTAGCTTCAGTGACGACTTGTGCTTTTGCTGATCTTCCAAGAACTTTTTGAATAGTAGGTTACGCATTTTTTCCCTACGAACCATGTAGTCGGCGGTCTCATAGGTACTGGCATACTCGATGTAGGTCTTTTTGGCTTTACGGATCCATTCACGGAAAATGTCGCTGAAGCCGACAATCCACGGGCCCTGCTCCTGCTGACGGTACTTGAGCTGGGCAAGCAGATGACCCTTGTTGATGTCTAGCACAGAGTCGACCTTGCCAAAGACGCTGGCCAAAAACTTGTCTCGCCTGTCGGGGTGAATGATCGGAGGCTGTCGGGTGCGCAATTCGTCGCGGTAGAGTGTGCGGAAAATGTCGAGCTGCTTCACGTAGTTCTCTTCACCAGTGACAATTTCGTGTAGGTTATTCTGGCGCATGACTTCCTTTTTGGGTTTGGATTCCATGTCTGCTGGTGAGACATCATAGAATGTGTGCCAGGCATCTGTCGGTTTAGACTCTTCGGTGAATATGTCCCAGTCCACCTTCCTAACCATTCGGGTGCAGTGCATCGAATAGCATCGACCCGGCGTATCATATTCGTGCAGCTTGGGAGCATAGCAACCCTTTCCGGTGAGCTGCCACAGGACGCCAGATATCTGCCCGTCACCAAATTTGACCCATTCCTCCTCGTGTAAGAGAACGCCGGCGTGGAGCATACTAGCAAGGACGGAACTGCTGAGAACCTCGGCATCTGCCACATTCATTCTAGGCACCTTGAACGTGAAGAGAGCGGTCAGGCCGTCCTCGACGGTTTTGCTCTTCAGATCAGCTTCACCAAGTGCCATCTCGCGTATCCAGGTTTCGATGTTGCTAAGCGCCCAGGGCTCTGCGCAGCGCAAAAAGTCAGCGGGTACGAGCTTCGCAGGCGCGAACTTCTTCTTGCGTCCGGTGGGTAGCGTAATGCCGTCAAATGCCCCAGATGTGCCATAGTCGACTGGACCTAGTGCAGCAAATGACGAAGCCTGGCGGTGATGACCCTGCCTCCTTCTGTCTTCGGCGGCATCAGTCTTGGAGCGAATAGGTTGCTGTACGGCTGGGGCATTGCTGTGGCTGGAGAGAGAGATGGACCGCTCGGGTTGAAGAAGCTGGTTTGCACCACTGTAGTAGGACTCTGGGCCATCAGGCCGCAAAGATCGTCCATCCGTGTCGACAGAGTGCGAGTGCGGTCGCTGAGGTTGGCGAAGGCTGTTTTGCGTTGACAGTAAAGAACTGCTATCTGAGGAGCCGGGCGGTGGCGGAAGAGGTCTGTTGGTGAGGCCGGGATGGTAGAACAAGTCCTGATACTCTTCTTGGACGGGTGACTCTCCACCGCTTTGGTGCGAATTGAGGGAAACACGGTCCGGGCCAGAGTCGAAGCTTCGGCGCGTGGGCAGCTGAAGACCGCCAGTGTCGCCATAGTCAATCTCGACCTGCTTGACAGGGGGTGCGTCTTGATATCCAAGCGGCAGATTATCCAAGTATGTTGTCGGTGTCGGTAGCGGCCGTTGGCTGGAAGACGTACGTGGCGGAGGCGCTTCCATGCTGCCATAGGTCAAGTTGCCAGTGTATCCGTATCCACCTGAGAGGCCGGCCAAGTCGATGCCCGCAAATTCGCTATCGTCGCTGCTATAGTCCTGCTCTTCGGGGTGGGCAGGGAGATTATTTTCGTCTGGCATAGTGGGCATGGTGGGCATGTCGGCATAAGCAAAGCCTCTTGAGTAGTGCGGCTCGCCCATGCTTGCATTTGCCTCCTGGAGAGCAATGGCGCCGGCTGCGGCCTCGTCGTCGTCGATGCCGTTGGTGAGGGACTGGTTGGAGGAGCGTCTCTCGTCGGGGAACCCAGGTGTGGCGGGGTTGGAATTGAATTGGCGAAACATGCGCGCTTGATCCTCGGCTGTGCGACCATCGATGGGCGCGGGCCGCGGACGACCCGATATCGTCGTCTCGCCAAAGGTGTTTTCAATCTCCTCGAGAATGCTATCGGTGGTGATGCGCTGCTCGCTGCTGTCTGTCGCTGACGAATTCCAGGTTGATTCGCCAGGCCGGCTGGGAAGCGGGGCATTGGTGGGATGGCGCCGCAGACCAGGAGAGCCAAGAGGCTGGACGTATGGGCTGGCACCACCCTGAGAAGACTGAGAGACAGGCCTTACGGGTTGGTTGTTATATGATGATTGGTCGTTGGAGACGTACGCTGGACCAACAGGAATATGCGATGCCGTTGGATAGGGCGCAGTCGCAGCGGGGTATTGCATTTGCTGATCCACGCCATTTGAAGGATACTGATATGATGTTGATGAATAGTGAGATGGATCGTACTGAGATGGATCGTACTGGGATGGATCGTAGGTCGGGGCAGGAATCTGGGACGATGTATAGGACGTCGTTGGACTCTGGGTCGAGTACTGATAGCCAGACAGGCCAGGGGAATGGGCCGTTTGGGAGAAGGAGGGCGAGTAGGTTGCGGCGGGCGACTGTCCATAGGTGCTCGAGGTATCGTAGCTGCTATAGCCGTGGTAGGTGGCCTGTCGCTGGGGTGCATTGGCGGCTTGGGCAGCGTAGGCGGCCGGGTTGTAGGACTGGGGCGTATACGACGTCGGCGGGGAAGCGCCGCCGTATACGGAGGCAGTGGAGGCTGCCGCGTGCGAGTAGTAGCTGGTGGTGGACTGTGACCTGGTGAAGGCGCTGGAGGTGGTGCCGTTGTTGCCGACAAAAGTCTGGGGATTGTAGGTGGTAGCGACGGCGGCGTGCGGCTGGGGAACTGTATCCTGAAAGCGATGCTGGAAGCCGGCGAGCGGGCTGGTCGAGGAGGAGGCGGTAGTGGCGGGACTGTTGAGGAAGAGCTCGTCGGCGCCAGCGGGGGCGGAGGCATGAGCAAAGACGGGCCCGTTGCCATCGACAGCGGCGGCCTGGTGGTGAGAGTAGTAAGCGCTGGAGTTTCTGTCGTCGCCGGTATTGAAGCTGGGCCGCCTGCCGAGATCCTGCTGCTGCTGCTGCTGCTGCGGTGGTGGTGGTGGCTGGTGCTGTTGATGCGCGGAATACTGTGCCGAGATAGGATACTGGACAGGCGGGATAGAGCCGTAACGACGCTGGTCGTCGCCGCGAAACGACATGATGGCGCCGGCGGGGGTTGCTGTGTTGATTTAATTCGGATGCAGAATAAGAAAAAAGAAGCGAAAGAAAGAGCGACGAAGGAAGAGTTGGCCTAGGTAGAGGAGCGACGGGGCCAGCAACAGATGGTCATTGAGGAAGTCCTGTTTTTTGTCGAGGCTGGCTGCGGTCGGGGGGCGAGCGCGAGGGCGCTGGTGCGCGCAAGGACGAAGTAAAAGTGAGGCGACGACTCTTGCTGTGTGTTGGTGAGGGGAGAGCAGGAAAACGGTCGGAAAGGATGCAGATTTAGGAGATGTGCAGAGCCATGAGCGTCCGAGGAAGAAGAGGGCGACGCGCGATTTGGCGTATGTAGGTAGGTATGTAGGCAGGTAGGTAGCAAGTGTTTGTCGACGGTGATGTGTTTGGCCCCAGGGTTTTGGTTGGTGTCGAGGTCGGGTTCGGTTCTGTGGAGCATCAATGTGGTTACATAAGATAGCAGCGCAGCTAATATAGCTTATAGAGGAATAATAGAAAGCAAAGATAATAGAGAAAATCAGCCTTATATTAAATAAAGCTATAAGGAATAACTAGTTAATTTATATATCCTATTTCCTAGCCTTAGGCTATATAATTTAAGTTATAAGATAATATTATATCTTAGGATACCTAAGGTTATTACTTATCTATACTTATTATTAGTATAGATAAGATAAGCTCTTTTATTAAGGTAGTACTCTATATAATATACTTTTTAATTATTAAGTATAAGTTAGTATAGAATAAAGGAAATAATTATATATAAAGAGTATAGTAAAAAGTAGCTATTTATATAAAAGGGTATTTTATAAAGGGAATAAAATAGTATATTTATACTCTTCTTTATTTTCTATAAAGAGTATATTAATATACTACTTAAGTATATATTTTATAGTATAAGTAATAGTTTAATATAAGAATAAATAGATAATAGAATTACTACTCTTTTTAATAAGTAATTTAAAATACTTTTTATTTTAATTAATAGGTAGGCTAGTATTTTTAGATATAAAAAGCTACTCTTTACTATATATTATTCCTATATTCTTTATTATTTATTTACTTCTTTCTAGTTACCTACTTTCTTACTTATTAAAAGTAATAATAGTTCTTTACTACCTTCTTATTCTTTTTCTTCTATTATTATTAGTTATATTAAATTTTTAATAATAGTTTCCTTATATACTAGCTTTATAGCTATTAACTCCCCCTCCTTTACTACTATTAAGGCTTTTACCTTTACTACTACTAATAAAAAGTCCTTTAAGGAGGTAATTATATCCCTAGACGCCTAAGAAAAGTCCTTTAAAGAGGTAAATATTAAGAAGCCCTCCCTAAAGGCCCCTATACTCCCTACTAAGTAAGAAAAGCCCTTTATAAAGGTATATAAGTTATACTTTAACTTATATAAAGAAGTATAAGCCTATACTAGTATTATATATCCCCCTTAGTATAGCTATTACTAGATTAGTATAGCTATAGCTACTCTAGTTAATAAGCTAAAGCCTTAGACCCTTATAAGCCTAGTCTTACTATTAGTAGTATATATACCTACCCCTATTAAGGAGGTTAATAATAAGGATAAGGTTAATAATAATAATAATAATAATATAGGTATAGGTATAGCTATATTAGCTAAGGAGGAGGTTATTAAGGCTAAAGATAAGAAAGATAAGGATAAAGAGAAGGAGGAAGAGAAGGAGGTACCTATTATATTATACTATCTTTACTATAATACTTCTACTACTCCTATTAAGATAACTCTTATAAGTTATATAACTTAAGTATAATTAGCACCTTTATTAGTATATACTATAAGTACTTACTCTTTTACTTAAGTTAATTAAAGCTAACTAATACTCTCCTAGCTCTAAACCTTTATAAAGTAGCTAATAAAGGCTAATCTTAAGCTTTACTAAATAAACCCTTACTTAGAATATACTTAATCTATACTCTCTAGTAAAGGGGATAGTATATATTATAACTTTATACTAATTAAGAAAATAATATACTTATAAAAGTATAAAGATTATACTTATTATAACTATAAGTATAAGCTATACCTAGCTATAATAATCCCCTTTACTTAGTATCTAATAATAGTATATAAAGATAGCCTTAAGTCTATAAGTTATTTATTACTTACTTTTAATACCCTTTAATAGTACTTACTAATACTTTACTCTCTCTTCTAGGATAAGGTTTTATATTATATAGTGCTATATACTATTTTTAAAATATTAGAGAAGGAGGATAGTATATTTAATACTACTATTACTAATATAGTATTAGGTAAGGAAGCTCTCTTTAAGTAAAAGACCTAGGCTTTATACTACCTTAAGGTATTTATTAATAAAGTTATATAGTAAAGCTATTAAAAAATTAGTATATATATTATAATAATTAAATAGAATATTACTTATCCCTAGATTCTCTAAAGGGTTAGAGATTAAATAATACCTTCTTACCTATACTATACTTTATATCCTATATTAGAATAATTATATTACTCTCCTTAACTATATCTAAAAGCTTTCTTAGATTAATAAGATATTTAAACTCTAAAAAGGCTTAGTAAGGAAGAGCTTTAGTAAGACTATCTATAGGTATTACTCTATTTAGAATAAAGGTAAATATAAAATACCTATATCTATATTCCTATTTTAACTATATATTATTAATATTAATATATTATAGTTTAGTTAATATATACTCTCTATTATTAATAATAATATATATTATTTAAGTATTATTATATATTATCTTATATAGAAAAGCTACCTATCTTCCTATTATTATAAGAAGATAATATATTATAGAAGCCTCTTTTATTAAGCTAGATATACCTAATAATTTAGCCTTTATTATAGATAGTATAACTATATCTTATTTTATAGCTTTTTAAAATATAGGACTACTATATAGGAAGATTATTTAACCTTAAGATAACTTCCTAGTAATAAGGTTATTAGTATATAATATATTACTAGTAATTTATAGAATAACTACTTCTTTATTTAGACTATAAGTAAGGACTAAAGTCTTTATAATATATAGATAATATATATAATACTCTATAGCTAGAATATAATCTCTTAATAGGTTTATAAGGAAGTAGGTAAGAAAGGATACTATATATATAATATCTAACTAGACTATAATTAATATATATAATATTAACCCTATTAACTCTTAGAAGTAGTAAATATCTACTTTACTTACTATACTAGTATATTAAGTAAGCTTTCTAGATAGTAGTAGTATATACTACTTTCTAGGTTAATTATAAGTAAGTTTATATTTCTTAGCTATCCTTTTAATATATTATTTATAGCTAAAGAATAATAGCTTTTATTTTTTATTATATATAATATAGATACTAAGGAATTACTTAAGATCTCCTTAGTTATATATATTATATACTTATTTTATCTTTACTATAAGGGATAAAGCTTACTTCTTATACCTCTTACTATAGAAAAGGAGGATATTATTAATAAAAAATACTAAGAATATCTTCCTATCTTTAGAATAGTATAGATAAGGCTCCTCCTTATATTATAATAGGTTATACTTTATAAGGGTATTAGTAAATTCCTTAAGCTATAGATAGGGTAAGTCCCTTAGGCTATATAGGGCTTTCTTAAGAAGGGCTATCTATTTATTAGGTAATTATATATAGACTTTTAAGATATTATTAAGTCTAGTTATATTAAGGAAAGCATTCTTTATATTAAATTAGTATACCTTAAGGTTAAGGTAGGTAGCTATAGCTATTATTACTTAAAAGGCTTTTACTATAAGTATAGTTATATATATTATATTATATTCCTTAATTACTTATAAATTACCTCTTATAATAATTTATACCTTATATTATAATAAGTAACCTTATTAATTAAATTTATATATATAAACCTAATAAAGAGGTAATATCTTTATATTATTAGTCTTAGTTATAATCTTAAAGGTTCCTTTCTTTTCTATTTATTTAAATTTACTTTACTTAGTAGCTTTTTAGAGCTATTAAAGTAGATAATTCCTTATTACTTAACTATCTTTTAGTACTAGTAGAAGATTATTATAGTAATAATATAATTATAGCTAAGCTATTTTATTTACTTAGAGTATATTTACTAGTACTATAAAGAGCTATAGTAAGCTTTAATCTCTTTTATATAGGTTATAGAGTACTTTAACTTTAATAATTATATTTTCCTAGGGTTCTAGGAGGATGGCTATATTATAGCCTTTTATATATATTACCTACTCCTTTCCTTCTCTATAAGGGCTTTATCTATCTTTTTTAATAACTAGCTTTTTAAGGGAAATAATTAGATTAGGTTTAAGTATAGGTATACTTTTAGTACTTTATTATAAAGCGTCTTTAATACTTTCTTCTAGGTTAATACTACTTATATTAATAAATAATAGCTCTTCTAGGGTAAGTTAGAATTTATTATTTTTTAAAGTAGCTACTTTATTAGTATAATTAATTTCCTCCTCTAGAAGTAGAATTAACTTAGGACTTAGTAGTTCTTAGGGTAATTTATATATTACTTTAAGGTTAACTAATAAGGTATTATTATCTACTATAACTTTTAATATTTCTTCTTAAGGGCCTTTAGGAGTTATTAACCTTATACCTTAAGCTATTAAAAGCTTTATTACTTTTATTATAAGGTTTTCTAGCGCTTTTAATATAATAATACTTAGCTCTTTTTTACTTAGGTATAGTAATATAGTTATCTTTAGATAGAGCCTTAGCTTATCCTCTTTATCTTAGAATAGTTTTTAATAAAGGCTATCTACCTTAGTAATAGGAAGTATATTAGCACTCTCTATTAGTAGCTAGTAAAATAGCTTCTTATTAAAATATATATTCCTTATAGTAATAATATACTTTAGTTAAAGAATCTATACCCTATAAATATTAGTTATAATATAGCTAATTAAATATTTAATATAGCCTTTAAGACTAATCTTA